GTAAATGCAATATTTTTATGTAATTTTTGTTATTATGACGAAACCAATGAGCATGCGAGCCGACTAATCACGATTTCATTTATCTAGTGGAGACAGGTTCATTATATCTCTTTTATTAAAACGTTCTCGGACGTCTTCAGGTCGCATTTTCAATAATCACTGTCGCTAAGATTGTTCTACACTAGTGAATTTTGCGATTTTAATTGTTTATATTAGCGCTTTCAACTGAACATTATGAAACACCATTCATAAATATTCAATTTAGATAGTGTCCACGAGGCATTACATCTGACGGTCGTTCTCTATTGATATACGTAGCCTAAACGTTTTCTTCTGCAAAAAGTATGGATTGCCACGAGTTTGAATAACATTTATTGGCTGGCATTTTCGTTAGGACTTTCATATGTTGATGAGAAAATAAATTTAACGATAGCAGTTTGAAATCGCACAATTTCTCACCAAAATCGCAACATAGATCATGGCGTGCATTTTTACCTCGGTAGTCTCATAAAGAGAGAGTGAAATCGACTTTATACTGTAGGTCATTGGCATTAATTGAAATCGATGTGGAAAGAGATACAGATAAATTAATCCTTTTTTCATAATCAAAGGAAAACAAAAAATACTTTTAATGGATGTACCTACTTGATATGAGTAAATTGTACTGAACTTCAGTATAGATTTTTTGCTATTTCTGTTCCAATTGAGGCTAGAAATAGTTTAATGCCCTTTTATCCTTGTTACTGAATTATGTATTCATTTAAGTACTATAAGCATGAAACATTACATATATGAAACAGTCATTTGGACAGTTCATTACAAATATTCAATTGTTGAATTCAATCCATATGCTTCTTATTGGAGAAATGACAAAAAATATGACATGATTAATAATTGTATAATTTCTTAATATGAATTTTATAAATTGTATTTATATTTAATAGAATGGAAGGAGTTTTTTCATCAGAAACCAAGCACAATTTGCAAGAGAACTGCTACCACACTATTACAAGCATAATAACATGGCTAGTTTTGTGAGACAGCTGAACATGTGTAATTATTCCTTATATATTATTGTAAAAATCTGAGTTGGATAACATCATCTTTATTTTAATTAATTTTATAGATGGTTTCCACAAGAAAGTGTCAGTAGAACTTGGAGGTTTAAAATGCGATAGAGATGAAATGGAGTTTGCTCACCAATATTTCTGTAAAGACCATGCATATTTACTAGAACATATAAAGAGAAAGGTATTATTTTTTATCAATATTACTATTGTCTTTTCCATTTGAGTGCTGTTTTTTATGCTTTTTGCAACAATTTTCTTAGATTGCTTCAAACAAAACACAAGATCCATCTCAAGCACCTATAAAACCAGAATTAATGAATAAAATGTTGACTGAAGTAAGGAGTATGAGGGGAAGACAAGAACATTTTGACTCCAGACTTGGTGCCATGAAGAGAGAAAATGAAGCACTTTGGAGAGAACTTGCTCTTTTGAGGCAGAAGCACCACAAACAACAACAAATTGTTAACAAACTGATTCACTTCCTTGTGTCACTAGTAAGACCAAACAGAAACAGTGGTTTATCAATGAAGAGGAGATATCCACTTATGATTGATGATCCTAGCAGACAGCGAATGAAACAAAGTAAAATGTCCAATAAGGTATATCAAAATTTTATTCTTGATTCCATTTGTGTTTTCAATCTATTAAATATTGTATGTTATTTTTATGAAATAATAGTCTCCATCAGGACCAGCCATTCATGAATTAGACTCTTCAGATCCAGATATAGATTCTGACTACATTGTTGCAGAGTGAGTGTCATTTATATATTGAAAAAGGAAAATGAATTTAGCATTATAAATTCAATTTTATTGTAGAATGTTAGATAGTGATCAAGCACCAACCATTGAAAGTCCTGAACATCAAAGTGCAGCTGAAGATAATGCTAGTGATTACTATATTGATGAACCAGTACAGATACTAAATGAATTTGAACAGGTAGATCAAGCAAACATTTCAAAGAAACGTCATAAGGGAAAGAAGAAGGGGTAAGTAAACTAACATTCGACTTGCTATACCAATGGAAATCAACTATTAATTAAAAGCAGCTAGGTAGATGTCAATTCAATGCTGGAACATTAACTGATAAGGAAAAAGCATAATATCATTAATCCTGAAAACATTTGAAATACTTAGACATTATTCACATAGTATATCGTTCATTTTTTTTTCCTCAAAATACCTGTTGATGATGATTGAGTATTATTATAATCTCATCACATCTCAGTATAAAAAAGAACTTGAAGGAAACTGAGCGTTATTATTTATTTCTCAAATTAATTAGACTAATTCTCAAAATTCTTAAAATACTTCATTTCTTTAAGGGAACGCAGCGATAAATGTACAGTAAAATAATTTTCTTAGATGATTTATCATATGATGATTATTTAAATGAAAATTGTCAATAATCATTTTACAATTGAACGTTGCCAGGAGGAAAAATAAAGTGCCCATTAAAATTGTGATACCATCTACAGAAAACGGAGAAGAAACAAGGTTAACATTTTGCTGTTACAATTGTTTATTATTGGTGCCTTAAGTACTCCGTTTCTACCCGAGCAGTTTCGCTAAAGTTCACTGACTTTTCAAAATGATACATAGCGCATGATTTGCCAAAAATAAGCGACTTTTTATTTCGTTCATATATAAGCATGAATACATTTAAATAATTTTTTTATGCACACAAGGTTAAAAAAAAATTTTGTTTATTTCTTAGTATCAAATGTAAAGGAAAAATGTTATATTGAACGCGATTCTAGCATTATACATTTCACACACTTTTAAGGCTCCAATGTTGTTATAGTGAATTCTTTATAAATTCTTATTATTTAGTAATTTGCACCTTCATTTTATGCTCGTGTAACTTGACATCTCATACTTTCTACTTTTAATACCCACATTTAATTTCTCTGCATGGTCGTTTGTCATTTGCTACGATTCATTTAATTTAAACTGTATGTAGTAGCTTATTTATGCTGGCATATTAGTATTGCGAATAAAAAGACAGTAGACGGGTATAAGGTTGAAAAAGATTGTCTTGCAATTTTCTTGACGTTTGCGGGGAGGGTAAATAATGTAATAGTTTGGTTATTTATCGGAAGAGTGTTGATTTCACATAAATGATGAATCGACGCTTTTTTTAACAGAAGTTTTCCTGGTCGTAATCATTCAAACTTTAAATTCATCGTCACATTTCTCTTTACCATTAAAAAGTGACTGAAACTTCTATTAGTATAATGAAAGTCAACTTAACCAGGAAAAAAATGTACAGAAATAATTTACGAATGAGTGTCGATACTGTGAAAGTAAAATATGTTGCACGTCAAGAAAATTGGATTAGATTGATATTGAAACGCGCACGGTTATTAGCAAGAGACAATACCTCTTGTAGGGAAGAGACCCTGATGTTAGAAGTGCCCATCAATAAAGTACTGACAAGGCCCAGCTCACAACAGCAACAGCAGCAGCCACAACAAGCTGCGCTGGCAACATGCAGGTCAACGTCCATTGCCTCAGAAATTGGAAAGTTAATGCCAGCAAAGCCTGTACCTCCGGCAACAGTCAGGAGCTCCAAGCTCGCAGCCATGGCCGCAAATATAAAGAAAAGTCAGCAACAGCAACAGCAACAGCAACAGCCGCAGCCGCAGCCGCAGCCGCAGTCACCGGCAGACGACAGTCTGGATCTCGACATAGAAGAGTTCTCGGGACAAGAGTCCAGCTCGAGAACAAGAGCGCATCGGCAGCAGCAAGTAGTCAAGAGTAATCCAGAGAAACGAGAGAACTTCATGATCGTACCGGACGTGAACGAGGACTACCACGAGGAGGCGAGTTGTCAAAGCACGGGGCTGCCGACGAGCACCTGCAGTAGCAACTGCAGTGATAGTCCGCTGAACAATATCGGTAGCCCCGGTGAGACCATCGCTGACGTGGGGACGGACAGCTTCAGAAATGTCGACTTCATGCCCGAGGTCAATGGCATGCAAAGCGACGCCTCGGACAAGATGACACAACAGCAGCAGCAGCAGCAGCAGCAGCAACAGCAGCAGCAGCAGCAGCAGCAGCAGCAGCAGGACAGTGCCAGTAACATGTCGTTGCGTTGCGTCAATCAAGGCCCTGTACCTGAAACGAACTACAGGTTAGGAATGATGTAAGTTCAACACAGACCATGCGCTACTCGCTCAATAGGTTCTGTTTGCTCGTCGCTTGTGAGAGGACACTGACGTTTCAATGAAGGACAAACCTAGACCGTATATCACCCTGAACGTGCTGGTATTCCATACTCAAGTCTTTGTAATTGACCATCTAGTTTTTAATTATCTTTTTTTTTATCATATGGCCACCACACCTTTTCGTCGTCGCGTCTTTTTATCGCTGTCTTTTTATACTCATACGCTAACAATGTTTCGCATGCCAAAAACATTTTGACTATAACCTACTTTTTTTTTCTGTAACAGAGAGACTCACGTACACTTGCAATTGCGGGCACGTAATTTTGGGATGTACACTTTCAGAAAGATTGGAATTCGAAGATTCAAACTTATCGTAAACTAAAGAGTGACTTTGTTTGATGAATTTTCCAAGTCTAGAATTTCTCAATTTATCATTCCGAAATCGCGGCCCGTTATAGCACACACACACGTCATCGTTAGAGAGTGTAACTATAATTAGTGGTGATGAATAGGCCTCGTTCCGGTAATTTTTCCAATAGGAACACTGCTCCTGAAAGTACTATCGTAGAACTGAACTTTTTCCGCAAGTTTTGGTGATCAGTGTCCTTTTGAGGAAATCCCGTAGTCAAGAAATATCCTATTATCGCCATAATTTAGTTTCTCTTAAAGTATCTTTTCCCAGTTTAGCTTTACTTGTAAATACAAGAGTATTTGTAAAGAGAGTTTTTTTTTGCAAAGAAATATCAAAATGAAAAGATACATCGAGACCAGGAACACGTTGATTTATATATATTCTGATTTACGTAGGTTGTTTTAGTAAATTTTTCTTCAAATACTACTTATTTTAAGTCGATTAAAAGTTATTTTGGAGTTACAAGTCTTTTTTTTTTCAGACTTACATAGTTCATCCCATTAGTTTTGCTTTATTTTTTTTAAATGAAAGTCATCTTAGATCGCCTTCAGAAGTCACAAGTCTAGTTGATAGACTTATAGCGCTTCTTATGCTTTCAATTGTTTACGTTGATCTTGTCCTGGTCTTGCGAACAGCGAGAAGACACTCTCTGAATAATCTAACCATCCTATATACTCACAGTTACTCACGTTATCTGCAAGTTCTCATAAACTGCTATGGAAGTAATGATATTTTGTTTTTATAGGCCTTGTAAACTATGAAATTTTTGAAAAGTAATTTTAGGAATTGATCAAAATCAATAGCAATTTCGTCGTTCCACAGGCAGGAGTCTACGACTATATCGTGGTAACATGTATAATTTGTTCAATCACTATCTCGTAATCGTAAAATGCCATGCGTTCGAAAACGAACATTGGCACGACAAACTTCTACATATCGAAGATGTTTGTTCGAAGCATTAGGAACGTCGCATTGTGCTATGTTTTCTTTAATGTAGAAGCAAACTGTTTTTTTAGCGTAGAGCAAAAAATCTTGTCAGTTTTGGTCGAGTGACCTCACATATAACGATATAATAGTTCCATTGTTGTCAGTATTTTTTTAAATTTAAGTTTTGAGATAATATTGATTTATGTTAAAACTTTATAACAATTGCAAATTTACGTTTCCGAAATCCCAATGGTGTAGTGCACATTCAATAAGGTCACTGGTTCCATATAAACTTTTATGATTGTTGAGCAAAAATGTTTTGTTCAAACATCCGCGGTACGTTTTTAATGAGAACTAATAGCTTCGATTTTGCTTCACTATTTCAAGTCCACTAATAATCTTTGTTTATTACAGTGATTAGTATGAATAATCGCGTCTGCATTTTTTATACGATTGGGGTTACCTTGACGTTGGCGAACGCGTTTTTGTCATTAATAACTGCTTTTAACAATTTGTATTTAGGGACGAAGTCGACACGCATCTCGACTCAATGCAATCCGAGCTCGAGAACTTGCGCGATATTTTACGCAGTGAAGGATACAGTATCGATGCTAATACTCTTTTAGGGGTGAGTTTGTTGCTTTTTATTATTCTTCATTTCTCTCGTTTTTACTGATTTTTATGTACGCGCACTTAGATTATGCATCATTACTTTCTCTTTATTAACAAAATTAATGGCTATTGAAACTGATTGTCGTACGTCCCAAATTCAGAAGACTTGTGTAAAAAACAATTTTATTTAATACAGTTATTTATAAAATATAATAATTTTTACTTTGGTTTACCAACTTTATTAAATTAGTACCATCGTCAGTCCCCGTCGAAGTTACCTATCTTTCTCGTAAACTTATTTGATACGATTTTTTAGCTTTTTGGCGACGAAGACCCAATGTCTTTTGGCATACCACTAAATCCTGACTTGGACCCTCATTCAACTCAAGAAAGAGACCATGACGATGATCACATGAATGGTACGTATAAGAGCTTTCACATTAAAAATTATATTCAAAAATTTTTTAATAATATCAAAGTATTAAAGTAACGTATATTTGGATTTAAGTAATGTCTAAGAATCAATATGTTATATATGTATTTGAAATTGATCTGAAAATATTTGAGGTTTCAAAGTCATTATTTGAAGAGACACGGGAAATAAGTTTAGGATAGTAAATAAATATTCATGGAAGTGATTTCATTATAGCTAATTTTATTTTTGTTGGGAAGGAGGAGTTTCTGGATTTTTTATGCATGTTCGCGCATATTTCTAGAATGGCCCAAGCCATTTCATTTGAAAGCGTTTGTTCCTCAAATGGTTCTATTTCGTTAACAATACGATCGAAGTGTAACTTTGTGAGTAACTGCAAACAATGTGAGAATCGCGTTTTTAAATAAATCATGTAAATATACTAGTGACAACTTTTATTGTGAAAAAAACAACATTTCGAACGAAATAATTTGGCATTTCGTATAGCATAAACAAGGATACAAAATTATAAATAAATATCTTGACGTGCTGCGTTGTTTTCAGTTGAACTAAGCGACCCTACCAATAAAGGCGAATTGATAACATATAACCAAGCACCAAGCTTTCTCGATTTTGACGACGACATGCTTTTGGGAGCTTCATCGGCATCCCCTGCATCAATTAATACAGACGCACCTACCACCGGCATGGGCAATGACCCTCTCGAGCTTGCCGATAACAAAGGAAACATTTTTGACTCGCTCATTGCTGCAAATAATATGAATCAATCGCAAACGTGAATGGATGGCCAAAAAAAGTAAGTCTTCGAGCTTTATATTATTATTTTGTTGATTTTACCTTTTCTACTTTTTATTTTATAGTTGAGGTGGAATTTATTATTTCTATGCAACTATTTAATTATTATGTGTAGTTCCTAATAGTATAGAAAAATTCATTTCTTCTTGAATATCAATAACTTTTTACTCTATAAAGTTAATACTGTAAAATAATATAATTATAGTTTCTTTATTGAGATAAGCCATAATTCGGTTACCGAAATACAACAATTATTTACGTAAATTACGTTACCATTCTCAAAATAGTGTTTACTAATTTTAATACGTCTCTAATGGCAATTATTTGTAAATTTCAAATGCGGTCAACCATCTAGTTGGTAATCTGGTTATAATGTAATGATTTAATTTTTCAAAATTTCAGCGCTCTGTTTAAAAGTAAATTACCATTACTCCAAATTCTTTTACAGGGCCATTACAGTCTTTTTTAAGCTTGTGTCCCGATATGCTGACTCTCACTATGCTTACTCGTATCTGGCGATTGTCTCTCGACTATGTTCGGTTTTCTACGATAACACAATGGCATAGAGAGACTGATTAACAGCAGCATTACTTTAGTTTAACGACAAAAATATACCTACAATGAGTGAATCTCAGTAGTTGTTACAGCGATTGCTGATTCTTGTTTTTTGATCAATTGTTTAACTTAATCTTATAATTAGTCTGAATTAGAATTTGGTTAACGTAACATCGATACAAAATTTTTATTTTTTATTTACGTCCGATTATTTTGAAAACAGTATTATTATTTAATTGACTAAGCACGATTGGCAAGACTAACATTCTAATTACACAATACAATTTAATTAGTAAACTACTTACATGTAGCACAACATTACAACGGATATTTTTATTACTAGTTAATGCATTAATACTTTTCTTCGTTATAGAATTAATTTCTAGAAACTGTATAAAATTGTTAAGAGTATTCTCGAGTATATCTCAATAGAATTTTTTTCGACGTACGGATACTCTGGAGACTGATTTTGTATTAAAAAAAAACTTTTGTTGAAAAATGTACATAAAATAAAAATATTAATGAACTGTACTTCGTGTCTACGAGAGATGCTTGATGTATCTTTGACAAGATTTTAATGAATTTATTATTGATTTAATAAAAAAGCTTCACAATTAATTAAGGCTTAATTACTTGCAACGAGATTATTACTCGTCTCGGTGGATAAAATGTTAAATAATTTTTCATAATTTCATTCCCGAATGGAATTTATGACTGCTATCATATTATTAAATATGAGAATGAACATGTTTTAATATTTTTGTAATTCATGGCGAAAAATTAGGCAATTAAACTTTGTTAATGATATAATGAATTTCTAGTATGTAATATCTTTTATCATGGTATTATCATGATGTGATAAAACAATTCGATTAAAGTCATTAAGAAATAAACGATGTTTTTTATATAAAGTGTTTCTGCAATAATACCCTTGTCCTAAAAATAAGCCATTTCGCCTATGATAACCAATTGGTTTTTATCTGCAAAAATTTTTTTAATATTTCTTACCGAGTAAAGAGTATGTATGTGATAAAAGCCTTTATTTTTTTTTAACAAGTGATTAAATATTGAATATGTGTGCATTTATTCACTTTATATAACGTCTTTTTAAATTTAAGCATAATTATGTTCTATTTTGAGTCGATTTATATCAATACTTTTGCTGTAAATGTTTTCTTGTTATCTAAAACGTGACGTGAAATACATATGTTAGTTCATATACGCATGATTTTATGTGATACTAATATACTTTTGTGTTTTTCTAGTTTTGGAGAACAGAAGAAAATTTGGAGCATCTAAAGAAGCATATATTTTTAAGATATTTTTATTTTTAATTTTACAATAATGTAGTTACTAAATCCGTTAATCATAGAAACATTATTTTTCACGAATGAAATATTTAATCATCAGTACATGGTGAAGGATTTTATGCAAAGACAAATGTTGTAAAACAGAAGGTAACACAGCGTTGAAACTTTTCTAAAAATTATTGAATTTTGTAGCAGAGAACTAGTATTTGCTTCTATCTTTTCATTATTTATAATTTTTCAAAGTATTTTGAATGCAAAATTATCCTTTAATCAAATGATTACATATCAATCATTTAATAAAGTAAAAGTAATTAATAAATATTGTTTTTGTTTAAATACACTTAAGACAAAATAATAAATCATTTTCCCAAATTATGATGATAAATGAAGTACAAAAATCAAACCACAATCAAAACACTATTTCTCATTTCTTTCTTTTTAATTCAAAGTCGAAATAGTATTCGAAGATTTCTATCTAAGGATTCTGATTTAACATGCATCAATTTACATCAATATCAAAATTTGTTATCACATATGGTTGATTTTTAATGCAACCTCCAATTATAAAATAAATGATTATTTACTTATAGTTGTATGAAATATTTTGAATAAAAATATAAGTATATAATTTTCCTGAGAAGTACAGAGTAAAAGAATTAAGAAAAAAAGAAATGTCTTTTTGTTCTTTTTGTCATGATGAACGTTTTGTTCCTTCTGTATTGTTCACAACGTAATTTTTAATAAAATTACTTTATCTTACTTGTATGGACCAAGATATTAGTGTTTGAATAACTTTTTTAGTTTCAATTAATTTTTTTTACCATAAGCTTTCAAATAGCAATTCAAACTCTTTATAACTTTTAATACTTTTTAAAGAGACTGATTATTGCAAACACGTTTACTAAATCGAAAATCATTCATTGAAATCTTGGCCTTATGAAATAGCAAATGTTAAATATTTTTGTTTATTTACATTGAAAATAGCATGAAATAAAACTGTACGACATCCGATATTATGTATTTAAAAAGAAAAAATTCATGAGAAGACAGTCCAGATTAATATATAATCTACTTAATACGCAGTATCATAAACTGCATAAATTTACTAAAACGCTAAGTTATTTTTCAAATAAATTAGTTAACTTTAAGTATATATAAACCTGCTTTTATGCATTATTTTATGTATATGTTGTACATATAGAACGCGTGAAATAAAAAAAATCTTTATAAATCGAGCACTTGAAATTAAGACATTTTACATTTTATATTAGAAAGAAAAAAAAAGAAATTTATTTATAATGATAAAGTAAATGTAAGACATAAAAATTAAATAGTTATTATGGATTCTATTAGTTTTTTAAAGATTTGTTACAAAAGTAGATGTTTGTAAGATAACTATTCATACTGAATTTTTCATTCTACATTGAAAGTAAGTGATGTAGCGGTAATAGCCTCCAAATTTATTCAATAAATATGATTTTAAGTTTATTTTATGTCAATGTTAACTTGGAGCATAAATCACACAAGTGTAAATTTCACTATTATTCTTATCTAAATTTTGAGTTATTAGGTAATTTAGAAGTTTGTTTTTCAATGATCTACATTCGTAATGGAAAAGAAATTCATATAAAATATAGTACTTTTATCGACTATGGTATATATGGCGTTTATTATTATAAAAAATGCTTTATTATATGTGTGCTTTGATCATTTCAATTTATTTAGTGTAAATATTAGGAATATATTGCTTAAATAAATTAGAATTTTTTTCAATTTTAATTCAAATAAAAATTAATACTTCCCATTCGAGAGTACATACGGAGCACGTATAAAAAAGTAGATGTTTTTATATCTGCATTGTACGGCATCTGCATATACAAATGTACGATCTAGCTTGCAAATTCAATGTTGATTATAAGGAATCAAGACTTGTTTTTTAGTATGATAAGATGAATAGATTGATTATATGAAATTTATGTCATGTTAAATTAAAAACCAATAATAAACAATTGCTATAGTATATTTAAATAACGTTCTCTATCATCCGCAGCTATCTTGATCAATATTGTTATAAAATATTTTTAGATTTTTAACTTTCTTTTTCGAATAAAATTAAATTTTTACTTTGTTTTCTTTGCAAAAAAGTGCTATCATCCGAAATGAAAACAAATGAAGAAGAGGGATCGTCTAATTTTCGAAAGTACAAAATCTAGTGAGAGAACTAATTTTAGATTTAGTTCATCGTGGAGATAATGTTTTAACAATTGATTGTACATAATTTGCAACGTGTACATAAAACTAAATGTTGGGTGGTATTTATACCAAAACTAAAATATTATTTTTTATTAAAAGATCTAGCATATTTGGAACGGATAATGTAAGATATCCATTGCCACACTTTTTGATCCAACAACATTTAAGAATAATAATATAAGTTTGATATTAATTATTAAGAAAAATTATTTTGTTGTTGTCAAAATTTTAATTAGTGTTAGTTTGCACATTTGACAAAGGTACATAAAGTAGTACATGAAGTAATTTAGAATAAGACATTTGTAAATTTATATTATGTAAAATCATTATGATCTAATTATATATCTAATGTTCATCATTATATATCTAATGTTTGCAAGTAGGGAATTACGATAAAAAAAGAAATAAAATCAAGGTAGAACCTTTCAGAGTTAGTTGATATTGAATATGATGAAGAGTCCGTGAAACTAACATAAATTTTATGCAAATAAAAATTCTCATGTAACTAAAGTTATTTAATAGGTTTTCTATTTCTCATGATAGTCTAAATAACACGTCAGATGATTTTTTTAAATTTCACTAATAGTTTTATATTTTAAAGGTGTAAGAAATAAACTGTTTTAAACGATAACTTTTGTTTATTTATATATTTTCATGTTAACGTTAGTTAACAAATAATGTAACATCTATTAAACTTTATTATGTTTAACTATCAATTTTGTACAATATGAACATCTACTACAGAAGAACGCAACAGAGAAATATAAAAATTAAGACTTTCAACAACATGACTATACACCTTATTATGACAGTAGTGATTCTTTGTTGAACAATTTCAATAGTTATTAGCAATAACATTTTATTCAAAAGTGATTGGGATTGACGATATAGGCAGAATTGGATGACATGTTTCAACTTCCAAAGCAGTTTCCATACAGTCACTAGCGGCTTCGACTTCTCCCAAAGATTCTAATACTTTACCTAGATTATACCAAGTCTGATAGGACATAGGATCAATTTTTGCAGCATCTCTTAATGTTTTTTCAGCTAGTCTTTGACATCCGAGATAATGATATACTAACCCCTGTTGGAGTTTTAATAAAAATGACATCAGCATGTGATGTATTTTTTCAAATATACTTTATTAATCATTTGAAAAATGTTATTTACCAGATGTTGTAAGCTTTTGACATGTGAAGGATTGATTGAAATTGCATTCTGATAGCATTGTTTAGCTTCTGAATATTCCGTTTTATATTCGTGCAAAAGCCCTCGCTAATAAAATAAAATACTTTGAATAAGTGCAGCTTTATTGCAAGTGATAATTCGTATTTCTTTATAGACTTACCGTATACATGATGTGATGGCTTAATGGAAATATATTCGTTGCTTCCTGTATTGACAATGTCGCTTCTTTAGGATGATTTAAAACTAAGAAAACTTCAGCTAATAATAGCCACACTTGCAATTGTAACATCCAGGCTCTTTGAGGTCCAGGTTTGGGAACAAATGAGCTAAGAGATGATGCTACTTCCGATAGTGCTTGCTCTACCCTTGAAGCTGCTAAAGACTGTGCATGAATAGAATCTACAATTTTAATTAAAAAAAACTTATTATTTTTTGATATTTTTGATTATTTTTGATACCGTAGGTACAGTTTTATAAAAAGTTATTTAAATTAAGCTTACTTGAATCTTTATCTGACATTTCAGAAGTGTACATTTGAAAAACACTTCTAGTTTCGCTCCTTTTTTCGCTTTGTTGCTCGTTTATATCGCCGTTTGTCTGATTTTCATATAAATTTTTCCACAAAAATAGCATATGCTTAATAGTAAATAAAGCTTCCTCACCACCAACACTGTGTAATTCTAAATTAGCTTTGACGTATAAAATATTTAAGTTGTCTGGATATTCTTCGAGTATACTATCAATTAAACGCAAAGCTTCCGCGTACTGCTTCTGTGCCGTCAATAACAATGCTAATAAATGTAACGATGGAATGTGTTCGGCTCTAAGACTTAAAGCGATTTTCACATGCATCATAGCTTCTGTCATTTGTCTGTTCATGGCATATTCATGAGCTAAATAATATTCGGCCAGATGATCATTTGGATCACATTGTTGAGCTCTGAAAATTGAAAATATTGTTTAATTATGTAGAAATGCATTCTTTAAATAACTTTAAGATATGATAAATAAACTTACTTGCTGAAAGAATCGAATGCTGAAGTACTGTGTTGTATTTTATCTTGTTTAACAATTGTATTTGCGCAAAGCATACTGTGTCCAATACCATTATAAAGATAACATCGTGATTGTAAGCCTTGAGGGTTTGCCGTTTCACGTTGCAATGCTTTTTGACTCCATTCAATCCCTTCTGCTACCTAATAAAAAAGAAAAAAAGGAACTCATCAGTTATCAATACCAGAAACTTTGTTTAAAATATCTACTCATGCATGAAATTTTATTACCTTATTTAAATGCTCATAGCATAATCTGGATGCCAAAAGACAAGGCATCACTTTTTGAGGTGCTAGTTTTATTATGATTTGTAATACAGCATATGCATGAATATATCTACCTAAACAGATTAAGCATAAAGCATACTGCATCCACACATGAACCTCTCCATGAGAAAATTTCATGGCTCTTTCAAATGACTGTAGGAAAAAATACCAATTAAATAATGTGTTGAAGATCTTTATATGAGTAGTCAAATTACCTCATGTAAAAGCTCAACCTGACTCCATCTAACAACAACAACTGTAAGAAGGTCATAAACAGCTGTAGCATTTTCAAATGCCCGTACTCTTGCTTCTTTGAATTCTGGAGATTGACTTAAAACAGCATCCCTTACAGCCATTGCCTCACTAATTAATAATAATAAAATAATCTCTTCATATTCATTTTTCGGGACAAACAAATTGATGCCAGTATATCGTTTTGGTTTCCATGCAGACTCTGTAGAATTAGTTTTACGAGTAGTGGCATTGGAAACTAAAAATTAAACAAACAGTTACACTTTGACAAATACATTTACTAAAACAATTGATTTAATATAAAATATTTGTAGTTTATACCTGGACCTTCTGGAACATTGTAAGTAATACCTTTCATTCCTCTTAGCAAAGTTTCACCTAGTTGTCGAGTTAATGTCAATCTTATACTTTGAGTTGCTGTTGTTTCAAGTGCAGTTAAAATACCTCTGATGCAATAAATAGTAGCAATTAAATAATTACGCGAAAATTTTCAAACGATCACAAATATTGTTCAAAACATACCTATAACAATCTATTGCAGCTTGAATGTTGCCTGCTTGTAGGTGAATTAAAGGAGCTCTCTGCATAGCAGTTTCTAAAATAGGTCCCATATGTTTTGTAGAGTGTATAGATGTCTGAGGAGATGAAGTTCCTATGAAAACAGACAAAAACGATCCTAATATATTCCTATATCTTTTTGAAATAAATAATTACAAAACCATAAACATACCCATGTTATTACTGTTTATGGTTAACAAGCCATTTTGTTGTTGGATAGCAATTTTATCTTGCTCTTGTAAATAAACCAAAGTTATATCAGTAGCCACTTCAAAACATTTGATCATTTGAGCATGCCACTCTGCTATTTTATACTTGGATTTTGAGGTAGGAGGAAGTTTTTCTAGACATAAGCCCTTTATGGCAAAAGATTCTGCTACAATACGTAAACTTCTACTAGGTAACTGTTTTTCAGTGAGGTTTTGTAATTCAGCTTCTTGATAATGATACAGTGATTCGCTGTACATTCCCATAGCATAATGTAATTTACCAAGGAGAAGTTGTGCATCTAAAGCGACTGGAGCCTGTGAAATGCAAATCATTGTTAATAATTGGTACAATTGTATAATTCAGAGAATGATGTGTCACTTATTATAGGTAATTAGTCATACCTGTTTGTCTTTTTCATTGGCAGCCAACAAAAGGTATCTCTTTGCTTCCGCCAATCCAGCTTTAGCCTTTGTTATATTTACGTCAATCGGAGGAGTTTGTTCCAAGAAATTTTCCAGTCGTGCCTCTCCACCCAAAAAATTCGCCAAACATTCTAATAATAAATGAAAATGTGTGAAATAACAGTATCCCTTTATTACGTCAAATTAAATAGTATGTTTCATAAGAATGGTAAGTTCATGTAGCAGTAAACAAAAAGAGACGAAGAACTGAATAAAAAACATACCGTTAGTTGGGCAGAGTGTTTTGAGTTGATCAGCCAAATCAATAACTTTCTTCCAATTAGCATCTTCTCTATTTTTATCAATATCAGCTTCGATCCGCCAGTTCTGTCCTTTCTTACTGGTCATGGTGATGTACTTATCGTAATAACATCAACGATCGAAAAAAAGCAATTAGAGAAAAAACAGACCGTGACTTTTGACGTTCAATATCGCCAAGGATGAGCACTTTTTTATCACTGACGTCTCGCCTTCTCCTCTTTCCTCGCAGTCCTTGTTAGCAATAAATTATCCGTCGGCCTTTTTAACCTCATCGAAGTGATCGTAATCCTTGCAGCTTCAGAATTCTAAATTATCAACTTCGTTACACAAACTTACTTTTCCACACGCGAGCGCACGATGAGAAAATTTCCACGCTCCGTTCTTGACAAACCAATGTACATCGTACACATACATACGTCGTTAGAACGATTGGGTGGTGGTAGCAGCAGCACGCGGGCCATAAAATACATCACCTGTGAACAGAAGCGCCGTGCGCAGACGCAGATATGGTAACATAAATGTTCTACCTTAGTGATTCGTTTATTTTTTAACATCAAATAACTGCCCCTCTAATTAATTAATAAAATAATGTTCCGAACAGAGTAATTATGACATTTGATATTCGCTTATAATGAAAACAAATACAATCGATTATATTATTTGAACAGATCAGTGCATTTTACTAAACGGAATAGAGCAAGAGAGAGCAAGAGAGAGAATGCAAGAACGAGAGAGAAAGAGAGAGAGAGAGAGAGAGAAGAGAAAGAGTGAAAGAAAAAAGTGGAGGAGCGGTGCGGCGAGGGATGTGAGCGAACGAGCTTTATAATTGTACGAAAAATTCATAGATGTTCAAGCAGCGGACACATTAAGCAGGCATCAGTCACAAACAACTAACAAGATAAGAATATTAAATTATTCCCATCCTGTTAAAGGTGTATGCGCGCACTTGCCAACTTTAAAATACATAAACATACGACATTTTCAAAGAGGTATACTTAGATCGATATAGAGCTAGAAAAAAATCCTTTCTGCGGTGGTGGATGCGACAACAATACGGCGGTAGTCAGTAGTCATCAGTGCATGATGACGCGGGGATAGCTACGTACAAGTCAACACGTCTCGAGTCACGACGAGGGCGGCTAGTTAGTGGCGCGCACGATTCTGAAGGAATAGACAAGCAATGGACTTTGCCGGAATCGCTTCATCCCTTATGGGACACTTTCGGCATACAACTAACGTGATCAGCAATTTATCATCCTAGTGGTTCGTGCAATCTGCTGCTTGCAGATTAATGCTTTTATCTGATTCATGAGCTGCTTGTTGCTGATGACGCATCGATGTAAAACTCGCTGTAGAAACTAACGACGTAAGTCTCAAGCTTTATTTTGGTTGTCTGTGCTGCAAGCTCATTCTTCTTCCATAACACTTTAACCTCAATATCATCCCTACGATTTATTCAAGGGATGAATATCCCCTATCTTGTAATTTACTTGAAACGCATGTGATAAGTGCTGCATAGACCAGTAAATATATATAGTGTTTCAAAAATTATTCCAAAAGTAAGTCGCTGTTAACTTTTTAATATTTTGAGCAAAGTCAATTGCAGTTTCTATTTTTTATTAATTTTTTTCCATATCTGAAATATCAAACTTTCAGTTTATTTGTTTATTTTATATAACTTATAATTGCAAATTTTCATTGAATTTTATACAATGACCAGGAAGTTTTATAATGGAGGTAGGCCTGATAAAAATAGCGGAAGATAGAGATTTTGAAAAACTTAAGAAACTTTACGATGATAATAATGACTGGAGGTTGGATTACAATAAACCAGATTTATCAGTTTGGACAAAATCCGTTCAAGGGATCAGTTTCAGAATGATAAAAGTAAGGATCAATTTAATTTCGCAGATGTTTAAAGCCAGATTTAACTTGCTAAAAAATGTGTCCAATAATATATTAAATATATATATGATTTGTTATTACAGATTAGAACAAGATTTCCTGATGTGCTGCCAGAAACAATGTATGATGTTTTGCACGATCCTGACTACAGAAAAATATGGGATACTCATGTTATCGATACAAAAGATATAGGCTTTTTTAATCCTAACAATGATCTTGGTTATTATTCGAGTACGTAAAAATTATTTTAGACTATTATTTCCTTTCATTTAACTTATACAAGTCAGACTTTGTATTACAACTTAATTTTAGTGGCCTGTCCATCTCCTCTTAAAAATCGAGACTTTGTGTTACAAAGATCATGGCTTGATACTGGAACAGAACAATTGATTATTAATCATTCTGTTTATCACAAAGATTATCCTCCAAAAAAAAGTTTTGTTAGAGCTACCTCATTTTTGACAGGTATGTGCAGCAAAAGATACTTATTTATTGAACCCTGTCTAACAAGAATGAAAATTACATTAATTTTTTATTTCTTAGGATATGTTGTAAGACCTTCTCGAAATGGAGAAGGTACAGAGCTTGGATATGTATCTCACATAGATCCACATGGAAAATTACCAGGGTGGTTGGTGAATAAAGTTACACAAATATTTGCCCCAAAGGTGAAAGACTTTATGTATTGCTATTGTTATTATTACCTCAAATATATATTCATACATAAATATACATATATATACACGCACGCGCGCAAACACACACATGATATGTATACTGTGAACTATAAATTTATTAAAATGTGATATGAATCAGTAACTAATGGTACGGTATTACAGATGGTTAAAAAGTTACACAAAGCTTCAGTTGCTTATCTAGATTGGAAAGTAAAAAACAACCCAAATTTTAAGCCATGGCATTTTCCAGAACAAATTATTTCGCCAAGAATAAGATTAGAAGATGTGAGTATTTTATTTTGAATGGATTTTTGAAATTTCATTTGCCTATAAATAATGTAAGTTAATGTACAATGCATTTTTAGTGTGTCAAATCTACAGAGGAAAAGAATCTGAAAAATAATTACGTTGATGAATCCAACATAAAAGAGTCACGAAGTAAAGATATTGAAATTATGGATAGTGATTAACCTTCCATTACATTAAGATGGTTGTTAATATATTAAGTAGATATACATTTTTAATAAATCAGCTTGTGATGTTCAGTATTGAAAAGTCAAAGCATAGAATGAAACCATCAATTTTGTATGACGAAGTTCGATTTTACGAGCTCTGAATGTTTAATTCATGATCAGAGCTGTTGTTGACACATTGTTTTCTTTGTTGGAAGATGGATTGTGAGGTATGCAAATGATTATATCTAGTCAAGAAGGTTGTACGTTTAAGCTAAGTGTAGATTTTCGAGTAATCATTGACAATTTGAGTCGGAAAAAGAAACCAAAGTTGAAGAAAAGTGAAATACAACGCGCAATATACAGGGTTATAACTCGTTAATAAGTATTCAAATACATTGTAAAGAAATAAAAATTTCATCCTTTGTATGATTTTCAATCTCTACATCTTGAAGAATTTTTCAGCACAGATGTTACATGAAATCGTTTACCGTTTATATTGTGCGTTTGTCTATAGAATTGTTATCTATTGATTAACGATAATATTTAGAGAAGTAAGTTTTATATAGAATTTAGTTATAAATTTAGTTGTAATAATATGGTACACGAATTTCGTATCAAACATCAGGGAATTGGTGGAAAACCGTTTTATTGACTAGTCTTGATATCTAGTTAGAAGAACTAGTAAATTATTGTTAATTTTTACTTTGACGAGGTTCAGCGAAAAAGTAGTGAAGACTTGTCATCACAAGATATATCTTTGCGAAAAAGAAAAAGATCGTTTCGAAGTCATTCCATTTTGATAAAATGATTCTTCATTAAATTTTCATTAAATGCGATATATCTATGCAAATATATTTTTAATCGTACGACATACATAAAGTATTTCAATTAATTGTATTCAATGATGAAGATATTAATTCATATTTTACTCGATTAGAATTTAGGTAAATTTTTTCTACTTGACACTAAATCTTTATCCATTTCTAAACTAGCTATTATCCAATTCTTATGATTTTATTTGAATAATTCCACATTACGTAAGACTGCGTTCGGCTATAACGTGTTTCATTCAATCTATTTCAATAATCGCTTGAGCTCGGCTGTTGCAATCAAATTAATCTACATCTGCATCTATTTATTGCATGTAATCCACTAAGCATCTGCACAATCATCATTTGAACGATACAACGTCAATTTACAGACAAATAACTAGCCTAGACATTTCATTGATATGAGTTTCATTTTTGTTAATCACAATGTTTAATTATGAGAAAATTTCATCGAATTATGTCGCAATTATACATTATCACCAATAGACTTTTATAGATTTATAACAAAAACAAGAAAACTCTAAGACAAAGACTTATTAAAACATTCAAGATTGTCATCGTATTCAAAATATTAACAAATATTCGCGTGTAAACCAAGCAAGCGAAATTGTCATAGAATGACATTATTTTTTCGTAACTGCAAAGACTGTCTGCGCCTCACGTGCACAGAAGTATCCATCGTGCATAAATTGAAAGAATTGCAACAAATATTACTGCATAATGTTTTTCGATTCAGTGAGCACTTTCGTCGGCTTTTTTTTGACAAAAGATTATTCATAACATTCTATCCTGGATTTCGAAAGACAAATCGTGATCCAAAGTAACGAACGACTGATTTAAAGTACTAAACGTTGCTGTTGTTGGTTGTTCTTATCCTTTGCTTGGCTCGTTACCTTTGCATTTGAATTTGCGCCTGATTCTTTGCAGGCTCGCTGCCACATCGACTGTTCTAATACATAAGCTACTAGTTTAAAAGTACGAGGGTCAGGATGAAACTTTGACTTGGAAAGGTGCATCGAGCGTACGGACAGACTCTGCAACCGGTTGAGTCGAATCGTTAGAAGCTGCATTAAAATATCTTTGATACCGGCACAGAAAGCCAAATGGCTAAACGCGACAGAAAGCCTTGGTTTTCCATATCAACAATACACATCACGCTGTGTGTACATCTGTATACACATTATTACCTTTACAGCAGATTTTTATCTCTCTAACTAGATTCTTTCCGTTCGTATCGATGTATTATATTAGAATGAAATGTTAAAAGTATTGTCCATAGACTGTACAGTGAGATCTTACTATACATGATAATTAAATACAATATTTAACAAAACTTTGTAGTTAATACGTCTAGTTTTTCTCTGCGATTACGCCAATGTTACAAACAAATTTTGGAAATATTTTTGTGCTTTGAATATATTGTATTGACCTAAGATTTTGAGCATTATATCAAACAGTTGAGCATTTTGTGATTATAATAAAATATTACATCCTATTTGGTTAGCGTTTCAATATCTCCTTTATTGACCTAGTGTCAGTATACCCTTGAATGACACAAACTCAACAAACCATGTCTCTGTCCTGTGGATCACCAGCTGAATTCAAAATCGATCGTGTGGTTTAAATAATTTCTCCTAAATGCAGACAGATACTTCAGCGTGCCGTCGAAGGCTCAGTTAGTTTTGCACTTGACAACATTTTAATATGAATATTGCTCAAAGTAATGTGATGGTCGTTTCGCAAATAAACTATATTGGCACCATCATGTCAATTCGAGTCTTTGACGAATGTTATTGTGCGCATGAGAAAATTCGTGGAGCAAGTATCCGACAATCATTTATATTTTGCTTGTTACTACTCGATGTCAGCTTGACTAAGGCGTCGATGAAACTTTGACGGATTCATTGGTGTGTAAGTCGCATTATGTGCATCGAACACACACGTTTGTTAAACAATCACATTTTCGGCGGATGTGATCCGAGTGTCGATCGAGTAACGGGCATCGCGAATTGGGCTGGAATGAGCTGCGGAAGGATTCTTAAGTCAGGTGGACGAATCGGCGGGCAGGGGCTGTAAGCGATGCGGCGCAGGCAGAGGCGATCGAAGTTGTTCAGGCGACAAACGCTCGGCATTGGCGAGGCGTTGCAATCGGCCGATCTCGCTCGGAGATACATAGGTAGGTGCCGACTGCTCGGTGTCTACGCGTCGCAGCCAATCGATAGGCTAAGTCGCAAGCACTGTCGAGTCCCCGATTCGCCGAGTAAACCTCTTCGTTCGCTTATCTCATCGACGAGTATTGCATTATCGCAAATGTACCAACTTTATCTGTGAGATCGTTATCACGCTACGATTTATCACTGTCATTCAACAACCAAACTCCAACTGTTCTCGATCCGTTTATTCGTGTGCGCTTAAAGTTTCTACGTATATTATTGGTTGATCGCATCGAATATGCGAATAGCAGGTTTCTATTAAAAAGAGTATAATGGTCGGCATCGGTATTTACTTTACTCGATCATAAAAATCTAATAAAACAAGCCTGTACTACATAAGTAGCAATTCGTTCAAAGAAGGGTAAGTACCGTAAAAATCAGAAGCAAGTAATATCCCGCTTGGAAAAAATTGTCAAGCTTCGACGAATTGTTACTCGGAAGTAAGCACGTTGGGAAAGTGTTAAGATATTTCGAGCATGTAAATTAGCTTCGGGTGCAAAAAGAGACAAATGAGCGATGAGTAAAGCCCTCTTTATCAAAACCGATTTCACATTTGGTTGCAAGCTTATTAATTAGCAAGCGCAGCACCGTAAACGTGTTTATTAGAAAAGACCGACTTAAATGGAAAAAAAACTTTAACAACGTTTATTCGTATTCGAATTAGTTTCGTAATTCCAGGAAGCAGATATCAAGATAGGCTGCTTTCGGTAGCATGAAAATAAGACATCTTGATAGTACAACAACGTGATGGATGAGGTGAGACGTGATTGCGTACGTAGTTGCACTAAGGAAGCCAGGCAAACGAGACGTCAATCAAAGCGAGAGAGAGAGAGAGAGAGAGAGAGAGAGAGAGTGAGAGGCAAAAAGGTTGGGAGGAAGAGGTGCATGTGTGGTGCGGTGCTGTTATCGAGAAGAGGAGCTGGCAGCAATTAGACGGGGGACAATGGGGCACAAGTGTGGTTGAAAGCGACGTCGGTCGCGTGGAATCCAGCTGGTTTTGCATAACGAGAGAGAGAGAGAGAGAGAGAAAGCATACGGAATGGAAAAATGAAAAGGAAGAAGAGCTGTCGCCAGTACGAGATTCAAGGTGAGAAGATTAGCTGGAAACCGAAGCTTGATTGACGAACAAAAAGGTGTCGATTAGCCGCGACAAAAGCTCGCAATGGTCAAGCAGGAAACGCCACTCAAAAAAGCAATAGAAATAGAAAAAGAGGCAGAGAGAGAGAGAGAGAGAGAGAGAGAGAGAGAGAGAGAGAGAGAGAGAGAGAGAGAGAGAGAGGAAGAAAAAGCGGCTAACGGAGGAAAGAAGAAGCGGGAAGGGGAGCTGGCCGTCGGCGTGAGCGTTGAGCGACGGCGACGGCGAGAGCTAATCGTTGGAAGGAAAGCAGCGTGGCTAAGGTCGAGGAAAAGTACTTGGAGCGCGTGTAGGCTGTTATCGCGGGCAAGGCCGCCGATAGAAGCGGCTGCGCATACAATGCTCGGAGCGACTGGTGGCCGGAGAGGAGCAGGTCTTTTGTGCGGGCGCGCGCGGCCGTTAGTCCAGTACAATTCCAAATGGAGAGGGACGTGAGAGCGGGCAGCTGGTTTATCCTTGGGATCGCTCATAACTATCATACTAATTAAAGTATCGTATCCGTCACCTCGAATTTCCTTCTGCTGGTTGCACAATAAATGTTTAAAAACTGCTGACGGAGGACTCTCTTCGATGAATTTTCTCATTTTGTTGGATTTACACGTCGTGATATAAAATTGTAAAAGTCAATAAAAAAAAACATTCTGATAACTGACATTTTTCGTGTTTGGAATTTCAGTTGAGCAATAGTAACGAACATTATTGATGCCTACGCTTTGCAAACTACAATTTTTTAAGAATTGATTTTAGGAGATCATAAGTTAAGACAACACAATATAAGTGCACTTAGCGCTGCTGCTATTATTTTCTAACTAATTTCATTATTTCCAATGATGTCTTAGTCAAAATACAGCTCAAATTTAGTCGTCAATAATTGTTGCGCTCAATTTTAAGTTAAAGAAAAAGATATGCACTTACCACTTATAAATTATCAGAAGGTTGTATGTGAAATGTACAAATGAAACTCCAAATTTATACTTGAAAATAACACCGCAAACGGTGACAACGTCACCACGTGCAAGTCATCGGTTACCAGGACAAACTTCCGAGGAACACCTTTCTCTCATAAAATCCGATGCTCAACTAGTTGCCCTGTACAATTCTGTAGGGAACTGTTTGTATCTGGCAAGCAAATACGTCATCTTGTCTCTCTTGAAATACAGTTCTTGAATGCTTCCGTAAGCAAGAGATCTTCGCTCATTTGTCGAAGACAGCATTCATTGTTAGAGCTGAAACTGATGATACATTTCGGTATTGTTCGTCAACTTTTTCAAAATGATTGCGATGTAGTATACTGGCATACAATTGATTCTCGAACTACAAAAATAATTCCAATTCTAGTTATCTTCGTGCACACGATCCATTAATAAAAACAGACGGTGTAAAGAGAGCGCAGCGATTTTGAACTCGTCAATTTTTCGTTGTTACGCCGAGCTGGCCCCACCACTGCGATTCTGACGCCGGGGAGCGAATTTCGCGTGTGCTGCCTCTTCTTTTCCAGCTAATTGTACAGTGATCATCGCAACGTATTTTTCATCAAAGAAAATGGAAATTTCTATGCGATTCGGGGAACGTATAGAACGGTACGTTTTGATCGCCAAACTATTCGATAACTCTGAATGAAATTGTCGAAATCGAAAGTGTAGAGCGGAAGAAGATTCCGGTTCTCCAGCACCACGCATGATTTTCTTCAAATTTTTATTAGAACGCAAATTCGCAGCAATGTTCCGTTTATTAACGATACGATATGATTGTTATGGCATCTGACAGTTGAAAGCTCACCAGCATCTGTGGAGCGATCGCGGCGAGTGTCCAATGCCCTTCTTCCCGACCTGTGCGCTATTGCAAGAATCGCATGATTTTGACGAAAGAATGCGATGGCTCAGTAACTAAGACGGGCATCGATCTGAAAGTTGGTAGCTTTCAAAGAGCACGCATTTCATTGTGACGATGGATTGCAAGCAGAAGCCCATGCAATTCGGTGTCGGTGCATTCGTTAGCCTTAAAAACCGCTGGCGCAAAAGGCAGAAAGGAAAAATGCGAGCGATCGGCAGCGTCGGCACCGGCAAAGGTGGAAATTCGTGGACCGGGCGAAGGATGGCGGCGGCGACGGCGGCCGAGTCGGGCGCGAGCGCGACGGGCGACTGCGAAGGCGCGCGAAAGCGAGCACGCTCACGTAACAATTCAATCTGCCGCTACTGATAGGCGCGGTGAGCGCGCGGTCGGTGCTGATGATTAGGTCAGGCCGGGCAGCGAGGAGGGGGTTGGGGTCCCCACTTGCGCATGGATGTCTGTCACTTTCGGGCGACGCGCGCGCGGCGGGAGGCGCGGCGGGCGAGCGCGAGCGCGACAGATAAAGCGGGCGGGCGAGCGCGCATCAGATGCGAGAGATCGGATCGGGAGCGCGCTCAACAGTTGATAAAGGCCAGCCGTGGGCCGAGGAGCAGCGTCGCAGGCTCGCAGCGGCCCCAGTGCATCGCAATCGAGAGTCGTCGCAGTGGTGCTCGGTCGCGCGCTCGCAGTCGGCTCGGCGCCGGGAAGATGCGCGGCAGGACCGCGCGGCCCCAGGCAGCGCGCGTCGCCGGCCGCGGCAGCGGCGCAGCATGAGCGGCGCCAAGAGCCAGAGCCAGGCCCGCGGCCGCGAGCAGGCCGCGGGCCGGGCCGCGCGGCTGCAGTACGGCGCGCTGGGCCTGCTGGACGCGGCCTTCTCCGCCGCCGTGGTCGGGCCCGCCGTGGTGGGCTACTGGCGCGGCACCTGGGCCCTCAGCGGCCTCTACATCCAGCCGGCGCAGGACCCGCGGCTGGGCTGCCTGGCCGCCGTGCTGCTGGGCTTCTGCGGCCTGCTGGGCTTCAGCCTGGGCCAGCGCCGGCTGGCGCGCCTGCTGCGCCCGGGGCCCGGGCCCGCGCGGCGCGCGCTCGCGCTCGGCGGCTCGCGCGCCTACACCTACGTGTTCGGCTTCTGCTGCGTGAACGCCTGGCGCGGCGCCTGGCAGGCGCTCGACCTCTACACCGAGCACAGCCTGCTGCCCGTGGCCGGCACCACGGGCCTCAGCCTGCTGGCGCTGGGCCTGATGCGCACGCTGCGCAACATCTCGGCGCCGCCGTTCGCCATCAGCCTCGACGGCTTCGCCAACTACTTCGAGGTGCCCACGCTGTTCCGGGTGGACGTAAGCCTCGCAGCGCCGCGACCAGCGGCCGCGCCGCCGCCACCGCCGCCGCCGCCGCCGCCGCCGCCGCTGTACTTGACACAGTTGCGGGGCGCTTCAATTGTTCCGTGATTGCGCCAATGAGCGCGGCGGCGGCGGCGGCGGCGGCGGCGGCGGCGCGCACGTGCTCCGGGCGGGGGCGCGCAGGTAAGTGCAGCGCGGCCGTTGCAGGCCTCGCGGGACTGGGCTCTCTACGCACTGGACTGCGCCTTCAGCGTGGGCGTGGTAGGCACGCTGGTGGTGTTCGTGTGGCGCGGCGCCTGGGCACTGCTGGACCTCTACCTGTTCCCCGAGAGCCGCGAGCACTCGGCCGTGGGCTCGCTGGTGAGTGGGCGGGCGCGCGGCCAGGGGCGGCGCCGCGGTCGCGCGCGCGCCCCTCACGGCTCGCGGGCTCTCGTGTCGCAGGTGGTCGGCTACGCGCTGGTGGGCCTGGCGTTCTCAGCGCAGCCGCTGGCGCGGCGCGGCTGCGCGCGGCTGCAGGGCCTGCGCCGGCTGTTGCTGGCCGACCTCTTCCTGCTGCTGAGCTTCCTGGGCACGGTGAACGTGTGGCGCGGCATCTGGAACGCGCTGGACCTGTACCTGCTGCCCGGCCGGCCGCAGGCCTCCTGCTGGCTCAGCCACGTCGGCTGCTTCCTGCTGCTGGTGCTGCTCAACTGCAGCAACTCGGTGCTGGTGCGCGGCGTCTACATCGACGGCGAGGAGCAGGGCGGCCGCTGCGTCGCCTTCCCTTGCCACTACCTGCGCCTGCTGCTCCAGGTAGGCCGCCCGCCCGGCGGGCCAGCTTCGCCGCGACTCACGGCCGCTTGGCTCTCGGCGCAGGAGGAGCGCCGCGGCAGGGAGGCCGCCGCGGAGCCGGGCGCCAAGCAGCCCGAGGGCGACGCGCTGCTGGCGGAGGCGGCCGCGGCCGCGGTCGCGCCCGCCGCCCCCGAGGCGGCCGTCTGAAGCCGCCGCCGCCGCCGCCCAGGACTGTAATACTTAACTCGCTGCCCTCGGCGCCCCTGGCTCTGCTCGAATTTACTAGCCCCTAAGAGTGCACTCGCGTCCATCTGTGCCGGCGGTCCGCTGCGCTCTCGCGCGCGCGCTGCCGTGCGATGCTCGGGACGGAGGCGAGCGCCTGCAGGTATATGTATTCGCATATTCGCATATGTACGTGTAGCCTATGTGTAATTGAAGCAATGTCAATAAATACATGTGTTGTTGCTGTTCAATAAAAACGCAAATAACCGATAAATGCCAATGCTGATTGATTTATATCCGGGGCGCACCTGCGCCTAGCGCGCGCCACCCTGCTGCCGCGGCCGCGTTCGGCCCGATTTCTCGGCGGCCGGGCCGCCCGCGGGATCGGACTAAATTGGCCCGCAAGCCTCGGGCACGTGAATGCGCGTCGATGCGCGTCGATGCGCGTCGATGCGCGTCGATACGCGCGGATCGGCAATCGGGGGGGCAGCCGGCTATATTTGTTCCGACTCGCCGAAAAGCCAATCGGCCGGGCAGCCCGCACTCGCGCCGCTCGTCCGATCCGATCGAGATCAGCCGAACCCGCGAGCAGCCGCTAAGCGCACACGCACGATCGACGACATGGCATCGGCCGACCCCTTGGCACTAGAGCCGCTGGTCTCCGTGGAGTTCGAGGTTTTCGGGCGAGTGCAAGGTAAGTCGGCCGTCTGCGGCGCCGGCCCCCCCGTTCGCCACTCATTGCTCACTCGACCTATTGTTGCACCATTGCAGGTTCCACAAGTAAGTGTCTCGCACAAGCATTCTCACGCACGCATAACCATACGCATAGGTAGGTGGCTAGCGCGCTGATCGCCGGCACGGAGTAAGGCTGTCATTGACGCGGCAGAGCCGACGATCTCGTAACCGAGCGCTAGAGCCGTGTTCTTGGCATGCCCATCGCGAGCCAATCGACCATTGCCGATCGAGCGTCGCGCTGCTCGTACGCAAGCCTTCGCCGCTACATGTATTGTGTGATATGTTTGTGCTAGCTTGCTCCTTCACGAGGTACGTGCGGGACCTGTGCCAGCAGCTCGGCATCGTCGGTTGGGTGAAGAACACCAGGGCCGGCACGATCCTCGGCAAGATGCAGGGGCCGCAGGCGCTCGTCGACCAGATGTAAGTGTCTCCGCGGGCAGCGGGCCCGAGGCCAATTCAATGAGCGAGGCGGCAATTGAGCCACGCTGCTTCTTCTTGGAGCGCGCCAAGGTGGACGCGCCGCACTGCCGGCCAATGAGCGCCATTAGAGCCAATCGATCAATCCGAGTGCAGTCGACGCTCGGCGACACTCGCGATTGACGCGTTCCAGCCTCGGCGGCGCGCGTGCGTCGCCGCTCGATAACAACTCGGCCCGCCGACGCGGCCGCTCGCGTAAGGGCGAGAAGGCGGGCGCGCGCGCGCGCGCTCGGCCGAGGACCGATCGCGGACGAGACCCACTGAGCCACATTCGCGCGCGCTACGAAAATAAAGCTGCGCGGGCCGCGCGGCCCTCAAGTTCAGTGCCAGCGAGCTGACTGCCGGTGGCGCAATCGCGGCCCGGCCCGCAGGACTGCGAGGCCACGCGCCAGGTGGGCAGTCGGCCAGCCGCGCCGGCTCGGAGGCAGGAAGCGAGCCCCACATCGGCGCGTGGTGACGACTCGCGCGCGCTCCTTTTCTCCTACGCCAGTGCGCGGCCGCTCGCTCGGCGAAAACGCTGATTTGCCGCCAACTTCGAACGGAAGTGGCTTATTAGAAGTGCATCCTTGATGTCGAACAATGTGCCGCGCGACTGCCCTCCTCCGAAAAAAGGAAGTCAATTAGCCACCTTGAGCAGCCCGACCGCCGCAATCGCAGCCAACAATGCGTCCCCTTGGCGCGCTCGGCCGCAGCCTCCCTAGTGCATTCTCTTTCAATCAGCTTGCCGATCGCAAATTTCCCGCCTCGGTCCGCTCTGCCAGCGCGCCTATGTATTGCAGCACCCGCTCCTATTCGCAACAACCACCGGCTCAAGCGGCTCTCGCTTTATTTTCAGGGCTAATTGGCTGTCTACCGTTGGAAGCCCGGACAGCAACATTCACCACTGCGAATTCCGAGATTTGTGCTCCGTAGCCAAGCCAGGCTACAAAGGCTTTCAAGTTCGCTTCTGACCCGACCATCTCGACTCGAGTTCCCTTCCATCGTCCGACCATCTGCGATCCTCGGCGACGACAACGCTCATTCGACTCTGTAACTTTGTCTATGTTCAGAACCGTCAACCAGTTTTATTTTTAATCGACGCCTAGCTATGGCTGGGCTATACGTCTAAAAACGATATTATATATTCGGAACTCGTCAGCTTGCATTTGTTACTTGCTTGACTTGTTCTTTTGTGAAACACCCAATTCATTATTGCGTTTGACTAATTTTACCAATAAATAAACCTACTATAATATGTTAACAATCACTGTTTATTTTATGCTTCAATTCTATAAACATCATCTTTCACTTTATCGTATCCCATTTCTACCAACGCCGATATTCAATTGGCGAAAAATTAACGAAAACTTCGTCGCCGATTTGCGTTCACTAGTAGTAATTTTTTCTCACTAGATTCAACAAATTCAATATATCTACATGTGCAATATTTTTATGCAAGTTAAAAATAGCGCAAAAATTAGCGCATTGACCTTGTTTGATGCAAGTGTAACAACATTTAGACTTAGAAAGTATATCAAAATGGTTGAAAATGTACAAACGAGCAGTATATAAATACTTGCCGAAGATCACTAAATTTCAAAAGAATTGTCCTCGTGTAAATAATAACACTGCACAGGCGACTCCTTTCCCCTCTCTTTCTTTCTCTTACTTCAGTGATCAACCTACTTAAAATCATTTATACTTTGTTATGAACTTTTCATCAATCGACGCTTCCTGGTGTATCGCCTGCATACATAAAGGTTGCATCGAGCATCAGCTGTGCTAGGTCATATTGCTTATGGGACTCGGGAAGATTGTGCAAGACTTTTCGCACTAATTGCACTGTATCATCATTGGTGCAGTTTGTGTAAACTAAGCTTGGATCATCCTGTGGCCAAAGAATAAAACGATCGTCACCGGTTATAGTTATACTACGCTAAATGTAATAACGAATACTCACCCAGGAAAGAGTCTGTAAATAATTTGTAAGCATTGGATTTGTTCTCGTCAATGCTTCCAAGATATTCGGAACTTTGGCTAAATAAGCCATCATGCGTCTTCCTGCTATAGGTAACAGCTTAGCGGCTAGCCTTTCAGTATCGTTCACAGCGCTTGATAGCTAAAGCACGCATACGGGGTATTAACGTTTTGAGAGAAAGTCGAATAGTTGGCAAATTTGACAAATGCATACCTCTTCGGCCAGCTGATCAAATCCATTCACATACAACTGGCAAACCTGATGTATTCTCAATTCATCGTAACTAACTTTCCAAGTGGACGCAAGACTTTGACATTTGCTCATCCATTCCATTGCTTGTCTCCAATCCAAGTTTTCTACGCCTGTCGTCTCCTGATGAATAGAATCCATGGAGCCCGTAATAACTCGACAAAGAAAATCAATTCGCTGACGATCTCTCTTGTCGTCCTTGTACCAGGGAATCATTGTCTTGTTGGAGATGTCTTGGAAAAAATATTGATGTGCCTGTGAGTCGAAGCAATATGGTCAATCATTAATCATTTCAGCAGTATCAAGTGCAATCGCAATTCACGCACCATCGAATCAAACAGGTTGTTTATGGGCTTTGGTATTTTTAAATTGAAGTAGGCAATCATGTGCAACACGTTTACCAACTGCAAATGCAGTAACAACAAATCATAACAAGCTAGCGCCTGAGAAATCGCCAAGACAGCGAACGGTCTTGGACCAGGCGGATGGCCTTCCCATAATTCTTCAGCTCTCACAAAATAGCAGTTTTCCTCTTCTATGACCTCCGCCTGTAATGATAATAAAAGAGTACGGCTTGTAGTGCTAGACCGACCATAATAATAATAACAATAATAATAATAATAATAATAATAATAATAATAATAATAATAATAATAATAATCGGGTCGTGTCCTTACATCCAAAAAAATTTCTAAAAACATGGTGCAGTGCTGTAGGAACGTGATTACTTGCATAGTCGACAGCCCGAGGTCTTGCATGCACAACCGCTCTTTCGGTAGTTTACCTAACTTATTGATAAGCTTGGCAATGCTTTCCATTCTTTTCTTCAAGTGCACGCTCCATAAAAGGCAGCAAACTCCTAAAGTGCAAAGCTATCAACGCTGTTTCTTCAAATTTTCAAGGCTATGCTTATTGCACTTATTATCCAATTGAAAAATTACCGTGGCGAGCTTTGCTCAGCGGAATTTGACGCAGCACAGTTAACGCGGCCTCCAAAGCTTGCAGCTTCGTGATATCTTTATTCCACGATATCACGTATTCCCATGCTAGATTAGCGAGTAAAACGCTGCTAGTCAAGCTGTACGGGAAATAGCGCTTGAGTAAGGCTACTTGATCTGCAACAACCGACATTTAACTTTGTATGCCGCACAACTGCATTAACTGTTTCTCCCTCCTATCAACGTTACCTAGTACGTTTGCGAGAGCAGTTGGCTTGGGGTAGGCTTCGCGGCCAATTTCCACTGAAACTGGCAGCAAAGCTGTCGGATGTTGCTGCAGCTTGAGTTCAACAGCTTTCGCTTCGTCCGAGGAGCTAGAGAGCTGCGCTGAATCTGCGGCCACGAGCCGCAATTGCTCGAATTCAACGTCCGTCGTGTCTATTAGGCGAGCTGGATCAACTCCTGCTGAGCTCAGCCATTTCGCAACAATCTCTGACACGGACCCTGTAACGCTCGTCGCGTTTTTCCGTTAATCTCAACGATAATTCACTTACATTCACTGACAAACGATACCTTTGCCTTTCGAGAGAACAAGTCCTAATGAGACGTTTATAGCTTCATGTGGCAGAGTATAAAACGTCGTAGTCTCATCTAACTCCGGAGGTTTACTGAAAGCACGGCAAAATTTTAGACTAGTCGTAAGTACACCTAACCTTGCTGTATCATGAATTACCTGACTACAGCATTTAATACCGTGATATCCTCTAAATTACCAATAAGTAACGAAAACTGGCAGGTATCTCGGCTCACGTTTTCCCAGTCACTTATGCAGCTAACTGCTTCTTCTTCGACGGACGAATTGTCATCTCTGTCGTCCTTTTCATCCATTTGTTCTGGCCCATCAGCAGAATTTGTTTCATTACCTTCCTCATTTCCACTGTTATCTCTGCAACTAGTTTGCAATCGGTCTCTATTTCTTTGTATTGTTACCGATACGGCTCTGCATGCCATTGTTGCTGTCAGTGCGCTAAACGGGTTACTGGAATTGGTCAAGATTATTCGAACGTCCCTCCACCAATTAGAAACCTCATTGTAGCCTGCATAAACTTCTTCAGAATCTAAAACATTTGAAAACGTTCATCTACCCGCTTGCAATCGTTAATTGGATATATTGACAATTTAAGCTAGTCCATCATCGATTACCATTTAACGAACAGATGGCATTTAAAAGCTTCGTAAAGTTGATCAGTTCAATTTCTAAGCGAGCATCAGCCTTTCTGTTCAACCAATAAAGCAAAGCAAATTCCATCAGAACCGCTGGTTGGATTTCACTATTTAATGCATATTCCTGCCATTTTGATATAGGATCATTTGAAGACATCCATCCTTGAAATATTAACTTTGCTGTGAACATTACATTACATTACGAGTTGAAAGAAATAATTGGATTCTTACTCGTTATTATCTCACGCACTTACAAATTTGGCATTTCCTGTCATAACCAATGTCTTTATGTAATGCCAAAAAACCCGAACAACCGAATTCAAAACTACTCAGAAAATCTAAAAACGATATGTCGCCTTCTTTAAATGTTACTCTCGTTTGAGTCTTTGGATCGGTGTCACGCAAATCTGACAATGTTTTTGAAAGCTTCAATATCCTAAGAACTTCCCGTTCAGAAGTGAATAATATGGAAGATAATTGCTTTCTGTCAGGAACTACGTCTGAAGCTACAGTATAATACTCGGGAGGCTGATCAAATTGCGCTTTTATGTATTTGAAAAACTTAATCGCTCTTTTCAGCTGATTAATTGTCTGACTGAGAGCTTTGGTAACCGATTCTGTATCATCTTCATCTGTATACATGAAAAACAAAAGAAAATAATAAAAATGTGAACTTCATTTAAATGAATAAAATTACATACCTTGTATATCCAACTGTTTGGAAAAACAATTAGTGGCCGCAAGTAAAGAATCAGGCGTGATATACTTGCTCGCCATAAGCATTTCAATACTTTGTAATCGAACGTCGTTCGTTCTTAAATCCAAACAAATATTTGTGATTTCATCGATTAATTTCGACTCGTCAAACTCTCCTTCTCTCAGAAATCTTTTCAATTTTTTGAACAAGTGTATGTCTCTAGCTCTATTACTATTTTGATTGCTTAAAGCAAAGTGGAATGGAACAATGATTTGTCGTATGCTTCCAAGTGGATCCATAAAGATACAAGGGTATAGTGCTTTATTTCCAGCCGTTGCAACATCATTTAACCCACATAAACCATAATTAGTGTAGAGGAGCCTATTGTAATAATAGTAAGAATTTTTATACAGTAGTCCAAATAATAAATGTTCTTAGGAAACGTAAAAATTTGCAATCGACCTTCCATTTTTACTAGCCGAAAAGGTTGTGATTTTAATTCCAAATTGAATGCTCCAGATGTCAATAATACCCTTCTTGGGTGCGTAGATCACTAAAAATAATGCTGTTTGTTTTGGAGCTTGCGACGATTGATATGCACTCTTTCTGCCGAGTTGACTTTTCGAAGATTTGTGAATTCGGTCTTCCACAGCTTCTATCCACCCGCATTGACCATCTCGATAGCCTTTCCACATTCTTATTGCAATTCCCTGTTTATTATCCACCAAAATAACTCTTCCCATAGCATCGCATATAACTGACAATAACTTATTTGGACTAACTATTAAACAATCTCCTTCTCGAAGGATATCACTTAGACCAAATCTACACGCCATTGACTCAGCTGGTTCTATGCTTAGACTCTTTGTCTTTTCAGCCGTTGGAGAATTTTTCGAGTTACTTTTAAACCATCTATAAGTGATATGCAGCAATAATTAGTTTAGTAAGGTAAGAAAACATTATAGTAAAAAAATTAATTAATCTAAATGTATTATGGATTTTTATCAGATGGATTCTTTTTTATTTGAGTAACTTACGGAACAGCAGAACCAATGGCGCTTGCAACTTTGCTAGCCATGGCGATTGCTACATCAGTAAAAACTGGAGCAGTACCACCTTCCAGAGCAAAGTGAAAGCCAATAAATGGTCTTTTACCTGTAGCCATGACTAAACTCTGTTGTGGTGCACTGGAGCGATAACTAGCATTATAACCACCACTTATAGATGCCGTCATGAGGTGATCAAAAGTATTTACAGATGTCCAGCCAATGACTTGACAATCATTGACGAAATCTTGATTTTTGAATCCCCACTTTTTACAAACTAGATTAACTGCTGGAGTTGTATTATCACAATTTGCTTTCACTGTTAAAAATAAACCATCAATAAAGATAACTGATTGAAAGATAAAGGTTCAGTTACCTCTTGCTAAATGATTTCGGTATGCTCTCAACGTTGAAAACAATGAAAATCCTTGTAAAATGCATATAACGGAATTGTATAGCACATAAATTTCTTCTGACATTCCTACCTCTCCTGAATGTCTTGCAGAATTGTGTGACTGGCATTTTATATTTATGATGATTTCGTTGTGCAATTGCTCTTCAAATAAGAAGTCACCAGTCTGCGTTGGTAAAGCTGAGCATTACAAAAATGAACATTCTAATCATTTTCAAATTCAAACTTACTTCTGTGTAGAATTTGATAAAGCCATTATTAAAACCTACACCTATACAAGTCCAGTCAACACCAGCACTTGACTTGCCATGGGAGATCAATGGAAGACATATAACAGAAGTAATCCACTCACTGAAAAAAAATTGACACTGTTGATTAGCAAGAATTTGAACAGAAATAAAAAAGTTTACTTTTGAATACAGTTATGTACTTTTGTTTTTGAGTAACTTCACCATCCCAGGCAATATGAAATTTATATTTTACTTCACTCGCTTCTTGAGAATCCCATTTAGCTAAAAACGACATTATCAATAAATAAGTAAATTTTGAAAAAGAATGTTGGTAATCGATATTCACTCACAAGCTAGTATAACTAAACGAGTATTCCAAGCAATAACTAATATGTCACCAACAGGTGACAGTGAAACAACGCAATTTTGCAGTGGCAACTCGTTTGCAGGTACATTATCCACTAAAAAAGATTAAATCATTCGTGATTATACAAACAAAGACCTCTCAAAAAGCTTAAACGTACATTCTTTATTAACGTCGCCGAGCAAACAATGCTTGATATCACTGAGATTCACCAGGTTTGCGATCTCTTTAATTTGACAAGACATTTCTCATTTCTATACGAGAAAACAAATTTATATACAGATTAATTCCAATCTAGTGACACATCAAAGAAACAGCAATACAGCACTGAGCGTATATACACTAGATCCAAGCTGAATAAAACAGATGATTATGAGATCCGACGCACGCGCGTGCGCATGGGTGTTGTGTTATATAGCATGCTTGTTGATTATATCTATATTGAATGTTGACGAAAAGAGTGCTTGCGGTCCTTTAATTCACGAAAATATTATATCGATCAATAAATATACGATGGATATATGTGTAATCTGTTGTACGTATGTGTATATAATAAACTATTTATAAAATACATGTGCTAACTAATAATAATTACAGCATTTGATGATTGACATAATAATTAAATCTAATATTACGTATAATTATTATTAAGTATTTATTTATTCGTAAAGGAATAATAATGTTGACTCTGTTATAATAATTTTTTACCGTGTATTAATTTATACCAATAATGTTATCGTGACTCAAATTAAATGCATAGGCGATGTAGCCATTCAGTAGAGAACAAATAAAATTAGTAATCAATGCGAAAACTCGATGTTTGTAATTGCTAAATAAAAGTGTCTCTCGATCTCCCGCATACCCTTTAAAATAACAACAAATATGTACTTAGGTATCTCTCTCTCTCTCTCTCTTTCTTTAACTTTCACCGAGCACTTCACCACACGTGTATCTTAATGACGTCACGAGGTGACACATTACGTCAACATAATAATCATAGTCTATTGGCCTATATCAACCAATAGAAATGGTGATGTCCGCAACAAACTCGTGGGCGAACTCTAGTGCCCGTATGCATACCTCACATGCCTGTATTGCCTGTTATAATATTTTCGAAAATTTTGCAAGCAGCCCAACTCTGCCACTTTTTGGTTACAAGCTTGCTCTGGTAGTATTGTATCTATATACATAGGTAGATCTGCACACGGACACACGAACGGTCGCGGTGACGCGCAAACGACGCAGACGCAAACGGAGAGCGAAGAAAGAGACAGCAGTGGCGGCGGCAGTTACTAGTGCAGCGCCTATCATCTATATGCGGCAGCCAGCCAGCGTACACACACACAGGACGACACGGCGACGACGAGGACCGACCAGCGACGCGGACGAGGACGGGATTGCGAATTGCGACAGGAGAGAGACACGAGTTTTGTTTTCTGTTTGTTCTCATCACCGTAGAAAAGAGTGGAAAACAGGCGGACGCAAAGACTACAAGCGGCGAAGTGTGAATTGTTTGTTTTATTTGCTGCGAACGGAACTCGGCTCGGTGCAAGTGTTAGGACTGTGAAGCGTCAGCGGACATTACAGCTAGTGCGAAGAGGCTACAGGACTACCGACTCGCATGACATTCAAGAGATAACTAGTGCAAGAAAAAGGTCGCCTGCGGTTGAAAGACACATAAGACTATATATCTGGTCACGGTGGGTATTCAGCAACTGCCAACGCGCGCTCTCGAGCTCATTTCAACGTATCTCTACTACGTATGTACCTACTACCTACACACACACAGACTGACGACTGCCTCTACTCGACCCCTTTGTGATGCGTTGAGAAAGTGCTCTGCGCCGAGGGAATATGTGGTGATATGCGGCGATCATCGCCGAGTGTGTCTGGGATGACTGCTGAGCTGAGGTGTGTGATGATTCTTCATGTTTCACTGAAAGAGTGTGTGAGAATTGTTTGAAATGTGACGTGCTTGCATTGACTGTGAGGTTATGAGTGTCGAGAACGGGTCAACGCCGAAGCTGTGGTAGCTGTGAGAAACTGAGCGTAGCTACGCCGTGGTCGAGAGGCAGGATTATTTGTAATACGTGCTGCCAAAGCAATAAAACAAACTGCTTTGCTAGGAACCTGCCGGGAAAATGGAATGAACGCCAGTGCATAGATGAATAGGCTGCAATATACGGCGTCGGTGATGGCTTCTTACTGCATGCTGCGAGCGAGTGCGTGCTAACGAAGATGCGCAACGGGCATTTATCGCTAAGCAGCGTCGCCGTAAAAAATAATCCGTATGCGTTAGCGCTGCATAGGTAGTCAGGACAGACGCGCTTGTGCAAATTACGTACGATATAAACCAGTATTGGGTCGTCAAGCCGTGGAGCGGGGTCTATCGCAGGGAGTGTGTGCACGAAAGAGAGAGAGAGAGAGAGAACGAGAACGAGAGAGAGCGAGAAAGAGAGCGTGCGCGAGATGGCGACTGCGTGTGCGCGTGAAAACACTGAACGGCGAAAATTGCTAGGCTCGTTCGTTATAGCGCGGGAATCAGCAGCAGCCGCTAGCGGATCTGTTTTTCGACAAGGCGTTTTCTCTATCTCGAAATTCCGACGATTCCACTGCTAGCTGCATGCCTCGACGACGACTACTCGGTCAGCGGCGGTTTGTTGCGTACGTCGCTTGATCGTTGAGTGAAAATATACGGCAAACACTAGAGAAAAGTTAACTGGCGACGTTGTCGCGTGGGGAAAGCGAAGCGGGACAAGCCGGGAAGCATGCAGTGTGCTGCATAAAAGAGAAAGAGCAAGAGTTAAGCAGCACGCTTACGCCCTCCTTGACTTGGGTTCTTGTTCCAAATTTGTGTGCAACTCGATCTTTGAGAAGGTGATGCACGTTTAAAGGTTAAAAGCTGAGCGCGATTAACGCAATATCTGTCGAATGTAGGTTAGGTCGCAGTGCGGTGACCTCTCTTTTCGTGGTGCGCGCGCGCTCACGTTACTCTGGGACCACCCGTGCGGCAGCTGGGATAAGTTCGTGTACTTATCGGTACTATTTGTTCGAATCTAATTTTTGGCGGGTCAAAGGGATTGAAAGGGCTTAACCTATTGTCTCATCAAATAGTCTGTAGTTTACAGCGACTTATGGGAATTTTCCATTACATTTATTATGACTTCTTTTCATTCATTGTTAATCCAGGTGATTCGACTTCGTTTTCCCTTCGCGTCGTCGAGCCTGGATATTTGTTTGCGCTATAGACACGTTGCTTATTGTTAACATTCATAAAGACAGTTTTAATAATTGTTGATGTATTCAGTTGTGTTAGCGAGTGTTACATGTAAAGCAGTACCAATTGAATACAAATAATTAAGCTTTCATTTATACTGTAAAAGTCAAAATTAAATTATTGCTTTACTGGACATTACATTAATGTCTCTTTTTTTAATTTTTCAGTTTGTGTGTTTGAAGTCTGATAATTGTTGAGGTAAAATGGCCACTTTAGCTGAACAGGCATCCAAGCTTCTGGATTTCAATCAGAAGTTGGATATAACATTGTTGGATAACATTGTTGGGTGTATGTATGCGGGTGTAGGCGAACAACAGAGAGTTGCACAAGAGGTGTTGACCACTCTCAAAGAGCATCCGGATGCATGGACACGGGTTGATACAATTCTAGAATTTTCTCAGGTAAGGCCTTGAGATCAACAACCAATTTAGTTTTTAATTTTTGAGTCTCATTAACTTAATTTTCACAGAATCAACAAACTAAATATTATGCTTTACAAATTTTGGAGCAAGTTATAAAAACTAGATGGAAAGTCTTACCTAGGAATCAGTGTGAAGGTATAAAGAAGTATATTGTTGGGTTAATTATAAAAACAAGCAGTGATCCTGAAACATTGGAGGCTTCCAAAGTTTACCTCAACAAATTGAATATGATTCTTGTCCAGGCAATTAACATAATTTGATTTCTTTTAAATTATTCATTATCTGTAAAATTGTAACTATATTCATATTTTTCATGTACATTACAGGTATTAAAAAGGGAATGGCCCAGAAATTGGGAATCATTTATCGGTGATATTGTTGGTGCAAGTAAAACTAATGAGAGTCTCTGTCAGAACAACATGGCTATTTTAAAACTTTTGTCAGAAGAAGTGTTCGATTTTTCAAGTGGTCAAATGACTCAAACTAAAGCAAAGCATTTAAAAGATACAATGTGCAGTGAATTTTCGCAAATTTTCCAACTCTGTCAGTTTGTTATGGATAATTCACAAAACGTTCCCCTTGTAGCAGTAACATTAGAAACTCTCCTAAGATTTCTAAATTGGATTCCTTTAGGATACATTTTTGAAACCAAATTGATCAACATTTTGATATTCAAAGTAAGATTCATGTTATCATGGCATAGTTTAATTTCAATGGAAATTCTAATTACAATTAATTTTTATTTACAGTTTTTGAATGTTCCGATATTTAGAAACGTAACGTTAAAATGCTTAACTGAAATTGCTGCAGTTACAGTACCCAATTACGACGACATGTTCATTGTACTGTTTGTTAACACCATGCAACAATTGGAGCAAATGTTACCTATAGAGACAAACATTCGTGATGCCTATGCAGTTGGTCAAGATCAAGAGCAAAACTTTATACAAAATCTTGCCATGTTTCTCTGCACATATCTCAAGGAACACGGTGCTCTAGTAGAGAAGAAGCAATTAAATGACACACTAATCAAGGCGCTACACTACCTCCTGTTGATTTCAGCGGTCGAGGAAGTGGAAATCTTTAAGATCTGTTTGGAATATTGGAATCAATTGTCCTCTGATCTTTACAGAGAAAATCCATTTGTTGCTTACAAAGCTGTAGCAATGCCGCCACGAAGACTGTTTTATTCTCAAGTTTTAACTAAAGTTCGTTACATTATGATCAGTAGAATGGCTAAGCCAGAAGAAGTACTTGTTGTTGAAAATGAAAATGGTGAAGTTGTTAGAGAGTTCATGAAAGATACGGACTCCATTAATTTGTACAAAAATATGCGAGAAACTTTGGTATACCTGACTCATCTTGATTACGTTGACACAGAAAAAGTTATGACTGAAAAACTACAGAATCAAGTAAATGGTAGCGAATGGTCTTGGAAGAATCTCAATACAGTAAGTCATTTTGTAAGCATTATTTATTACGATATTAATTTGCAAATTATTATTTTTGCAGTTGTGTTGGGCGATTGGTAGTATCTCTGGTGCGATGCATGAAGAAGATGAGAAGCGATTTTTGGTTACTGTAATCAAAGACTTGCTTGGGCTTTGCGAGCAAAAGAAGGGAAAAGACAACAAGGCAATCATAGCCAGTAACATTATGTACGTTGTTGGCCAGTATCCAAGATTTTTAAGGGCACATTGGAAGTTTTTGAAGACAGTTGTAAATAAGTTATTTGAATTTATGCATGGTAGGCAAGCTTTATAAAAACCGTCCCAATGCTATTTCATAATCTCACTTTTGTAATAATTTTACAATCTAGAAACCCACGAAGGTGTACAAGACATGGCATGTGACACTTTTATCAAAATTGCATTAAAGTGTCGACGACATTTTGTAACTGTACAACTTGGCGAAGCCGTGCCATTTATCGAAGAAATTTTGTCAACGATAAGTAGTATCATCTGTGATCTTCAAACGCAGCAGGTAAAAGAGTTTTGTTTGACTTTCCATTCAAGTCTCCATACATGAGTTTTTATAATTTTTGAAACAGGTACATACCTTTTACGAAGCTGTTGGATATATGATCAATGCACAAATTGACGCTGTAATGCAAGAACATCTGATTGAGAAATACATGCTCCTTCCCAATCAAGTTTGGGACGATATCATAAGCCAGGCAGCCAAGGTACGAGGAATTAAAAAAAAACTCTATTCAAAGCTTAATTGTTTCTTTCACTTTTTAGAATGTTGAAGTTTTAAAGGATCCAGAGGCTGTCAAACAGCTTGCAAGTATACTCAAAACTAACGTTCGCGCCTGCAAAGCTCTTGGACATCCTTACGTGATACAATTGGGAAGAATATATCTTGACATGCTGAATGTGTACAAGGTCGTCACATGTTCTGATTAATTTTTAGGAATTTTATTCCTTATTTGTAATTTAAACTATATTTTCAATACAGGTAATGAGTGAAAATATTAGCGCTGCGATAACTGTGAATGGTGAAATGGTTATGAAGCAGCCCCTCATCAAAAGTATGAGAGTTGTTAAAAAAGAAACATTAAAACTCATTGCTGATTGGATTAATAGGTCTACTGACCATCAAATGGCAAGTTACTTTGATCTCTGTTTATTTTTGATCTGATCAGATATAATAATTATTTCATTTTGCTTGTCTCTAGGTCTTAGAAAATTTTATACCACACTTGCTAGATGCCGTTTTAATGGATTATCAAAAAACAAACATTGCATGTGCCAGAGAGCCCGAAGTGCTCAGTGCAATGTCTACAATAGTAAATAAACTTGAAGGACATATCACCAGTGAGGTACCGAAAATTTTCGACGCTGTATTCAAGTGCACTCTTGACATGATTAACAAAGACTTTGAAGAGTTTCCCGAACATAGGACCAACTTCTTTTTACTTCTGCAGGTAAGTACTTTCGAATTGTTTGTTTCTTTACGGCTCACTCATCTAACTTATCTGACTCGTCTCATAATTCTTTGGATAATTTTAAAAATGCTTATCGCACTATGCAGGCAGTGAATGTCCACTGTTTTCCGGCATGTCTTTCAATACAACCAGTCCAGTTCAAACTGGTTCTGGATTCGGTTATTTGGGCTTTCAAGCATACAATGAGGAATGTCGCTGACACTGGCCTGCAAATTCTGTACCAACTGTTCAGAAACATGGAAAAGCACGACGAAGCTGCTCAAAGCTTTTACAAGACTTATTTCACCGACATCCTACAACACATATTCAGCGTAGTTACCGATACGTCTCACACAGCAGGCAAGTAGTTGATATATCATTAAGTCTAATGTCGAATTGTCCTGTCAGATTTAACATTATGTTTGTTTACACAATTTGTAGGGTTAACAATGCACGCCACTATTCTGGCATACATGTTCTCATTAGTTGAATCAGGATCGATCAAAGTGATGCTTGGGCCCATACCAGACAATGTCTTATACATTCAAGAATTTGTTGCAAGTCTGTTAAAAGCGGCTTTTCCCCATTTGACAGACAATCAAATCAAGATTACTGTGCAGGGTCTTTTCAATTTGGACCATAATATTCCAGCCTTCAAGGAACACTTAAGAGATTTCTTAGTTCAGATTAGAGTATGAGATGGCTTGTCGTTATTTTTTTTCATTTTGTTCTACTGCCTTATGTTAATTCTCTTACTTTATTTATTTATTAGGAATACACCGGCGAAGACGATTCAGATCTGTATTTGGAAGAACGAGAGAACGCTCTGCTAATGGCACAAGAAGAGAAGAGGCGGCAACAAATGGCCGTTCCTGGCATTATCAATCCTCATGAGATGCCCGAAGAAATGCAGGATTGAACTACACGCCCGTAAGACCTTACGAAGTTGATCTGCACATCAAAACAAAGGACGCTCTACTGTAGGTACTATCGTTTTTATTTGCCTGCAATCGATCTTAACGTCACTATCGAGTACGCGAATCTACGACACTGGACACGTTCATATAAACACAAGAAACCGAATAAAAATAATGAAACAAGTGTAAAATATAACTATTTGCCTATTGTTGCAAGGGCAAAATCAATAAATGCGATGACTGTTTGTTTATCTGTTATAGGATTTTAAAAATGAAAATGGAGTTTTTGTTGTGAGTAAAAATGTGGAAGCCTGCTTGGCGATGCTATTTCGTGTTCATTTACGATTCGATTGTGTTCTCGCGCAAAAATGTGAGTATCAGCAAACCGTAATATACGAACGAATTGTAAATTACAAAAACAAAATTAAGACTAACGTTTATCTGTGGAATGAATAAAGAAGGAGAATTTATGATTTGTGGAATACTTATTGATTTTGTTATCGCAATATGTACTGATTTTCACTCATGACTAAAAACAGCTTCAATGTTATACTTTACATTTCTTTAGTGTTACTCCAAAGTTGAATATGATAATGAGAGCGGCAGTCTGATACGTGCATTTTTTTCATTTTTTTAACATTGCAAAGCTAGAAGAATATGTCAAGCTGATTGGCGTCATTTTTGAGTAAACATTTGGGCCAAGACCGAACGAAAATGTATGTGACGAAGTTAGTACATTAAATAGAATCGCTGTAGCAGGAATTGAAGCCACGTGCGAGACGAATATGTGTGTTTTTATCCGAGTGAAGTTGTATTATAATATTTATATCAGAGTTAATTATAACCACTTCAAGCAAGATTTTCATTAGTGATTTGTAGATTGAAATTTCCTGTGGTTATTAGATGCTAACGATTCAAAAAGGAAACCAAGACTTATCTAAGTCTCATTTGATACTACAGTAGAAAATGATACATCAAATCTGTAACAATGAATGGAACAATTTTTATAATATACATACTCTTATATACATATATATATATACTTACTCTGTTGCAATAATATAATTTTATTTTCCAATCACGAAGCTGTATTAAAAAGTTGATCAAAAAACAAAAAAAAAGAATGTTTTTTGATTGAATTACTCAATTCCATTCTGTAGTTGGAAATTAGTGCATTAATTAGCATTGTAGGAACCATTCAATTAATCGGTGAATATTTGATCAAACGATATAATACTTTCTTCACTCAAAAAAGAGCATACGTAATTGTTTTTGCATTTTAGCAATTAAAAATCAACTTAAAATTTTGAAAAATCAGATGTTGAGTATTTTTTCTACAGATTCAAACAGATCGGATAATCGTTTGGCAATCTGTCGAAAATAAATTAAATTTCAATTCTTCAGTGCTAATGAATGTTTTGCTGTTATAATCTGGTTTTTCAAAGATTTATAATGTCTTTAATTTAGTCAATTTATTTACTACTTCAAATGTGCATCGCTGGCGTACGCGTTTGAGAAATTTATTAAACATATAAATGTGACGAAAAAAGAGCATCTGAAATCCAAATGATTTTTGGAGATATAGAGCGAAAGATGAAAAGAGCGAAAGAGAGAGTATGAACAGAACGAAGTGTCGAATGATCATTACCACGTGGGCTGAAGTGTGTGGGTAGGCGAAAGTCTAAATATTTTCTACAAACAATTACGTGAAATCCTTTTTATAAAGTCAAAGAATAATAGTATCGTGAAGTAAGTACCCTTGGTGGATATCGCATCATCGTGTGAGTCCTTTACGATTATATATTAACATCCAAATAATCAAATTGAAGAGCCAACGACAAAGAATGAAAATGATTCGAAAATTGGTCAAAAGCGATGACAAACGAAATGCTGTAGAGATTGTATTGAGGATGAACGAACGTAACAATTGTATGTGCGAATGAGAGTAATCAGAAAATTAATACTGTAAATGCGATTCATTTGTATGAAAAGTTCAACGTAAAAAGGAGAAAATAAATGAAAAAAAAATATTCCGATTACATAAGTTATATTGTATAAAAACAATGTTCTGGCTAAATAAATGTGATAAACTAATGACTTTGTAAACAAACTGTCCAATGTAAGAGTAAAAAAACAGTGTAAATCGAAAGCGCCATATATACTCTAAAAAAATTCACTATAGCCGAAGCACTATATTAAAAGCAACTTACATCTGACGTTAAGTTTCAGTTATACGACTAAACAGATGATCAGTGTTACCGCGTATTCTATGTGAAGGTTTAAAAGTAAAGATTCAAGAGTAGAGTACTATTGTAGCGATCGATTATTCAAAAAGGGTATTTACTGCCGATATTATATATTGAGTGATTAATAGGGCTTAACTGTTTGAAAGTCTACGTATGCTCCTGAGCGATAAATGTAAGATGACGGTGACGGCAGAACGACGAAGTAATAATTAGTGAATACCTACATAAGAGAGTGGAAAGATAGCAAAGGAGCAAGTCATACGTGGGTATGCAAGTGTGTAAGGACGAGTGTAGTTTGTACGATCCGCGATGACGATGTGCATATACCGCGCGATCGTAGTCTGGTGATTCTTTCAACTGGAGCAATTGGAGCCATTACAACAGTTTGTACTATGCGTCCCAGATATCTCCAGTTGACATGGTAGTGCCCTGTCCGTTCTGTGGCATCGCCAAGGAACAAACAAAAGAGCGACAGAAAGAGGAAAACAAATACCTTTTGATTATCGATTGTGCGTCACTTTTTGATATAAAGCTGTATTTATTTGCAAATCAATACAAATATTATCGATAACACCCAAGTTTTTTCAATGTTTTTCATCTTCTCTATCGCACATTTTTATCTAACCGTTTTGTCCAATTGTATAATTATTATTATTTTCTTTTTTTTCCTTTATTTTTTTTTTACATATTATTTCGATATTTTGCGTTCAAAGTTTTGTATGTGTAAGTTATCTAGATCAATGGGACGCAGGTTTTTAATTCTAGACCAATCGATTATGCTGAATATTTTAGTTAGATATTTTGTTTTCAATATAGCACTCGCAACATTATTTTTCATTGTCATTTATATTTTTTATATTTACGACTGGTGTTTTAATATTGATTTCTCTAGAGATCTTATAATATTTTCCTTATGCATTTTATGTTTTTGCGTAAGGTGTATGATCGTTGTGAAAACTGAATCTAAAAGGACTAATTCAAACAAACATATTACAGGTTTTTCGAAAGTCGACCAAATATTCGACTTGTGAGTTCCTTCTTACGAGGAAATCAATACTTTCTTGATAGAAAAAGCATTATATTACACTTTGAATACTTATGGATTGATATAGTACACCGATAAAAAATTTCAAAGACCTAAAGCTGTGAGTAGCATATTTCTTGAAAAACTGAGTCGTTCGATATTACAGACTGGAATAAGTGAAAGAAAATTGGCAAGAGCATAAGTCGATATCGAAAATTGCAAATTACAATGGCTAATTCAAGAAATCGAGTGTGATAGTAAATAGTGTTGGTTTATAATGTTTCGCGTTTGTCTGCATGCGTGAATGTTTGAAAAGAAAAATGCGATCTAATAGTTATATTCATTACATCGATAAAGTATGTAAAGAGTTTAATATTACTTACTAATAAAATATGAAATGCAAACAAACAGTTCTTAGTAAAACCCTGATGATAATTTGAGCATTAAGAAGCAATGTTGAAAATTTGATTTATTAAGATATTTGTATTTATTTCTGTAATTATATACTTATAACAATGGCTCGCAAAACTTACGTAAAAGTTACGTAAATAAACATCGAGCATCAGACCTATATAATGAATGACAAAATTAATTTTCAGCTGTCTTATCATTCGAATCGGAGAAGGTTCAGCAACCCGAACCTAAACTATATTTTATTCACGTTGCTCGTTGGATGCACGCCTTTGTAATTTGATTAAATTTTCGACAAATAATTGATATGTCCGAATTGTTTATCACACTCAATAATTTAGCTCTCCTTTAACTCTGATGGTTGTATTGGTTTCTTAATTAGAGTCTCGCCTAACCTTTTAATATTTGGCGTATTACACTGATACCTAATTGATTTTGCTCGACAATTCAAACATTTTCATCCTAGCGGTTGTCTGAGTTTCCACATCTCAATAAAATTACGGTGACTATGTCATTCTTTGGAGAGTTTCAATTATCAGAGGTTTCTTCAGATAAGGATGTATAAGCAACGTGAAAGTTACAATTATCACGGTTTCACATCGAAATTTCCTATTGAGTTTATATCAAATCATGCGATACATTTTATCATCAACTTTTGGAAAAAGTGATTTGGAAAAGCTACAGATAAGTTTCACTAAGCGCGAGTACTGTCAGTATCAGTATTATAATCTATTTTTAGTAAAAAATTTTAGATCTATAAATAATTAGAATATCGTATTATACATATGAGATTTTTCTAGAAAAATGACGAAATTGTAATTTATTCATGATAACCGAAGATAAGTATTTCATTTCTTGTGTTAGAGAAAGATTATTTAAAACATATTCAAATATAATAAATTTAATATCAAATTTATTATAATTACAAATCAAAAACTAAATAAAATTTCAAATCAATGTCATTGAATTATTTCAAATTCTCGCGCTTTAGTCTGACGTAATAACAACAATCTAACGTCAACATCTTCATCTACAACTGACCAATCATAATCAAAAGAGGCTTCAAAGTTTATATGAAATCTAAACATTTACTCGTCGCGCAGAAAATGTTTTTTGATTCTTAGTAATTCATTTAACATAAAATATCCCTATAATTTCTAAGAAAAACGAGTTCAAATCTCATGCAATAGAAATATAGTTCAGTTGTTTTTGAATTAATCATGGCCTGTCGAACGAGTGATAGTGAATCAAATTTATTACATAAAATTTACACAAGTGATCCAATAGCCTATAAAAATTATGTTAACAAGACAGTAATAATTACAACTCAAGATTTCAATGTCTATACTGGCATTGTTTACACCGTAGATCCAGTTTCGGAGAGGTTAGATTCGTGTACATATCCAAATATCTGTCAGTTATTTTTTTCTTTAATGATTAATAAATTTTCAGTTTTGTTTTACTGCAACCAAGAGAAAACGCAAAAGAAATACAAATGAAGATCGTTGTGGGATCATCAATTAAAAATATTGAATGTTCATCTGATGCTGATACAGTGCTGCTACCTGAATTGTTCGTAGCTCCAGAAATGTATAATTTTACACAAGAAGAAATTATAAAAAGAAAAGAACTAATTACTAAGATATTATTAGACAATCGATTTCCTGTAACAGAAGAGGAAGGTATTTTGTGCATTGAGGATACTGTGAAAATAGAACCACCTTACCAACCTGAAAATTGTATATGCTTTAATAGTATCATTTTAAATAGAATACAAACTCTTCTAGCTCGCAATTCCATATAAAAATTTACTGCAGAAAGGATGTAATGTAAGTAGACTAATTTTAAAGAATCAGTGTATTAACAGAAAAATTTAGTTTGCAATATTTTGTACATAAGATAATTTCCTATGGTATAGTAATGTATACAAACTGAAAGCACTTGTGATAGCGATAAGTTTACAATGTCAATAATACTAATTCAAATATAAACCACATAAATGGTAAATCTTAGCATAAAATTTAATTTCATCCTTATTGTGTATATATTAAAAAGAGGTATTAAATATTTCAATATAATATGTAAAGCAAAAACGATAAGCCAAGTATATCCTTGTAACTATTTGTAATTGAATCAAAGTACATATTTGAATGTGAAATTTTCTTCGAAATATATTAATTTAAAATAAATAATAATTCTGAATATTACGGTAGGTGACTCCTGACGTTCATGAACAGTAACTAGAAAAATTATTATGAAATTGATCATTTGAACTTTATCAGATCAAAGTCTTATTAAAAAAACGTACATGTCGGTATTTACACGGTTTCATTTTATCCATTCGTATTGTCCATTCATTTTATCCATAAATATATTCTTTGCTTTGTAATTTTCTTTGAAAATGCACATTTCAAAGCAAATTCCAAATTTAATGTGCGTGTGTATTAAATTTAAGTTTCTACGGAAAAAGATATTGTTGAGCACTTGAGGCAAAATATTTTATAATACAAATTCAGAAAACTGTGATTAAACCCACATTTTGCCATCAATAGCAAGACGCGCAGTATTTCTACATAGATATATTTGTAAGATTGTGACTTATTTGGACAAACATTTATTAAAAATCAATCAAATGTAAAACTAATTCTATATGTAATATTTACAATGTGTAAGTATGAGTATAAGGCAGCATCAATTACAATTTACAAATTTAACGAGCATGTCGTCTTATCTGTCATGTAAATAGAAAGAATTGATCATTTTGAACAAAATGTACAGTTACTGAAAAAATACAAATCTTACAATTGATCAGGAAATCTAAAATATAACTTATATGGAATAGAATTAGAGTATAACATAGCAGTTGTCATCAGCAGATGAGGCGGAGCAGTAAATGTGTTCCTTAGTATTATTATTTGGTATAATTGGTTGGAGACTGTACATTATTTCATTTTATTGCCCATTATTTTTTTACTTCATCTCTCAATGCTGAATAGCAATAAGCTTTATAGAAACGACGAGTGGAACTTGGCGCTACTTTCAATAGCGCTTTGTGCAGCAATTCCAATGAAAAATACGAGACGTTATCAGCGCTATTGTCATGATTAAGTGCAGCTTATATTGTCTATTGTGATTTTTTTCAAGTTACGAGGTAGGTCATTCCGTTTCACTGTCAGAATAATACTCGATTGGATTATGATCACGTGGCTTCTTTGAGTATCTCATTCCTAGGCTAGCAGTAACATCTGCAATCTCTTTCAGCACCTTTGAAGAAAAGTGGATATAGTCAGTGCCATTCACTCGTAACTTTGAAATCGTGTTTTAAAAATTATTTTATGATAATTGCCTACTCACGTAATCTAGTTGTTCTTTTGTATGAGCTGCCGATAAACAAAATCTTATTCTTCCCTCCATTAATGGCGTAGCAGGGAAGCCAACACCTACTGTAGCTACGTTTCTTGTGGTTAGAGTTCGAACAACACAACTATAAGAGGATCGAACAAAATCAAATAAAGCAGTAGGTTTTTCTAAAGTAAATAAATAATTGGTTTATTTCGAACTGACCTAACTTTTGAGAAGACGTATGCCAGCATTGGTACTACCGGCGAATCCTCGTTCCCATAAATAATCACACCAATTTGGTTTAGGCATCGTCTAAAGTATCGTGTATTTCTTGCCAGCTGCTTCGTTCGTTTTTTACCATCATCAGTGCCATCCTCGCCAGCAATTATTCTCATCGAGGTGATGATTTGTTGGGCAATCGGAGGTGACATAGATGCAGCATAAGTGTGTGCGTGACTATGAATCCTTAAATGATTAATCAGTGCCTGTAATCGAATCATTGGAGGAGGGTCATTCACTCAAGATATCGTGATGTAATCGAGCGAATCGTAGACGAAGATAGATAGACAAACTTTTGATCCTGCTATGTAGCCGCCGGCCGAGCCGAAACTCTTGGTAAATGTTCCCATCAGAATATCAACTTCCCGCGGATCAATTCCATAGTAGTCACACACTCCTCGTCCACGTTTTCCCATTGCCCCGGTGCTATGTGCTTCGTCTAGATAAAGGTAGGCCTGAAAGTTGTCAACAATTGTCGAACAGCTCAAATGGCTAGCAAAGAATTGGCCGAAACTGTTACCTTATACTTTTTCTTGAGTGTTAAAATTTCTGGAAGATTGACAATAGACCCTTCCATCGAGTAAATGCCTTCGACAACTATCACTATTTTTCGCCATGGCTCACCAGTGACAGGTTGTCCCGTTGAAATGGCATTTCTCAAACACTGTTCTAGGTGCTTCATACCTAGGACAAGGGTCATTCGTGAGGCATGGAGGAAGCCATCGCCCGCTCGACTCTCTATCTGGTATACTCACTGTTATGCTTAAAGACTCGAGTGATCGCACCCGACAAGCGCAATCCTAAAATGAGAGAGGCGTGATTTTTCTCGTCGCTCACGACAAGGCATCCCTTGGACAGTAAAGACGGCAGGTTCAAGGCATTGGTGGCAAATCCCATTCCAAATACTATTGCGTCCTCCACTCCGAAAAATCTAGCGGTCAGTTGTTCCAATTCGTCGTGAATGGGCAAGCTACCTGCGGGAAAAGCAGTGGCGGCTTCGCGTTAGAGCTCCAACGGAGATCGATCGAACGGACTCGCGGAGATTTTACCTAATTCTAGTCGGCTGCTGGGGTTGGCGCAGCCGTATCTCTTCAAAGCCTTTATGCTGTCTTCCGCGCATGCACCCGTAGCCTCGGCGAAGCCCAAGTAATTGTACGATCCGAGATTGACGCACTGGGTTGTCGTGCCGGTGAACCTTTGCCGAACGAGGAAGAGAACACAAAGGAAGATAGTCGTTAGACAAGTATGTTGCTGTCGTTAGACAAGATAGGTTCGGTTCTCGCGTGGTGTACCTACTCAAATGTCCAACCGTGGTCCTTGGTTACGCGATCCTTGAGGGTGACCAGCGCCCCGGGTACCGAACAGATCGGCCTGTTCCAGCAATCTCTTATCCTCCTGTACACGTATCGCAAATAAAACTGTTCGAAATTCTCGTAGAGCGGCGCGTAGCCCTGTGAACAAGACGAGCGAATCGTCAGTGCTGGCCGATCGGATGGCTCAACTCGATCTTTGTCGTACCTTTCTCCTCTGCTCTCTAGCCACGTTAGGGGTGAAGAGCAGCTGATTGATGAATCCTAAGAACATGAGCACGTAAAACCCGAAGTAGGTGAAGGCTGCCGTGATGAACGGCACTCTCTCGAACGACTCTTTGCTGAGTAGCTTATTGTCGACTGGCCAGCTCCTTTGCTTCGCAGCGCTTTTGCGCTCGGCAGCACTGTACTAAAGAACCAAGAGCATCAATCAAGTAACCCAGCCAATGCAGCGTACGTCGCAATCAATCTCAGTTCTGTAGCCGTGCGAGCTCTCGTTAAAGTTCATCTCATTTGAGCGCGCTCGCTCGACGCCTTCATATAGGCTGCGCGCTTGGCGAAAAACCCGGCGGCGTTGAAATTCGTGCGACACGTCGATAGAACGCCGGAGGGAGGCAGGCCGCCTTTACGGAGAATGCTATATAGGCAGGCGTAGCACGTGCAATAATGTACTGCTGACTGCCCGAGCTGACTAATGCGCGAGCACATCTTGTATAAGGGCATGAAGCAGCCGACGAAAAGGCAGCAAGGACAGGAGATTCGAACGCGGATGGCAAGTGGTTTTTACGGCGGCCAACGGTTTTCCCGCAATTAGCCGGTCGATCATAAAAACTCGTCCGCGCGCCACGCTAAGAAGCGAGCGAGGCCACGCATAGATCGAACGAGTGAGCAGCCAGCACGGAGCTACAGACACGTGCGCACGCACACACCCGAGAATTGAAAATCAAGCGTGTGATTGTTATGAGTTCATAACGTTGTCGCTATTAATTGGCGGTAAGTCGTATTGCCGAGTGACGTAAAGCATCAACGCACGTTGCCACGTCCAACCATAAAAACGAGCGTGTACCTATACAACTTGCGGTACTCACCGACGACGGCTGTCCGTCAAGGGTTTTGTAACCGGCTTTGCCGGAACGAACTGCCTTTCGCAGCATTGTTTCGTTGCCACTGTGAGCATCCACTCGCGTGATCGCCCCATCGCTCGTCGTGGTTGTAGTTGTGGTCGTCGTTGTGGCCATCTTCTCTGCTGATACTGACCGCCGTATTCGCGATACAGGCTACCGCTATCACACACCGGTCACCATTCACAAATTCAACTGCCACAACTGCAGTGCGCACAATGGCACTGAATGGCACAGAACACGGCCAGCACCACTAAACTCCTTCCGTTGACGCGGCCAGGCGGCGCGCCACTGTAGGCCAAACGCGATACACAGGCTGTCGGTGGCAGTCGGCGGCTCGTGCTTACGGCGAAGGATAGAAGGAGAAGCTCAGTCGGCTCGCAAACGGTGAGACGCTAGCGGTGCGCGCGCACAGGAAGGAGAGGGAGACTGATCGGATGATTTCGAACAAGCAAACGACTCGATTCGGAAGAGTCCCGTTCTGCGTCAATTCTGTGCTCCAGCTGGTCACGACAAGTCGACCTATTATAGCTGTCTGTGCAATGCAGCACATTATTTCTATGCCGTACACCCGTTCGTTAAATTGCAATGGTTTCAAGTCGTCGCTAATAAATGTAGCGAAACTATAAATATTGCGCATGCTATAGCTACATACATTATACATATTACATAGGTATACGCAATGAACGTGTCGTACTCGTGGCAGTATGAGCTATTTTTACCAGCGAAGGTGTGACACACCGCGACTGTATCGATTGCACTTCGAGCTTGTCTGAATTTGCGAAAATTGGCTTCTACGATAGTTAAGCTTCGATCTCTGCACTACTGAGCATAAACGAATTCGACAGTGCAGGTTGCGATACTTACTGCAGTCGCGCAATGATTGTTCATCAATGGATAAGTAATGGGGAGCCTTTTTCCTCAGCGCTGCATCAGCGTATCGATCAGCGCACGCGACCCGTATGAATTGAAAACTCTGAAGTCTACATAATAACTATACGATTGCTCCGAAAACATATCGTCGAGCGTGGGTCATTCGATCGCACTATCATCGACTGTTTATCATAATGTCAATCCGGATGTTGAGGCATGTAATGCCAACCTGCTTGATGGTGCAGGCAACTCGCGTCGTATAATTGGCACCTGTACGTAAGTCTGATTAGAGCGCCGTGATTAGTATCCATTCGAAAATAGTTATCGGGATAGTCGCTGGCTTGTCTCGTCGCACCTTCGCGTATCCTTGCTCCTAGTGAGACACCATCGCATTGCGCACATCCACGACTGCATTGGCTGTATTCTACGAAAACGGAGTCGGTGGCGGGTTTAAAAAAAGAGCGATTATCGAGAGCATGCGCTCTGTGGTGGTGCGGGTGTTCTGAATTGCGCACGCGGCTTGAGGTCCAGTCGGACCAACGCGGGCGGTGGGAGGCGAGACGCGCGTGCGCCCACCAAAGCCTCCTAAGTACTGGAGCCAGACCGGAGCAGGCAGAGAGCGAGAGCGAGAGAGAGAGAGAGAGAGAGAGCGAGCGAGTAGTGTCTGGTGGTGCAGCCGCCGCGCAGTGGCAGTGTCAGTGACGAACGGTCAGCCGGTGGCCAGGCCAGTGTTTCCAGCGTTCGCACGCACGCCCGCACGCCGTCCCTTGTGCCTGCTCGCTCGCCCGTACCCGTTCTCACTCCCGCTTTCTCTCAGTTGAGCGCGCGGCTGGCAGAGAGAAGCAGCGAGACAGTACAACAGCGCGCCGACTGATAAACACGCAGTCTGACTCATCTGCCATCCTGCACTTTGCACTCGATCTCCGTCTTTGTTCTTCCGCGGCAAACAGCCGATTTTGTCCGATAGCCGTCATCGGATAACGCCGAAGACCGCCAAGTGAAAGTGCGCGCGCGTGCGTTGGTGTGTGTCGCGACAGAATGTCGGATTTGATGGAGCAACACTCGCCGAAGCCCTTGAAGCGCGAGCACGACTCAACGGACGACTTCGAGCACCTGGAGCACGAACTCGAGCGTCAGCAGCAGCAGCCGAAGGAGTCGCTGCTGGATCTGGCGCCGGCGCGCAGCCTGCTGGACAGTAGCGTGCCGGCGCCGCACGAGCCGGAGGTGAGGCCGGTGCCGGCGTCGCCACCGCCTTCAGCCGCGGACTCGGACAAGTTCGAGGGGGGCGCGCGGCTCGGCGCAGCTTGCAACGAGCTGGAGGCGCGCATTAGCGAGCAGCTGGCCGACGCGACGGCCGCAACGATGGCCCTGATGGAGAGCGAGCGCGACTCCCCCTACGAGCTCGATGCGGGCTTCGAGGTTAGGGATACGCAGAACAGCGATAACGAGCCCGAGGACGACAGCGAGCCCACGAGTGAGATTCGAGTGGCACCGCCGGTGCCGGCGCACGCCGCCGCCGCAGCGCGCGACCTGCTCGACGATGACGACGACGACGACGACGACGACGATGACGACGCCCACGTCGACGCGGGCCGCTCGGCCGGCCCCGGCCAGCCGCCCACGAGCCTGTACTCGAGCCAGGATGACTTCATGGGCGAGATCCGGGCGTCGAGCCTGCCCGAGCCCGAGCGCTCGCCCGAGCTGGATTTTGTGCGGGAAGAGATGGTCGTGCAGGAGGCGCGCGTGCACAAGCCCGAGTCCGGCCAGCAGCACTGGGGCCTGCTCGACGGGGTCGAGAGCGTGCTCGAGCCGCCGCAGAAGCCGCTGCCGCCGGAGCCGCTGCAGCAGCTCGAAGACTTGCTGCGTGCCGAGTCTCGGTCGTCGTCGGGCCCGGCGGGACGCGGCGGCGAGCCCGCGACCCAGCCCCAGCCGGCTCACGGTCCACCGAAAGCCGAGCTGGGCGACGCCGCCGAGAGGAAAGTGTACCAGCTGCCCAAGGACATCGCCGACGAGATCGCGCCCAAGCACATCTTCCGGGACATTGGCATCGGTGAGCTCATCTCTCTGCGCCTACGCGGAACGTCCCATTCTAGCGAAGGCGATGAGCGAGCCGCGTTCGAAAATAACTCGCTCGGTCGCTGGACTCGCGCGCTCGAACGTAGCGGCGATTCGGCCGGTGAATCAGCGGGGCCAGACAGGCGGAGAGGTGCGCCGGACGGGGGGAGGGGGGGGGGGGCGTGTGCGGCAGGTAGACGGTACAATGAACCAACGCTCGACAGCGGCTCGGCAGTAGCTCGGCAGCGGCTCGGCAGCGGCTCGGCAGCGGCTCGGCAGCGGCTCGGCAGCTATTAATAGCGGCCGCGGCGGTGGTTCGCAGTGACACTTACCTGAATGGCGCTTCGGCTTGGCCGCCTGACTCTCGGCGAGCGTCGTCGGGATGCCTATTAATAGGCCTGTTCGGAACGGTTCCGTTGGCCTAAGGGCGAAATGTGGGCCAGCGTCAGCGCGCCAAGCGCTTGCCGCGAGAGCTCCCGCGGAGTCTTCCCTCGCAGCGCTGCATCAGCGTATCGATCCGCGCGGCGCAGCCCGCAGGACTAGGGGCTGGCGGGGTGGCGCGAGGGCGGCGACACCATTCGCGGCGGCCGGCCCTTTGTCTGGCCTATTTTTGCCGCGCGCCAGCGACGCCGGAGCCAAGCTCGACGCGTATCACGCGCTGGCCCGTGCGTGCGCGCGACGTAACCTTCGGGTGGCGACGCCGAGCGTCCCAGTGACGCGTCCAGCACGCATCGATTTTCGATGCACACGCCGCTATTTTCAGCCCGCGAGCAATCGGCCCCAAGGCTGCTCTCCTCGACCGCGAATCGGGCGTCCGCAGCGCGGAAGAGCGGGCGCTCGTACGAGACCCGCGCGCTCACCTCGGCTTGACTGATCGTTCTTCGAGGAGCCGATCGAGCTCTCGTCCAGCGCGCGTCGACCGTGGTGAGAGTGTGAGACGCCCGTAGAAACGTCGCGAGCAGCTTGCGCGACAAATGCTGCGGCTGCGATCGCAGAGGCGTGCTTGCGCGCTCCGAACGTTGGTCCGACGCCGGCCGAGCGACCACTGGCGCCTCGCTCTCGGGTGCGCTGCGGCTGATTATTCCCGCGTATTGCCTGCAGTTCCGCCGGTCGGTTCCACTCGCGTCGCGGCGCTCTATCGGCACTGACTTCTACCGTGCCAGCCCGAGGAGACAAACCGAAATTCGCAACGGACGCACGGCGCGGACTCCCCACTCTGCGCTGGAAGAGTCGCCGACTAGAGCTTGCGACAGGACATTGGACATCCAGGAGGAACTGGTGCGTCGCGGGTCGATGCCCTTAGACCACATTTCGCGCAACAGTGTAATATCGCCGCTACGCTCCTCGTACTCCTGTTCGCACTCACGCTGTATCTTAGCTTTTGTTGACGACTCGCAGGCCGGCCGTGCGTTTCCGCTAACTCTTACCTCGTCGAACCAACGCGAGGCAGCTCGAAACGTTCGATTCGATTTTCCGATAGAGCGAGTTGTTGATTACGCCGCGTATGGCCGATGAGATAGCGCGGATTAGGCGAACGACCGATTGGAGCGAAGATTGGCACGATCGGGCTCGCGACCGGCGGCGTCGCGAGCATCCCCGCCACGCCGACGGGGCAGATGGCTCCGGGCCGCCGGCAGGTGCCACCGCGTGGTCCACGTGCCTCGCGCGTCATCGAGGAAGCCGGCGAGGACGCGTGACGTCGGAGCGGGCACAGCCGTCGACAAGCGAGGCGGAGGGCCCGCGCGGCTACGGAGACGCGGCGGGGCCGCTCGGAAGCTGCCGCGAGGCGCGCTGCGGCGCGCGGACGACGTCGCGCGAGTGCGCTTGCGCCCGGCCGGTGCCGGGCGGGGGTCGCGGCGCGGCGGCGCAGCGGCCCGAGCCGCCGAGCGGGCGGCAGTGCCCGCTGCCTCCGCCTCAGGTCGATAGAGCCGCCTGCTCGCTCCGCTCCGTGCGCGCCCGTGGACGCAACCCGCATCGGCGTACGTGCCCGAGTCTCCTGCGCCCGCAGCCCAGCGCCCCGGACCATGGAAGCCAAGAGGCCGCCGCCAGTCGCAGGCGAGGCCGCGCCGCTCTGGACGGTGCTACTGCCCTGTAAGCCAGCCCGCCGCCGAGTCCACTGCGCGCCGCGACTCCTCGCGCGCGCTCCGCCCGAGGCGTGGCCGCCAGTAGGGGATGCTGCGCCCGGACCCGCGCCTGGACCCGCGCTCGGACTCGCCTCCGAGCCTCCGCCTCGCTCGCCTCTTGTTCTGCCGAGTGAAGCTTGCGCTCGGCCGGCGATCTGCGCGGCAATCGTGCGCCGCCAACTTTTTGCTCCCGTCGACTTAACCTCCAGTGCGCTGTGCCGCATCCCGTTCCGGCCGAGAATGTGAGCGGCCGGTGTTACCCGACCGTCCGCGTAAAATGATCAAATTCTCCGTTGTCCGAGCTATCGAAGCGGCTCACCTTGTCCGCCAGTCACGTATGTAGCCGAACGCTATTGCCTCGCGCGACAATACTCGGACGCGGCCGACTATAATTAGTCGTAAAAGCGTCTGTCGACTAGCGATCCATTAACTGCACCTTTTTCGCCGTGAGTGCTGCAAGGTCGGGCCCGTACCCAGGAGAATCCGCCAGTTCGTCCGCAAATAGCGCCTCGGCGTGCTTTTCACCCGCGAGCCAATTGTCCGCGAGCTTCGTTCGCCGAGGAGTCTTCGCTGGCGCTCAGCGTCCCTGGGCGACCCGCCTGTCGGATGGCGTATCGATCCTCTCCCCGCGAGCTCCTTTTGCGTTCACCGCCGATGCAAGCACCTGATGCAGCGAGCCGATCCTCCTCTCGTCGTTCTCGTTGGCCCCGCCGCAGCAACGTCATTACGTAACCAGTGCCGATACACCGACTACTGCTCGACCTGATCGGCTCGGCCTTGCGGGTAGCGCTCGCGACGTGTCCGCCACGCTTGTTTACCCTGGCTCCGCTCGATAGACCGCCTGATCGCGCTCTTGGACTCCGCAACATTCTGGCGTCAACTTGACACTAACTCCCCGTCTCTGTTGTTTTACAGATGCATGGTTTAACCCAGAAAAGCTGAATCCAAAAGGTGAGTTGGAAGCCAATCACTGCGCAGCTATGAGCTCATGGTTAAACGAGTGCACGTCAGAGAGATAACGCGGTGACGGTCAGCCAAGCTAAGCGTGATTTCAATGAAAATACGCGCGATAACGCGACTCGGCCTGATCTTTGGCCGTAGTTAGTGGGGCATATGCGCAAACGCTCCCGGCGTGCATCGTGCGTCCCTCCTAACCGGAGACAATCCGCTCGGCCGGCCACCTGTTTCGCTAAGTCTGCGCTTATTTTCGTACGCGCGAGCCTGGCCTGGCTTTCCGCGACTCTACCGTCCTTCGCGCACGCCGCTGCCAATAATTGTTGTTTGCCCGCTCACGCCTCGCTCTTCTCGCAGTCCCTGTCCCAGCCTCCGCTCCCCGTCTCCGTCCGTTGCGGGATTGACTTTTCTGACGCCTATCTGATCGTCATTGCGCTTACTGCCTATCTCTCCTCTCTCCCATTCCGCGCTTCACTACTCGCGATTCGTGGTCATCGATTTTCCACCAATTTCTGTCGAACGTCTCATTATTTCTTAGAACAGTCGTAGATGCAGCTTATTGATCGCACGCAACTAATAACCAAACAAGTGCCTGCTAGCTTACTTGAGTTCGAGTCAGCGAATCAAGCGCGAGAATAAAAGAAAGCTAGCTATAGCGGCAAGGGCTCGCTCGTAAAAGTACACGAGAGTGGCTACGCGCATCTAAATATAAAATCGAAAGAGAGAGAGAGGGAGAAAGACAGAGAGAAAGATGGTTGGTGGTTTGCCAGCCGCGGTGCGCGTGCGCCCGAGTCGCCGAACCAAGCCGAAGCGAGCCGAGAGGCCGAGGCTCGCTTCTCGGAGTCGCGTACGCGTAGTCGTCAGCAGTTTGCTCACACTGCCCCGAGTAACGCCGACAACCCTTGTCGCACCAAGTCGCACGTCCTCGGCCAGTCTCGTAACGCGCTCCGAGTGTGTATCCTCGTCGAGGTGACGCGTTTTCGGCGCGCGCGCGCGTGTCCGCCTCTACTCTTGTTCGGATATAAGCGAGACTACTCGCGACTGTGTGTGCGAGGCCGGTGCTGCTGCGGCCCTCTCTACCTCCCGTTCACCTGCCTAGCCGCCTGTCGATGAAAATGGCCATCACGAAACAAGAACGTGAGTACATCGCGCCGCAACGACGGCGGGAACGAATTAAAGTACGACGAAAAGCTTTGTTTTGGAGCGACACTGCTTCTGCGAGCGAGTGTACGTTCGCCTGAATGGGCGCTGCGGATGACGTAACTTCGGATTGTCTTTGTTTGGCTCTTATTACAGTTGTACGCGATGAACGAGCTACCGGGCGACGATAAAATCGATCTCTCGTCCCTCTCCCTCTGTCTTTCTTCCCCTCGCGCTCTCTCTCCTAGCTTAGCCACTCTTTATTTACAAGGGTCCACTCCATAGACCTCGGTGTTTTTCTCGTCTCGATGTTTGCCTTGCCGCACGAGTTTCTCTTTTTTGTCTACGCGACAAGTCGAGGTCGCATTGCCACGTTGACTGTCATTTATTAACAATTAATAATTGGTTCGCCGCTATAAATAATGGCAGTGCGTGAAAAACCGCGATAAAGACAGTGAAGACCGAGACGCATGCGTGAAACAGCAAGCCTACGTGTGTGTACGATCGCAAGCCGAAAGATAAGTCCGCAGGTGAGGGACAGATAGTGTGGTCAAGCGAAAGGGCTTTGTGTGGGTGCGAAACGCGAAGGGTGTTGCCACGACCGCCGGCGCAATAGGTCCAAGCAACGATGATTCACGCGTGCCGTCGTGTTTTACGCAGCGTCCATCGCTCTCGCGGCTGTCTGCACCCGGCGAAACCGTTGCGACAATCGCTGCTCGGGCCACAAGTTGCATCGTTACATCATGCAAAAAAGCTTCGCGACCGTTTGGCTATGCACTGGCGTGTGGCGGCCAATGCACCGACGAACAGCGATAGCCGTATCAGTGCTCACCGGTGAGCGCATGCAGTCCAGCAAATTGCAAAATCAATAGCTGCTCCGTTTCATTCGAAAACTCGCGTCGGAATCATCGCGATCTGCCGCGGCGATGGCAATTAATTAAATACCGAGAACAATAGATGCGGCGGAAAAGCGCCGATGTTGCAGGTGTTGCTTGACTCGAAGGCAGACCGCGTCACACGCAACTTTACCAGCCCTCGATAAAGTACGGGCACGCCTGGCAAGGCGACAATTGCCAGACTCTCGGACATCGGCAAACAGCAATCGTACACTCGAGTGTCCGTGGTCTCGCAAAAACGGTGCGTTCGGGCCTCGATCGTCTAGACCGCGCACATGCCACGACCATGGTCCCCCTTGTGCACGCAGAGCGGCGCTGTTCTCGCAGACAGTGGTGGAGAAAGAGAGAGAGAAAGCGTGATAAAAAGCGAACGGCAACGAATGGAGGCTTTTCAGTTGCCGTGCGTGAGCGTCGTTACACCGTACGTGGATTTGGTTCCTAGCTGGCACTGCAACACGCGAAACGCCGTTCGCGCGTCCACGCTAACCAGACGACTACACAAACCGAGACAGGATGGTGCGTAGAAATAACTCGAGGCAGCCGATCGAGGAGTTGGCGGAGCGAGGACCTGGTGAGTGAAAATCGTGTCCATGGCTCCGTCGCGCCGTGAACATATGGAGGGACACGTGGAGCTGGAGTCAAATGGGCTCGCTGCCGACGCTTCGACTGGACGATGCGAGGCCGAGACGTGGCTGACCGCGGCGCCCTTCTGCGTCCATTTTCTTCTTCCCTCGCTCGCTCTCTCTCTCTCTCTCTCTCGCTCTCTCTCTCTCTCGCTCTCTTTCTCTCTCTCTCTTTCTCTCTCTCTCTCTCTCTCTTTCTCTCTCTACCTCTCTTCCTCTCTTCTTTGTCCCCTTTTAGAGCTTCGTGCACGTGTAACATCTTCGCCCACTTGTCCGCTCGCTCCGAACGGCGCACGGGCTTTGCCACGCCGACGATGCTCCTCTAGTGCCCCTCCCTTCCGAGAGCGCTTCTGGTCGTGGAGCGTCTTGTCCGATCGCCGCTACTGCCGTCGCACTATCGCCGACTATTCATAGTAGTGTCCAACTCGCGTTGGCGCGGGTCTGCTATTTGGGACGACGCGCTGCTCGCGCCGACGCTCCAAAACGCCAAAATAGCAGGAGCGTAACTGTGCGTCGCCGCTGCTCGTGCTCAGCGTTGCGCACCACGAATCACAATGTGCGCCCGATGTCTGGATCTCGAGTCGCCGCCGACTGTCATCTCGACCAGCTCTAAAATTATCCTCTTGCGTCGACACTGACGTCGAGCCTTGTGTCAACAGCCGTTCGATCCGAACCTTTCGCCGACGGTGTCAGGCTGTTCTTGAAATGAAAAAATAGCGGTGGCGCGATTCCGCAAAAATGTACACGCGTTCGCCATCCGGAACCGCCAACTGTACGCGCGCACGCGGTGTGGGTACGTAAGCCGAGCGGCTGCGCGCTGCATCCAGATTCGTTCTCTCGCTGCCGTTGTCAGGTGTGTGTTTCGGCTGACACGATGGGGCCAAACCACTGCGCTCGCGACGCCTTCGAATATCGAGTGCCAACGTCCTCTTTATTTTCTCTCCTGTTTGTAATTACAAGGTCCGTGTTGTAATGTTTGCAGTGGCATCGCTCATATACTGGCGCGATCCCAAAAAATCGGGAATCGTGTTTGGTGCGATCCTGGGGGTGCTCTTATCGCTGGCATACTTCAGTCTGATCAGCGTGCTAGCTTACATATCTCTTCTCACTCTCACTTTCACCGTCGCTTTCCGCATCTACAAGACTGTCCTGCAGGCCATTCAGAAGACCAACGACGGACACCCATTCAAGTGAGTATGCCTTCTCTTTACCACTCTTCCCAATCCCGTCTCCCGTTAGTATAATTTGCCAACACTTGGTTTGTCCGAGGTTACTTGGCGCAAATGCTCGTTCCCAAGCTTACCTCTTCCATTTGTTTTTTTTATTTAGAGAGATTCTCGACCTCGACCTAACGCTGCCCACCGAGAAGGTGCACGAAGTCGCCGACATTGCCGTGTCTAATGCTAACGCGGCCGTTTCCGAGCTACGCAGACTCTTTTTGGTTGAAGACTTTGTCGATTCTCTCAAGTTTGGAATCCTGCTGTGGTCTCTCACCTATCTTGGAGCATGGTTCAACGGCATGACACTCGTCATTATTGGTTGGTATCATACAGCTCAACTTCTGTCGCTATCGTTGCCAAGTATGCTTCATTAATCATTGTTCGCACATTCCAGGAGTGGTCGCCCTTTTCACATTGCCCAAAGTTTACGAGACGAACAAGACACAGATTGACCAGAATCTCGCTTTGGTTCAGGCAAAAATCAACGAAATTACGGCAAAGTTTGTTTCAACTTCAACTTCCATTTATGTAATCAAAGTCACGAGCGCTCAATTGCTAATTTTCAATTTTTTTTTCAGAGTTAAGGCTGCTATACCCATCGGCAAGAAAGCCGAACCAATAAAGGAAGAGTAATTTGAGCTTTGTCAGGAGGAGTTTTATCGTTGCAGAGCCGTGTGGAATGAGAGAGCGTGAGAGAGAAAGAAAGTGCGGTCGAGAGAGAAAGGAAAGTGAAAAAAAAACAGCAGAGTTATTTAACAAAGAATGTGATGGCAACAATGCAAATCAACCAACCAACAAACAAAAAGGATATCGATTATTGCGTGGCATCGAGAGCAACGAGAGAGAACAATTTTTAAAAGATTTTTATAATTGAAACCAAGCCGTGGGTAATCAGGCTGTAGAGATAAATTGGCTAAGAGATTGTAAATAACGGACCAATGTTTAAGTTGATGCAACAAGTATGCTGAATATCGAGTGCTCGACATAGCGATGGCAAACGATGGCTTAACATGGTCGTCGTTCGCCAATACATTTATTACATACATATACACGCAGAGCAAGTGCGCGTGTCAAAGCACTTACACGATATAATGTCGAAGATTCACGCACATAACATTATTTAGCAAGCCAATCGAGATATCCTTTTTAAATAATAAAAAAGAAATATAAGTAAGATTTAGCAAATTGTACGTTATTGCAAAACGATGGTGACGAATTTCGATCTAGTGAGCAAAGCTAATGGAGAAAGTGCGATTGAATGATGTTTAACCATAAACAAATATACAGCAGCGAAAAGATGTTTTTAAACATCAATAACCTTAGGTGAGATTAGACGAGAAATCGTCAACTAATGTTCTCTAATCTGTCGCGCAAAATGAACAGAATGAATGGCAATTGATGTGCAATTGTCATGACTAATGATCTTGCGCACTTTGGGTGTTTGTCCCTAACTCCACTTAATAACTGCACACGCGCACACAAAAGCATGAAGCGTGTCTTTTTCCTCCCTCCCATATTTCCACTTCTTACCTCGTAAAAATGTGCAATCAAATCATATACTCATTAAATCCCTTTTGGTATAAAAATGAAACGAAAATATATAGGCAAAGCATAACGAAATAGAAAACAAAAATTTAATAATCCAAATAACGAAACGACGACGAAAGAGTTTCTTAAATATCATTAAACGAATTACACCGTTCACCCACATTCTCTCGCATCATCCCGTTTGCTATTTGACTACACTCATCGTGTAAAGCAGAAGAGTCTATCCTTTTTTAAATGTAGACAACGTTGTTGAAGTAATATATATATATAATCTGGCTAACGCACGAGAACAATGGCAAGATTGCAAATCGGTGTAAAAGTGTCTAGCGTACATATAGGCAGTGCTTTAAACTGAAAGTGTTGTAATTTGTACGGAAATAATGTGTCTGGAAATCGACTTGCTTGCGAAAAGGCATTAAAAAAATCTAAGAATAGTATACGGCGAAAGAACTGCTTGTCGAAATTGTTTCTTTTTTATCGTTAGATCTTAAGATGTAATGTCTAACAACAAGTGACCCCTCGTGTTTTAGTTGTTATGCGATCGAGAATAAATATTCAATTAAATGGAAATTAATAAAGTGATTATTAATTATTATATCTGTCTCTTTGAATAACGTTGAGGATTGCTAAATATTATTGCTATTGATATTATTATTGTAATTATATAGCTTATATATATACATATACCCATATATATGTGTGTGTGTGTGTGTGTATGTGTATATATAAAGAAATATATTTAGAAGATTATAGATTATTACATCTATTTCTATTATGCAAAGTTGAAAGAAAAATGAAGTAAAAATGGAGGAAAAAAAAGAAAAAGAAATAATCATTCACAGAGTGATAAATTAGCAGAAATTGGCTTATCGCGATGCAATGGAAAATAGATACATATATGCATACATACATGGATCACTCGATGATTACAATAAAGCAGAAGCACACAAAACTGGAACTTAATATTATATTATACACATTCTTAAATATCTATCTGTAGCTACGTGAATACGCGTGTTTTTACCTCGCGTAAGGTGGCAAGCGTCGAGAGAATATGTGACTTGTAATGCGCGTATCGCTTCTTGACGTTTTCATTATTGCATCTGCATTCGCACGATTAATTTATATAAATAAATGATATTCATAAGACAAATTTGGCTGTCGATCATTTGTTCTTAACAAATAATCATTTGATTTATAGGTACAATGTTTTATCTGGTATTATTTCAATATTGGAGGGAGGCGTATGAAAAGCTGTTTATACTTGTTCATCTGCTTCGGAACAAATTTAATCAAAATTATTAATCGTGGAGGAGAAAGTCTGAATGAGCTAGGTGCATTCAAAAAGTGGCGCGTTCCACGGCTACACGCGGACGCAACTATGTACAGGCCTTTGGGGCTTCCTCGCTAGCTCACCTCCTGCCTGCAGCGGGCAGCCGGCAGCCTGTTCTGCCTGCAATGCTTGTTGGCCTCCTCATCGGCTGCCGCAAGAGAGCGCCAGCGGCATGACCTTCTCCAAGGTGAGAACCCACTGCTGGCTGCACATGCTCGTGTTGGTCGTGCGGCGACTTTGCCCTCTGTCTGCAGTAGAAGAGCGGAGCAACTCGAGCAAGCAGCAACAGTAGCAGCAGCGCAAAGAAGCAGAATCCAACGTCTGTGCGTGTCATTCACTATCGGCTCGTCGCCGACTTAGTCGTTAATAGATATACTCGGTGGGCGCGCCTAGATAGTGTTGATTATTTGCTAGTACAGGTCGTCGGGTGCGATTGTTACTCGAGAAAAATGTCGGTGAGCGAGGCCGATCGCGAGAAGCGAAAACAGATTTCGGTGAGGGGCATCGTCGATGTGGAAAATGTCGCCAACTTCAAGAAGACCTTCAATAGACACCTCCACTACACCCTGGTGAAGGACCGTAACGTAGCCACTTCTCGCGACTACTACTTCGCCCTCGCGCACAGCGTCAAGGACAACCTCGTCTCAAGGTGGATCCGCACCCAGCAGTATTACTACGAGAATGATCCCAAGGTACTTAGCTAGACGATAATCATAACAACGGCCACATGGTGGCATATAGTGTTTCATGGTGTGATGATATAGCCTTACAACTGGTGTGCCATCTCGTTCGTCTTATTTGACCGTGCAATAACGCTGCCGCAATGACAGCCGCGTATTTTGTTTGTTGTTCCGCGTACTTTGTCGGGCTAAGCAGCCGCCTGGCGAGTGTTATTTCGGTAAAGGCTCTTCGCTGCTGGCCTCGACATTCGCTCGCCCAGCTGTGTTGGAGATGCCTGCGAGCTGGCCGCCAACAGCCCCGACTCTTGGCAGCAGCAGCAGCAGCAGCACGTGCGCCGCGTTTCTTTTTTCCAGTCTCCGCGGCACTCGAGACTCGACTCGGCGCCTCGGTCCGGCCGGTTATTCGACGGGCGTGCTTCAATGTCGTTCCCAACTAGCGACCGCTCGGTTCGCGTCGGTTTGCGTCGGTTCGCGTCGGTTCGCGTCGGTTCACAGATGGACGTCGGCCGGCAACGGCGGACCGATGGCGCCTGCGGGGTCGCGTTATTGACACGAGTCGGCCGAGCGACTCTAACAATAGGCGCGCGATAAGGCGCAGATAAACAGCGTCCATGGACCGTGGTAAAAAGCTCGCGGCCGAGATACGGCTTGGCTGTTCTACGGATTGTTTTGTTATCGTAGGCTATCGGACGAGGAAAACGCGGCGTTGCGAAAAACGCCAATGCCGCGCCGATGGCGCGCGACATCGGGCCGACCTATATGCCACCTTATTTTTACGCGAACAATGCCGGACGCTTGCAAAGTCGCCAGCGATCGGCAGTGGGCGCCCTCCCCGCGGGCATCGGCTCGGCCAGCCGCGAGCTAGCGAGCGAGGGACCGGCGCGACGCGAGCTCGGGTCCGTCGGGCGCTCGCCCGACGCGTCGGACGCACGGCGTTGCGCAACCGGCGGTTCACCGTCGGCTCGTCCGCAATTAGCTCGCCTCGCTGCCCTCGTTGACGCGACCGGCCTCTGGTTCGCAGAGAGTCTACTACCTGTCGCTGGAGTACTACATGGGGCGCACGCTGCAGAACACGATGATCAACCTGGGCATCCAAGGCGCCTGCGACGAGGCCATGTACCAGGTGAGTGAATGAGAGAGCGAGCGAGTGGCCGAGGCAGGGGCCTGCGCTCGGCGAACGCTCATGAGCCACCCGTCCGTGCGCCAGATGGGGCTGGACATCGAGGAGCTGGAGGAGCTGGAGGAGGACGCGGGCCTGGGAAACGGCGGCCTTGGCCGCCTGGCCGCCTGCTTCCTCGACAGCATGGCCACGCTGGGCCTGGCCGCCTACGGCTACGGGATCCGCTACGAGTACGGCATCTTCGCGCAGAAGATCCGCAACGGCGAGCAGCACGAGGAGCCGGACGACTGGCTGCGCTACGGCAACCCCTGGGAGAAGGCGCGCCCCGAGTTCATGCTGCCGGTCAACTTCTACGGCCACGTGGTCGACACGCCCGAAGGCAAGAAGTGGGTCAACACGCAAGTGGTCTTCGCCATGCCCTACGACAACCCCATCCCCGGCTACAAGAACAACGTGGTCAATACGCTTAGGCTCTGGTCGGCCAAGTCACCGGTCGAGTTCAACCTCAAGTTCTGTGAGTGTGCCGCGCTCGCTGACCGCCGTTCGCGAACTTACGCCGTCTCTGCCTCTGTCCTCAGTCAACGACGGGGACTACATCCAGGCGGTGATCGACCGCAACCTCGCCGAGAACATTTCGCGCGTGCTCTACCCCAACGACAACTTCTTCGAGGGCAAGGAGCTGCGCCTCAAGCAGGAGTACTTCATGGTGGCGGCCACGCTGCAGGACATCATCCGCCGTTACAAGTCCAGCAAGTTCGGCAGTCGCGAGCACCACCGCACCGACTTCGAAGCCTTCCCCGACAAGGTGGCCATCCAGCTGAACGACACCCACCCCTCGTTGGCCATCCCCGAGCTCATGCGCATCCTCATCGACATCGAGGGTCTTAGTTGGGAGAAGGCCTGGGAGCTGACGGTGCGCAGCTGCGCTTACACCAACCACACCGTCCTGCCTGAGGCGCTCGAGCGCTGGCCGTGCAGCATGCTCGACAGCATCCTGCCGCGCCACCTGCAGATCATCTACCACATCAACTTTCTGCACCTTAAGCAAGTCGAGGCCAAGTTCCCCGGGGACCTTGACCGCCTACGCCGCATGTCGCTCATCGAGGAGGAGGGCGAGAAGCGCGTCAACATGGCCCACCTGTCCATCGTCGGCAGCCACGCCATCAACGGCGTCGCGCGCATCCACTCGGAGATCCTTAAGGACTCGGTGTAGGTCTCCTCGCCGGCTCATCCTCGACCCAACTACACTCACTCTGCCTCACGCATTCGTGTTTTCTCCTTCACAGCTTCCGTGATTTCTACGAACTCACTCCCGAAAAGTTCCAGAACAAGACCAATGGCATCACTCCGAGGAGGTGGCTGCTGCTTTGCAACCCTAACCTGTCCGACGTGATCGAGGAGAAGATTGGCAGCGAATGGACCACCCACCTGGAGCAGCTGGTCCAGCTTAAACAGTACGCTAATGACCCCTCCTTCCAGCGCGCCATCGTTAAGGTCAAGCAGGAAAACAAGATGCGGCTGGCCGAGATGCTGGAGAAGGATTACGGCGTCAAGGTCAATCCTTCGTCCATTTTCGACATCCAGGTGAAGCGCATCCACGAGTACAAGCGCCAGCTGCTCAACTGTATGCACATCATCACCATGTACAATCGCATCAAAGCGAACCCCACGAAACCCGTGGTACCGCGCACCGTCATGATCGGTGGCAAGGCCGCGCCTGGCTATCACACTGCCAAGAAGATCATCAAGCTCATCTGCAGCGTCGCCAATGTCGTCAACAACGATCCCATTATCGGTGACAAGCTCAAAGTCATCTACCTCGAGAACTACAGGGTCACGCTGGCTGAGAAAATCATACCTGCGGCCGATCTCAGCGAGCAGATTTCCACTGCCGGAACCGAAGCCTCTGGCACTGGAAACATGAAGTTCATGGTACGACCGTCCGCCCTACACGTTCGCTCGCTTTTAATCTCGTCAAAATCCGGGTTAATTCTGCACATTATTTCCACTATTGCCATTATTGTCGTTATTATTACTACTATTATCTTGCAGCTGAACGGCGCCTTGACGATTGGCACACTCGACGGAGCCAACGTTGAAATGGCTGAAGAGATGAACAACGACAACATTTTCATTTTCGGCATGACCGTTGAGGAGGTGGAAGCCTTAAAAAAGAAAGGATACAATGCTCATGATTATCTCAATAAACTGCCTGAAGCTAAACAATGCATCGATCAAATTCAAGGGGGCTTCTTCAGTCCCAATAACCCTTCTGAATTCCATGACATCATCGATATTCTTCTCAAATGGGACAGATTTTATCTTTTGGCCGATTACGAGAGCTATATTCAGTGTCAAGACCGAGTATCGAAAACTTATCTGGTACTTCTTTCTCTAATATACCATCGCAAGTTGCCACGCCAGCCCTAATTAATATTTGCTCGTTTCACAGGACGAGTCTAAATGGGTGGAAATGGCCATTCACAACATCGCTTCATCCGGCAAGTTTTCATCGGACCGAACGATCGCAGAATACGCCCGTGAAATTTGGGGAGTCGAGCCTAGTTGGCAGAAACTGCCCGATCCTCATGAACCTCGTGATATTTAAGTTCATGCAATGCCCTTTGCGTTTTATCATAATAATTGGTATTCATTTTTTTAAAGCCAGATGCTTATCTATATATGTCTGTTTATTCATTTACAGCTTTATATGAAATATTTCAGTTACATTTGCTTGTACCTAAGTGTGTATCTGGACGCGCAATCGCATGAGAATACTCGATAAACATTGTGAGCTCTATTGGCTTTACAACAAAAAGATATTTTAAAGGATCGATTAGCTCGATTTATATCTAAAGTTTTTACAAACCCTTTGCATATAGTTGCACGCTTATAAAAATGTTTTATATATATATGGCCGCTCAGCTCACACGCCTCATTTGATTTAGGCCATTGAAAGATTTTTATATACGCGGTCATCTTGTTATTTCTCTATTACTTTTCTTTTTTCGTCACAACTGCTCTAGTCGATGGACATATCGTGACAGAATGCTTTTTTTCTTGTTGGGATTGTGTTTAACAATGGCAATCATTTGTAGATTTTAGAACGAATCATAGTCGTCATCTTCATCAAGGTGGGCAAAAATTTTCAGGCGAAAATCGTTTTTTCGTTGCTATTGTTGTTGTTATTATCGAAAATGAATCAACATTGTGCCAATTTATTATTGGCAGTGATAATCACTGTTCAATTTGTAACAATTTTCGCAAGAAAATATTATTAAAATGTCCATCGGACAACTATAGATACGGCCTTCCTACAAGCCTTTCGGCCTGTACATATTCGAAGCAAAACCGATCAAAGTACAAATAATTTTTTTAACAAAAAATTAAGAAATTTAATAAAAAGAGCCCCTTATATTTCGTAATAATATATACAAGTAACAACGAAAAGCACTTTGATAACTCCAACATTAAATGACCTCTAGATAAGAAAAGAAAGATTCACGAAGGTTGTTACGTATGTTGCAATTGTTGAATAACGAATAAATAATAATGAAAAAAGCACGAACGAAGGCTGGTTAAAAAAGAATCGATGTAGCTTTATGTGTGTGGAAGTTGGTTGCTTGAGCGAAGTGCCCCTGTCACGTAGCAACGCACCGATCATTGTGGGAAAGTATGTAAGGTGTAATAAAAAGAATGTCAAAGTAATATCTACGTGAATTATTATTTGAGTTGACGTTTATAGGCAAGAGTGCGTCAAGCAGCAACAGAGAGTCGGTAAACAAGTGTGCGCATGACACTTGGCCATGTAAGTATATGTGTAGGTATGCGGCATTGCGGCTGCGACTGTAAGTGTACGCTCTTGGCAGTGCGTATTAAGTATCCGTGCTAGGCAAAAGTGAGTGGGCAGCAATGACAACAATGTCGCGCGAGTGGCCGAGCGTCGTTGTTGCACGAAGGAACGAGGCGCTCAAACATTTCACGTTCGACGATCCCGAATCTGTGCCCGTCGTGAGTATCACCGTTTACCTTGATTTCCCCTCGATCGCAATCGTTCAAGCTGATCGAGTTGTAGACTGAAAAAAGTGACGTCTACGGCGCAGACCAACATCAGCTGGAGTATGCCACTTGTGCACAATGTCTGTCGCCGCGTCTGCTTGGTTGTGCACACTACTGGCCTATAGCGCTTCGAATTCCAGTTGTAGATTTCCTTTATTTGTCAATGGGTTTCCCGTCGGACTCTACTCTCAATGGAGTTCGCTTGAGCAACTCTTTAACTATTATGCAATTCATCGATCGACTCGCATTCTCCGACCGAGAGTAATAACAATAGTTTGTTAATTAACGCGTTCATACTTGTTATCATTGTCGCGCTCGAGTACTCGCAACTGATTGAAAACATTTGTTTTCGTACACTTGTTTGTTTTCTAGTCGCGGCGCATGTAATCAACAAATCACTGGCACGCTTGCTTTGCTCGCTCATTTAAAATACCTGTCTCGTAAGACGCACAATCAAAATTCAAACTCTGTTATCGGTCAACCGAGTGACAAAGTGCTACGAGCATGAAATGCGCAAATTGGCGCCGCGTATTAAGCAACATGTTTTCACAGAGGACGGGAACCCTATACGCGTTAGAGGATTTGAAGCCATCGTCAACGATAATCGTCACCGGCTACATACCCATCGACGCAACAAGGTAAGACAGAGCGAGCGCTTTTTCCGACTGAAGGTTACTATGTACTTAGGTGTAGGACAGATAATGAAAAACTGCCAATTTCAAATGCAAATATCAAAAATCGTCAGTAAATGTTGATCAAGTTTAAAATTGTTTGGCGAATTAACAATAAGGCTAATTTTCGTGCTAAACGTTTTCGTTCTTGTGCTGCACGTTACTACGCGTTTTTTTATTTCAAACGTGCTGTCCGTGAATTAATGTTTCTTACAACTTTCGCGAAACTAATGTTCTAAGATATATTTGAACTTCGTGCTCGCGAATCGCGTATAAATGTCAAATTCGAAAATGAAAACTAGATGAAATCGAAAGCCAGAGGTGCACGGAAAGGAGTCCCGTGGCAATTGGTCGGTGTACGTGGATGTAACTAACGTTCGGTTATTTGCCAGCGGCGAAAAGGAAAATGATAACACAAAGGCGGTCCGAAATTTGCAAGCTACCGTATGGAAAGGATTGTTGAAAACGATAGGATAGGGCGCAAATGTCGAGCATTAGGCATGAAGTTGAAAGTAGCGAGGCGCGCTTGAAAAACAAGAAGCGAGCGCTGGAAGGCGGCCTGCGATTTTTTGCGAAGTGATCCGCGGTGCGAGCGATAACAAGCGACGGCGAAACGAGCGCGCAGACGTTGCCAAGCGAAACGGTGATATCGCGTAGAGAGCGAGTCGCAGCCGAAGCAGGACGCTCGTTCGGGCAATGTCGCGTCAAAATTAGTTTAAGTGGAGCCGAGTCAAGTCGGACAAATGGCCAAATTGCTCACGCTCGCGGCTTGATTGGGCCGCGCGACACCGCGCGCGCGCGCAGGTTCTCGGTCAACCTGACCTGCAGGAATCCGCAAAACGTGGCGCTCCACTTCAATCCCCGGCTGGACCGAGGCTACGTGGTGCGCAACTCCAAGCTGAAGGGATGCTGGCAAGAGGAGGAGACCTGCTCGCCGCTCGCCTCGCGCGGCTATATCTTCCGCCGTGGCCGCTTCTTCCAGCTGACCATATTCTGCACGCAGAACGAGTTTCAGGTAGGTAGGTAGGTTGGTAGGTAGGTAGGCAGGCAACCCTGCCCGCGCGACTCAGCCCCTCGTCATCTCTCGCCAGGTGGCCATCGACGGCGAGCACTTCTGCGCGTTCGCCTATCGGCTCCCGCTCGAGGACGTCGCCGGATTCGAACTCAACGACCACGTGGAACAGGCCAAGGTCCGGCAAGACAGCGCCGACGTGTACCCCGAGCCGCGGGCCGGCCAGCCAGACCGAGCGCTCCGCCTGGTCGACGGCGCGGCCCTGAACTCGAACCTGGTAAGCTCGCGAGCGGCCGTGGCCGCCGAGTGCGCCTACACGCGGACTTGCTTGCCAGGAGCTGCCCGCGCTCGTTGACTTGCCCAACGGCCTCGGCATCGGGGCTCGGCTGACCATCAAGGGCAGACTGAAGCTGCTGCCGCACTCGTGAGTGTCGACCGACGGCACCCTCGTTCGCCGCTAACCGCACACACGGCCACTTCAGGTTTTACGTGAACCTGCAGAGGGGCAAGACGATCTATCCGCATCCGGAGATCGCGTTGCACCTCAATCCCCGCTACCACTACGGCAACGCACCCTCCTGCTTGGTGATGAACTGCTGGAGCGACGGCAGCTGGCAGAAGGAGGAGCGCCACCACGGCCAGTCCTGGACCCCCGGCCGCGAGTTCCTCTTGACGTAAGATCGACCCTTCGCCCTTCGCCCTTCGCCCTTCGCCCTTCGCCGGCCACGCTCCCTCAACGCTTTCGTTCTTCCGCAGGGTCCGCTGTGAGCATGAGGCCTACGTGATCTGGCTCAACGACAGGATGATCGCCGAGTTTAGACACAGGCTGCAGCCGTCGCTCGTCGACACCGTGCACGTCGCCGGCGACCTCGTCCTCTACGAAATGCTCGTGTCGTACTAGTCGCCTCGAGCTCGATGCCCGCAGCTCCCGACAAGCTCACTCCGCAGGCGGTTTATCGCTTCTTATTTTTTTTTTTTTTTTTCTTTTTCTTTTTCTTTTTTTCTTTTCTCTTATACATTTCTTCTCTCAAGTCAAGTCACGGTCAAGCTTGCATTTTGTCGCCTCGGGCGAAAGCACTTTTTTATGTATATTTATGATAACTTTCGGAGCACGAAGGGAGTGAGCCTCGTCGGGGCGAACCAGTCATCGATCACTCGGCGCTGCCAGCGGCCGATCGAACAGCACTTTTGGTAAATTGTCGATTGTTCGTTGCGCAGAGGGACCTCTCGGAGGCACGCGCGCGCATTTACACTTAATTATACAGTCGCTTTACATGATAATTTGTTGATATATTTGTATGTACACGTAGCGTATAACAATAACAATTTGATAAAAACCGATGCTCTTGTATGGCGTAATAAAAGCCCTCTATTTGGCCAGTGACAGCGTGTGTCTGATTAGTAGCCTATGCGCGTAGCCGTCGGCGCAAAGTTGATGTCGCGAGAAATTCTAGGTGTGCCAGTAGGGGACGTTGTCGCTGGGGAAGGTGAATCTGCGCAAGCGTACGCAGCAAATGGCTAGCGCGGCGAACGCCAAGCAGAAGACGAGAAAGACAAGGCGGTCGATGGCCGTGGCAGCGAGGGTCCACTCGAGGTTGGTAATGCTCCTGCCGGAATCTGGCGATGGCGATGGCGGTGGTGGCGGCGGCAGCTGCTGCTGCTGCTGCTGCTGCTGCTGGTGCCGCTGCTGCTGCTGCTGCTGCTGCTGCTGCCGCTGAGCGTCGTCGAGGCTAGCGAATGGAGTGGTCGTCAGCGAGATGTCCATCAGGTGGCTCTCGCACAGCTCCTGCTCGGCTACCGACTTGCGCGCCTCGATCTGCGATCAGCGATCCGTCAGTCGCGGCGACGAGGCTCGCGGGCGCGCGCGCACCACTCACCTCTCGGACGATGTGGCCGAGGCCCAGGTAGCGGGCCGCGCGGCCCAGCAGCAGGCGCCTTATCGGCCGTGGTACGCGCGCGTGAGCCGACAGCTTGTCGATGTGGATGACTATCGCGGAGACGACCATCGAGATGCTCGCCTGGTAGAGGCAGCCGCTATAGAACCTGACTGCGCAACAATCGGACCAGACGCAATTGGCAATCGCTCTCTCCCCCCGAGTCCCCCAACGCTTCCCTGGCGAGCTTACCGATGATCGGCATGCTGTCGAATCGCGGCGGCACCTTGTATCCGAAGTACACGAGGTAGAGCACGACCACGAGCACCACGCACGCGTTGATGAGGATTTTGAGCTCGCTCTGGGGCCGCAGCCAGAAGGTGAGCAGCGACAGCAGCACGATAGCTGAAAGATGAGCGAGCGAGCGGCAGAGCGTGAGTGTCGGCAGGCTGCCGCGACGGCCGCCGGAGCGGTGAATCTGGCCGCGGATACCGACGCACAGTGGGCGCGAACACGACGTGGTAGTAGAGCTCGGCCGAGCGCGACAGCTCGAACTCGAAGTCCAGGGTGACGTAGGCCTCGGGGCAACAGTCGAAGCTCTCCTCCCTGCGGCTGGCCGTCGCGTTCCTCACGATCCACTCGCTGATGGCCACGTAGTCGTGGAGCTGCAGCACGGCACAACGAGCACCCGCGTGAGCGAGCCAGGAAGTCGGTGAAGGGGGCGGAGAGGGAGAGGAGGGGGGGGGGGCGACTGACCTCCACGCCGGAAGCGAGCAGCCGTAGGTCCACTTGGCTGCCGTCGTAGGTCCACGAGCTGAGACTCAGCCGGCAGGTGTCGGCCTCGAAGGGCCAGAGCGCGAAGTCCAGATGGCAGTATCCGTGGAAGATGGTCGGTGTGACCCACAGCACCATGCCTTCCTCGCTGACCACGCAATGCCGGTCGCCGTAGTACTCCATGCCGTGGGCCGCGCTGTCCAAGGCATGCCATACGCAACGTTCAGAGTGGCCACGCAGCCAGCTGGCCGCGAGCAGCGCGCTCACCTGTTGAGCAGGTAGACGTCGGGCAGCCAGATCTCGTGGGCGGCCAGATTGACGCTCTGTAGGCCGCCGTAGTCCGAGGAGTTCCACCTGAGCTTGTCGTCGTTCCAGCTCTGCCGATCAGCGTCGTGCGGCTTTGACATTCGATTCGGTTCGACGCTAATGGCCTAAGTGCCCGAGTGCGGGCTCATTACCATGACTAGCCAGACGTTGGCGGCCATGACGTTGAGCGTATCGTCCTAGTCGGTGCCGCGTCCCGCAGACGCGCGTTTTCGGCGACCGAAGCAGCAGCAGCAGCAGCAGCAGCCGCAGCAACGGCAGCAGCAATGGCAATGGCAACAGCAACAACGACAATTGCGTGAGCCGCAGTCGAATGCCACGCGAGCGAGCGCGCCGCCACTTACCACCTCCAGCGTCTGCACGTTGATCTTCAGGCTGACCGTGGTCGCGTTCCAGTGCTGCGACGGCCTGGCGAACTTGTCGTACTTGGCCAGCAGGCTCTGCTTCAGCTTGTCCGTCCAGGTGTCGTTCCACGGCGCCGCTGGACCTGCCGGCAAGCCGCGCGGCAGCGCGTCGATTCAGAAATCTGGCGGGCGCGCGGGCAGCGAGGGCACGCATCCGCGGCCGCCGCGCAAGTGGATAAGCGTCGCCGACAATGGGCGCATTGTCGGCTCGCTCGTCGGGGCTCCGCGCGAGGCTTACTCGTGGCGAGGCTGCCGCTGCTGGCGAGCGCGGCAGCGACGGCGGCCCTCAGCGCGCACACCCACACCAGCCAGACTGCTCGGCGGATCATCGCGCGGCGACTAGCGGCCGCGCGTCCCTCGCTCGTCCCTCGGACGCGAGCGGCGGCCCCCCGCCCACCGCGCCGCCGCCGCAAGCTCGCTCCGTTGAGCCGAGCTGACCGCGCCGGCTGGCATTTGGGATCGGTCGGCCGACGAGCGGACTAGTGCGTGGCGAGGTCGGCCCTTGCTCTCTGGCATCGGGCGCCACTCCAACGGTCGTGGCGCGGCGACCAGTCGGACAGGCGAACTCGCGAGCTTGCAACTGGGGCAGAGCGACCGCTGACGCTCTCCTTCGCTTCGGCCGTCCGCCGATCATCGAGAGCTTTTCTTGCTTGCTTCCGCTAATGCTGCTTACCGATAGATCGATCGATCGAAATATGGCAAACAGCTTGTGAATGCGTATCGTTAATCATCGGTAGCCGTTGAAGCAGCCCATCAAACATTCGCTACATATGTCCATCTTTCCGATGTGCTCGTATTGATCTCTCTCGGTCCCAATTCAATGCTTTGTTCGAACCATTCAATCTTTATACTACAAGTCGTTATTGGTGGGTACTACTAGTATTGAGAATTCGCGGCTACGTCACTGAGCCATGCAGACTGCAGAGGCTCATTGGAGCTTGAGCTTTTCGAATCTTCCACTGCTTCAAGTTTTCGTTGACTAAATGTCATTTCGTATCAACAATTAATTCATGGTAATGGTATAATTATTACACTAGCAACATATGACAACGTAGAAGCTGTTGTTCGTCGAGCAAAGCTCACGATTTAGCGAATGGTCGGGGAAAATGGAGGTGCATTGGCCGATAGCTTGTAGCGAAGGATTGAACGTGTCGTACGTTCGGTACGAATCGAAGGCACACGGAGATCAGTGGAGGGCGATTTGGGAGCATCTCCCGGATGTTTCTTACGGGCTGCAGTCCTACTGGATCTCCAGATAAGAGGCTCGACTGGTTCATCGAGTCACTCATTAACCAGAACGCCGCGCCGTCCAGCGGCAGTGGTCTCGTGGCTGCCATGTCACAAATGTTTGCCTACATTGATTTCCCGCTCGAGTGCAATTGATTTCGACGGCTATGTTGCGTGTCCGCACAGCTTACGATTATACGTATGCCTAATCTTGGGCCTAACTATCGATGTACTTCATTCGATCTATAGTCTAATCGCCAGTACGCGGTCGACGCGAATTTCAAGGCTGGGAATCCAAAAATTGGCTGGTTCGATTAAATTTTTAAAACGTCATGTGTTTAATTATAACTAAAACTCATCAAGAAACTGGAATTCAATGTCTTCTGACGCTTCGATGAAACAATTAAGTCCGGAGATATTATTAATGCAATTGAAATGCTGATATAAACTCGAAGGGCTCGGACGAATTCGACTGCAATTTTTTCACCGATAAAGTTACAATAACGATTGGTCAGCTTAACGATTTGTTACTTTACAAGCAGTCTACTTCATTCAAAAAACTCGCAATTCGACAAAGAAAAAGGACGGGTATAATGACGCAGAAATTTAATTTTCAATACCGCCGTTACTTTCTGATTCTTCGTTTGATTATCGTCTGACAATCCACTAGCTTTCGGCTGATGTGAAGCAAGTATATAATTGGGAATAAAAAGATGGCAAAATGATTGCAATTGTACGGACAACAATAGGCGACGCTCATTCGTACGCATGGCAACCGATTTCCGTGCTATTTTTGGGATAAAAGACACTTGGCTGTACCTATCTGGCAACTAGTCCGGTTCTTAAAAAAACAGTCTAAAATCCAAACTCGTTTCTTAACCGTGTAGCTTTCCATTCTCACTTTGAACTTGAATCCGTTGTAGAAATCGCTTCAGCGATGTTCGCTTTTTAATTCACTGATCTAGCGAATGGCGATTGAAGCATGACAAACCCGCGCAAGAATCTAAACAAATCTAGTTAATTTATATTCATAAGACGGTTGTCATTGTAGAGCTTTGAAAACATCATTGCTGCATAATAATTCAAAGCTAATAAAATAGTAAGGCTGACACGTTTGAGTGAGATTGGTGTACTTTCGAAGCTCTGTAGAGCTCATGTTTTTGCTTTTGATTGACGGATTTGAACACTGTCATGGACAAAAAGGAAACATCAGAACTATGAACTATGACGGGTTCGAGTATTTTTTGGTTTCCGATAATTTACATTCAGAAGCGCACGTGCAATTTGAGAACTTAATTCGGAGCGATGCAAAATTGCGGGACATTTTTATAGCATCGCTTATACATATCTACATGCTAATGGCTATAGAAATATAGGCTAATAACAACGAGCTGATAGAGTCGATAGTGTGAGCGCAATTACCTAGCTTCCAGCCCCACAGCAATGAACATCGACGTCCGCGTCCGCGTCGTAGGCAAGCAAGTAGATGCATAATTTTCACGTCAATAACGAGCAGCTTAGCGATAAATCAGTACAAAGAGAATAACGTAAAAATATCTCATCAGTAGAATAGTTAGAATATATGTAGTGACTCTAAACCGATACTTGATTTACTGCTATTTTCTTCTACAACTAATTATTGCATAATGATTGCGCAGCAACAGCTACAGACAATAAATAGTTGGATCACAGCCATATCATCGTAATATCTGTTCAGTCTTGGTCCAGCTCGACGTATTCCATCGCAATTTTCGATCGCTCGGATCAATGATCATCGTCAATTAATATTTGACCTGGGTACATTCTGCATCTACGTTATATTGACATGGCAAAATGAGAATTTATTTATACGCCATACATTTTTATACTTTAGTACCCGGCTATTTTATAACGTAGTTACCTTTATACATAGCAAGCTCAAGACCATTATTACTGTCTTTCAAGTAACTTTTCATATAATTATTGCTCAATAGAATCAGCGTCGAGACTTTATCGATGTGTTATAAAAGTTTAAATGAGATCAATTATAAACAAAAGAATTGCCTTCAATTCTTCTGGAAAATTGTTATATCGAATATTTAAAATCTTTTATATTCTCTAATGCTCTCCATACAACTGCAGATTTTTAATTGTTTAACTTGTCATAACAGCAAGAATCATTTAGAAATAATTTAAATTACATTTAAAATTAATTCCAACACCTCGCCTACATTTCCATTTATTTCGGGTTTAATCGATGAAAGTAGCAGTAATCAATTAAAAGAAATTTAAAGACATGTATCGTTGACATCTTACTAATGTTTATTAAACTATTGTATACAGTAATTATATTGCAAATAACGTAGAATAGATTTACAATATCTCTACAATCATTAGTATCAAATACACGTAAACTTAACAAATTGTTTATTGTAGTTTTGTGTACAAAGTTTGTCATTATAGAAAAATAATTCTGTAATAAAATAGATTCGCTTCAAGCAAGTTGTCTACAGCATATACATTATTGTAGTCCCATGCCATGAAGTATAATTAATTGTAATTCATTGCTTACTTTATATTACTGATACACTACTGCAAGATCAATTGAGGCAAATTATATATCTATTTTTTTCAGTTATACAGTAAGAAACACTGGTTCAGTAATATAATTATGTAATTTGGTATATTTTAAAAGTAACTTCGCAAATTTAACAAATTAACAGTGTTGTATCGCATTGGCTAATGGCGTTACATATACTTCGTCATGATGTAAAACATAACGTTCTTTCTTCAAGTAAAAGTCTGGACAATTGGGACACCAACAATATAAACTTAATTTTTTATCTACTTTTAAATTTACATATCATACTTGCGCAACATTATAAAATTCTTTTGACAATTACATTAGCTACTTATCGATAAATTGGTCGTGACATTTATCTCAAGAAATTAACAATTCACAAAATCTGTATTATAGTAGTTTAGTAATATTGATAAAATCATTGTGAACTTATAAACTTGTTGGTATTATTATTATCAAGAATCCAACATCAAAGTGTTGATTCTAAGTTTTGAAACATAAATGCTTTACGTAAACAAGAGAAAGAAAGTGATAAAAAATAAATAAGGAAAATCGACTCACATTATAAAATAAGAAAAAATCGATAGCTAAATTTAATCATTGAAACTGTCAAGCGGATCTGCTGCTCATTTGTTAATCTTATCCTTTTGCTTCTTTAGATACGAAAGATACATAACGGTGGGCATTCGCGCATTTCTGGCAAGCATTTTTTCTCTAAAGTTGAGTACTGCAGCATTTTTTTTTGCAACTTTCTTTGCTTTTTGCAGGTTGATGACTGCAAATTGAGTGGTGCCGCCTGTGGAGCTTAGCGGGATATAACCGTCATCTACGCGAAGGTTCTCTGGAGTAATTTTGCCCGGACTGAACATAGACTTCGAGGGCATAATGAGACTGCGCTCTTTATTGCGCGAAAGCTTTTGTCGTTTGTTTGGTTGACGAAGAGGCTCGTCCGTTAAGTTGTCAAGGACGTCCTCCGGTAGGCGCTTCAAGCTCTTTAGTTGCTTTTCCTTTCGTGTGTAATCAATGTGATCTTTTTGTTTCTTCTTGAGCGACTCCTTCGTGGTTTCAATTTCATTCGAAACGCGGTAGGAATCTTCTTCGAAGCTTCCGTATGTTTTATCACCAAAACTATTTATAACCCGCTTCTTGCTCTTATTTTTCGACTCTAGACGGTCGAATTGCTGTTTATCTTCGGCATCTCGGAGCTTTTTCTTTTTAAACTTTTCTGACTCTAGACGCTTGTCTTCCTCGTCAGCTTTTTGCAGGTTTAACGATTTTTTTTTACTCTTCTTCATTAGTTTTTCTTCTGGAGTATTTTCCTCCTTAACCATTTTATCCACTGCTATCTCTGTAATTTTACTCTTCTTTTTTTTACTTTTAGGTACTTCCTCAATTCTCTTAATATCTATAACTTGTTTTCTGTGCAGTTTCTTGCTCTTAATTTTGTTGTTGCGATCGATACTTTCGATCTGTTCTTCCTGCTTGACTGCCGACATTGTCGAGTTGTCGAATCGAGCGCGTTTTTTGTTTTCCTTTGAAACCTTTAAAATACTATCCTCATCGACTGACGGCACATTCGACATATCCAATAACTTGCGTTTTTTTGATTTTTTACGTTCCTTCGACACAACTGCTTCTAACTCGACTTCCTGTTCCTTATTTTTCTTGTTTTTCTTAGTTGCCGATAATAGATCGCGGCTTTTGATTGATTGCAGCACAGGGACAGAGTCGTTGAGCTTAACCTTCTTGAGAAACTTAGTGCCTGGCGTATCTTCGACAACAGGATATGCAGTGTGGTTGAGGGGAATTAACTTCCATGCCTGTCGAGTCTTGGTGACAGTTTCAGGTGTAGCGAAAATTTCGACATCGTCTTTTAATTTCATCGAGGTATCACCAACTTTGATGGACTTGGAGATCTGTTCGCCAATGCTCAACCTACTGGATATCATCTTGGTGTCGCTGAGATTGCTCAAACTTCCAGATTTACGCCTCGATGTTGAGATAGACAGATTATTTGTTGAAGAATTGGCTTTTATTGCGGCTGCTGATTTGGGTGTACTGCAATCGATGAACTTCTTATTCTTAGGCTTTAATAAACTTAAGTCTCTCGATTCGAGGTTTACAATACGATAAGAGTCTTCGCCTTCCTCCATTTCGGATTCCGCTTCCAACGAAGAAGTAATTTCTTTGCTTTCACTTTTATCTACTTTATAATAATCCGACTCGTTGCTCGAAGAATCAGTCTTATCGTTATCCTCTATGTGGACACTTTTATTTTTACCGGACTTAGAGTTTTTGGCACTTCTATCGCTATTTCTCTTAGCGCTCTTATCTTTAATATGTTTTGATGAATTCAAGCTTTTATTCTTTACAGAAACGTTTATGCTTCTATTTTTAGATTTTGTTTGACCTTCATTGTCAAATTCAGAACCAATAGATACACTACTCTTTATTGGTTTCGAACTTTTGTTTATGTTCTTTTCTTTCTTTTGCAAACTGGTATTTTTTTCTTTGGTTGTTTTCGAATCTTGCAGGAATTTCTCAGTATTATCGAAACGTTTTTTAGCATGCTTGTTTTCATTCTCCGTTGCCTCATCGTCCGATTCAGATCCTGAACTCTGAGAGAAGCCCAATTTTTGCAGACAAGCGCTTGCATTTTTCATTGTAGACTGTAAACTGATATTGTGCTTAATTTTCTTTACTTTCGAATCTCTGATTTCCGCATCCTCGTTTTCATCTTTTAATCTATCTTCATCTTCACTTTCATCTTCATCTACATCCACTTTTTCATTTTCATCTCCATCCGCATCTCCGTCATCCTCGTTCTCTTCCGCCTCCTCCTTTTCCTCCTCGTCATCCTCATCTTCACTTTCATCATCTTCTATTTCTTCGTCGGGAACGACAAAATCTCGAAGATCAGCACCATCATCTTCACTATCTGAAAATTCCTCTTCGGAAGCCCGGCAGTCATCTCCAGGTACGTCATCGTCAGAATATTTGGTGATGCTGTCACCTCGAAGATTGTATTCTCTTTCAATATCTGAATCGATGTCATTATCTTTTAGTCCCTCTTCATCAGAGGAATCCTTAGTTTCTTCTGTGTCGCTCAATTTGAACATGAAATTTGGAATTCGACTGTCATCAGTATCTGAATTTTCTGAACTTGAGTTAACTTGGACGACTGTGGAAATCTCATGTTTTGGCGGATTTGCAAATTTCATGCGTTCGATACTCTTTTGTAGAGAATGATCTAGAACAGACGGCGCAGAGTTAACATCTTGTTTCTTTTTTTTCTTGAAGCTGCCTTCATTCATTGAATCTTCAAGATTTTCTACATCTTGGACGCTGAAAGCTTTAATGGGAGATTTTAAAGATATTTTTGGAGATTTACCAGTGGATTTGTTTCTTTTCTTGTCATTTTTGCTAGACTCTACTTCTAATTTCAAGTCATCATCAACTATATCGTCAGATGAATTAAACGACTGCTTGAGAGACTTTTTATTACATTTTTTTTCCTGTGATTCATCTCCATTGTTGAACGAAATTTTCATTTGTGCATTAGCCAAGACTTTTCCGTTGTTATTATGCGCATTGTTGCTAAATGACTCATCAAAGTATTTTCGTGATTTATTTGGCGATTTGTCACTGGCCACATCAACTTCTATTTCTCTGCTTTTAGGTTCTTTTTCATTTTGTGTTTGAAATAATGAATTAATACTCGATTTATATGACCCTTCAGATGACCGTTTTATTTTTTGATATTCGTTCATTTTATCTGTCTGATGAAAACAATTACTGAGTGAACTATTGAGACGGTACTGACACTCAGACGATGATTTATTGACAATTTCATTCATGCTCTTATTGAAATCAATTCCAATTTTATCGTTGCTAACTATTTTTCCTTCTTGCATTTGATCAATAAATGATTTACGAGAAAATTTATTTAACGATTTATCTAGTGACAAACGCTTCGATATATTAGAAGTGTTTAACGGAACTGCTGATTTCTCAGCAATATTATCATTTTTCATTGGAGATTTATAACTTTTGCTTGAAAAATCATTGAATCTATTCATTCCACATTCCCTGTTTTTGGCTTCATCGACTGCCATTACTTCTGATTCTGAATTTTTATCTATTTGTTCCTTAGCAGTTGATTGTGGAATATCACGCAATGATTGTTTTTTCGACGTATTTACAACAATGTCGAAAGAATCCGTTATACTTTCGTCCGTTCTTCGGAAATCATTAAACAAAGATTCAAATAATTGTTGAGTTTCCATTTTGTAAGATTCTATACTTCGGTTCATAGACTTACGGTCTGCTAATGATTTTGATAATTTTTCAGCAACACTATCATTTTTATTTTGTAACGATGAACGACGACTCTTAGAAAACGATTCGTCCATACCATTGTCGTTTTTCTTGGCATCATTTTGAACGACTGTCTTATCTTGAATGACAGAATCGGAACTTTGGATGCTTTCGCGTTTGTTTTCCAAAGACTTTCCGGCCTGTTTTGAAAGCAATAGATCTACTTCTTGATTTTCCGTTTCATCAGCTACGTTGGTAATCTCTACCAGCGACTTCTTAATTTCATTCTCGTCGACAGACTTGTTGCATTTGTCGCTTTTGTTCCTGTCGTCCTTTCCATTGTCAGATACCTTAACGAGAGAATTGTCCTCATTAAATGAATTCCCAACTTCGTTTGTTTTATAAAACATGTTTGATTTTCTCTCCGACTGCTCTTTAGACCATTCTTCAGCCGGGATGTCTTGGAACAAATTTTCCGTACTCTCGTCCAGATCGCTGTCGATAACCCGCGTTTGAGATTTTCTTTTGCTTTTTTCAGTGGATTTCGTAGATGTATCTGTGCTAGTTTCGTGCGTTTTCTCCTCTTCCATTGGCGAAGACGCATTATCTCCATCAGCGTCTGTAACAGCATAAGGTATACCGTTTTTATCCTCTGTCATTTTTAACTCAATTTCATTAGAACTAGTTTCATTAAAAACACAAGGGTTTGCAGTAACATCATTTTCTTTAGAATTTGTTTTAGACTCTGATGGGTCCATTAGTTCTAACTGCTCATTTGTGTCAGTTACTATATTGCTTTGTTCTGCTTTAAATCTATTTATACTTATAGAATCATTTTTTTCGATATAATTTTCGTGCGTGCTATCGTTGAAGTTCTTACTGTCATTTACATTTTCTATTGCAGATTGTACAGCTTCGTTGCTTTCGACATCCTTGGATGTAGTAGCTGTTAAATTCGTTTTGACTATCGAAGAACTTACATTTACAGAAACAATCGTATCGTTATCTACAACCATGGAAACCGAATCATTGTGCCTACCTTTTTCGTGTAAAGAATTCGAAATAACTAAATTATCACATGAAGCATTTATCATTTCAAAAAAGTCTACTTTACTATTATTTCCAGAAATTAATTTGTCTTCAGTTTCACTAGCTACTTCAGTTGCATTATTCTGTACAACATTTGATGCACCACAATTTCCTACATTATCATTTTTTTCTCCTGACAAATTTTCAGACTTTGTTTTACTTTGATGTACATTTTCTTTCAAATAAACATTCAACTTTTCAGAACAAAAATTATCAACCACATTATTATTCACGTTCTTAACAGATTTATCAGTAATTTTATCAAAATAATCTTTTTCATTATCAGGTAAAACTTCGACAATTAACTCGTTATTCTGTATTTCTTTTTCACCAGGACTTGACAATTTTAAACTCATAATTTCATCATCACCATCAATTGATATAATATGATCATCACTGTTATGCATAAAAGTATTCAAATTATTATCTTCTCTATTATCAAGACTCAAACCCGAATCAAAAAGTTGTTGATCTTTTATGATATTACAATATTCATTACTATTAACTAAGTCATTTACTAGAATTACCGCAGTTTTTGCGTCTGTTATTGTGTTGTTTTGACTGACACTATCGCTCTCATTCAATTCTTCAGTTAATTTATTATTATTTTGATATTCCTCTAATTTTTCACTAACTATTTTTTCAACTAAATTAGTTCGTTTCAATTTTACATAAGGATCCTTTATATCCAAAGTTAAAGTGTCTTGAGTATCAACTTTGTTTGGACTATTAACTACATCAATAGAATCATCAGTTAAAGTTAAATTCTCAACATCAATCTGTTCACATTCATCATCATTAATATCAATTTTACTTTTCACTAAACAATTATTTTCATTACTATTTGAATGTAATTCATCAGATTTTATCATGTTTTGTTCCGGTAACAAAACTAAAGATTCAGAAGTAATTATTTGATTAATTTTTTCAGAGTTTTCTGTTTCTCTAGATTCAAAAGATGCTAGCTTGGAAGTTTTGGAGTACGTTGTTAGTGCTTTTAATGTTGGATTTCCATTTGAGTCATTGGTTGTACACAATTTGTCAGTCATGTTTTCTTCATTTGTTTTAGATGTATCCAAGTTTGATTGCTCTAGATCATTAAATGACTTTTTTATGTGTGTACATAGTAGTTATGATTGTATTTATTTTTAAGAAATATGAGCCAATAAACACTATGTATTAAAATGAAAAAATAAATTAAACTTACCAGTGTTATTATCTTTTCCTATTTCTTTCCTGTTCTTTGTTACTTTTTTCTTAGTTTTGTTTTTGGTAGAAACTGATTCATTTTCTAAAAAAGTACACAGAATATCAAATTTAGTATACATTATTTACAGCCTTTGGAATTTTTTATTTATTAAGTTTTAAAATAATAATGAAATACCTGTGCCTGAGTCTCCATCAATTTCCACAATAGTATTATTCGAACTTTCACCAGTTTCATTTTCAACTTCTTCTTCTTTTACTGTCTGTTCCACTGGTACTACAGAAGTCCTAGTGCGTTTCCTATTACTTGGAGTTCCGATGAATTCATTGGGTGTATTAATTGGGTCAACTGAACTTGCTCTAGTAACACGAGTACTTCTAGTTATTGGTGGAGGGGTTGATTTTACTTCAGAACCAGCTCTTAAATTGCGACTAGAAAGAAAGTTATTAGTTACAAATAAACAATAATGTTGAGTATATTTTTTTAATAAAGAATAAAGTTTTATTCATAATTCAATCAAGTTTACCAAAAAATAAATTACACTTACGATCTCAGATTTGTTTTGGTAGGAGTACTAGCAGCAACAGTTGCTGTAGCTGCAGCCTTACGAGTTAATCTTTTTTGTATTGTTTCTGTTTCCAAATCAATTGTTTCACTTAGATTAGATGATGCAGAGTTCTTTCTAGATCTTAAATTTTTTGCTGTGATGGCTGTGGCTGATTTATCTAGAGTAGCAGCCCTACTGCGAGTGGTACGAACTCTGGGTCGGGTGTTGCTGTCATCTAGTGATTCTGGTGATGATTCAATCACCATAAGTTGTTTGTTGCTTCTTGTAGATCTACGTGCTGGAGAATCTGTGATACTCACAGATGTGGCTCTTGTTTTTCGAATAGCTAAGGAATTCATAAATTACTTTCAATAATAAAGTGGCTTATGAGTAACTGTATTTGTCATTTGATAGACAATTATTGATGAAAAACTATAAGAAAATATGTGAAATCATACCGATGATTTTGTCGAGATTCATGGTTCAAAAGTTTATAAAAATATGGATTTTAAAGCAAAGCTTGGTTGAGTTTCAATACATTTAATTAATTGTTTGCCGCTTGGAGTGAACAAATAATCATACGTGCAATTCACGTGAAAACGTATTCAGAAGAGTTCAAACGACCGTTACGTTTTGAATTTCGAGAACGTGGTACAAAGACATCGCTAAATGGCAGTAAAAATCAAGCTAAAATACTTACAGCTTTTAGTCTCGATTTCCTCGTCAGAATCGCGAATGACGCGCGGCATCTTCACGATTTACTTGAAACTCTTGTTTTTGTTAAAATAATCAAATGGACCCTGATAATTGCGATGAAAAGGTCAGCACAAAAAAAAGCACGTGTTGAGCCGCTAAATCTCTAACTACAACTATCCAATTCCTACACGCCGGCAATATATATATATATGTATATATGTGTATATATATATATATATATGATAATCCCACGTACTGTTCGCTCCTCTATATCGTTTTGTTACCGACGGCGATGACTTGGAAGGTTGGGAAGCTGAATGCTAATTTCAGTTGTTTTGTTCCGAATAAGTGACAAAATGACCAGTGGCGAACTTTAGTATTGTGCGAGTTAAGTATATTCTTAACATTGCAAAATAATATGAACTTACACAATAAACAATTTAATTATTGATTTTCCGGAATTTTTTAAATAAATAAATCAGCAAACAACATGTAGTAAACATTTATGTACTTAGATATTTATCTTCTTAGACCTACAGTACACGTTTTAAATAAAAGTTACACACTCCTATCTAGGAAAATGTAATATAAATCTTTGAAATTAAATGTCATGTCGCGTGTAATGCTAAAATTTATCTCGAAATTTGTTACCATTATTTTGTTAAGAAATACTTATGTTGCAAACATTTAACAAGATCAATTGAAATTATGGCCGTATTTGATTTTCGTTTTAAAATAAAGTTGAAATAATTAAAATTATACTACCCGGATATTAATTTGTGACCCGCGAAGTTCAAAATCCGAATTATTTTCAACGATTTAGCATTGATGGTATCAAGTGGTTTTTTTTTGAGCAAATTGCAGGGACACAATTTGCCAAAATAAGTTTTCGACTTAATTTCATTTGATGTCATCGGTGCTCAATTGTTAAAAATAATTCGGATTTTCAACTTCGCAAGCAATGAATTAATGTCCGGGCAACAGGTACTATACTCTAGAGGTTGTTAACTTGCATGATTGTGTATCGCAAATGATCAGTGTGTTGCCGTAGGACCCCAGACGCAAGCTTGCAAACTTTGCCAGCGGCAATGCTGCCAATGATAGTGACAATGCTGTCACTTTATAGTGGCAACGCAGCAATGCTTTTATTTAATTTTAATTTAATGCATTAAAATCTCACAGTTACAACATACAAATGGCGACCAAGTACTGAAAATTGATATATTTTCAATACAATCGGATAAAATAAATTTGGTTAACCTGTATATGTACCGTATCATCGTGTACTATCCAATTTCTCGGGGTAATTTTCAATTTTTAGGGCTTATTAAATCAAAATATATGTTTAAACGTAACCGTAATTAGAGAAAAAAATGGATAACAAAAAAGACATTGATGAAAATAAAGGTAATAAAAGTCGTTATTAAAGTGATAGGACTTGTTGCATGATTTGGGAATTTTTGTTCTAAAAATTCAATCTGTGTTATAAAATTGGCAAAAAGAACGAATTAGTACTTCCTTATATTTTAGATAGCAAAGTTGAAGAAAACTTAGATTACGATCAAGCAGAAGTGGCTTCAGGTGAAGAGTTAGACTTAGAAATGGATAGAATACGGAAATTTTTTGAAGAAAAATTTAATTTTAATAATTCCTCACATGCATCGGACAGTGGAGAAAAAATTCTAACCGAAGCATCATTAGATGGCATTGTTGATTACATTAAAAAAAATAATGTAACAAAAATAATTACAATGGCAGGTGCTGGTATATCAACATGTAAGTTGCACATGTATAGTAAAGATTTTAACAATCAGTAGTCTATGATAGTCTTGTATTGTAAACTTGTATTTTACTACAGCTGCTGGAATCCCAGATTTTAGATCTCCAAAAAGTGGATTATATCATAACTTAGAAAAGTATAATTTACCTCATCCTCAAGCAATTTTCGAACTGGAGTTTTTCAGACATAATCCTGAACCATTTTTTGTGCTTGCTAAGGAATTGCTTCCTGAAGGATATAAACCAACGCCAGCACATTATTTTATAAAGTTACTACATGATAAGGGATTACTTTTGAGACATTACACTCAAAATATAGATACTCTTGAAAGAATGACTGGACTTCCAAAAGAACAAATAGTGGAAGCACATGGAACATTTTTTACTGGACATTGTTTAGAATGTCATGAAGAATATAATTTAGATTGGATGAAAGGTGCTAATTCAAGCTCAAAATTCAATAACAAAGAAATGACTTAAGAGACAATAGAAACAAATTGAATGTTAACTTTGACATTATAAAAATATACTTATAATTTTGAATTATATTTTTTCAGAAAAAATAAAAGACACAACAGTTCCGAAGTGTGAAACATGCAATGATGCAGTTGTCAAGCCAGATATCGTTTTCTTTGGAGAAATGCTACCAGATCAGTTTCATATACTTGTAGAAAAAGATTTTCCAAAGGCAGAACTTTTAATAATAATGGGATCAAGTTTGATTGTTCAACCTTTTGCTTCATTAGTTGGAAGGTTTACAAACTAAATTTGTAAAAACTTTTAGAATAAGTAACATTTTACTCAAAATATTTGTTAAATATTGTAGAGTCAAACGAGATTGTCCTAGACTACTTATTAATATGGAAAAAGTTGGAATGCAAGACAGAATATTGAGAATGTTAGGTCTTGGAGAGGGAATGAGTTTTGAGTCACCTAATGCTCGAGATGTAGCATGGCTAGGTGAATGCGATAAAGGGATTCAATTATTAGCAGATAAACTTGGATGGGGAGTGAGTATACTAACTTTGACCTTCAATTAATCAATAATGTCATTTCTTTGAATGTGTTTAATTTTATTCTTTTAAGGATGAATTAAAAGACTTAATATTAAAAGAACATGAACGTTTAGAAAAAGAATTTGTAAGTAATGTTTGCTTGTTATATTTTATTATTTAGAAATTAAAATGATTTTGAAATAAACTTTATATGTTTCATTATAGATTGAATCAAAAAAAGCACCTACAAAAAAAGATTGCCATTCTGGAGCTGAAAAAGCAAGTACCTAAAATATAATTTTACTGAAATTTATTACATTATAAAACCAGCATTGGGTAATTCCAATCTTACGTATATTTCAACGCGCAAGTCATGTTTTACAAGAAGTGCACTTACAAATAAAATGGAATAAATTGTAGATTCGATGTAACTGATGTAAATACGTGCACTACACTATTTGTCACAATTTGTATCAGCACTACTTACATTGAGCAATTGAAAGTCTTAAAAAAATCATTTGCAGTAACATCATTTTCTAAAAAAAACAAAATAAATAAATACATTTTTCGAAACACATCATGTGGAAGATGCGAAAAAAATGTTCCGAGTGCAAGTACAGTTGTTATTGCTCAATGCTGGTAATTATCAATATACGATCGTTTCTTCACACGGTTATTGAAAATATTGTAAAAGTTCCGTCACTCAATTAGTACGTAACTATTTATACGTAACATAAATTTGCTGATGCATGATTGTATTTCAATGTTAATTTTTTGTATTTATATTAATAGCCTCTTTCAGTCTAATGGTTCCGTGTTATTGAGATTTTATTAAAAATGTTGTGTATTTTTCTATTCTTTTTTTATGTATTATCTAGATCCTGCTATATAATAATTTATTGGCTGACAAAGTGTAAAATATATTTCATTTTTAAACTTCATACGATTCATAATGTATAAAACACATGTATGAAATAGCTATGATAAATTTAATAAAACAAACATTGATATTTATATTTAATAACGGTAATTTTATGATTATTGATGACACATCTGGGCGACCATAACAGATGACTTTGTTTGAGGTTCTCACCGAGAGCAACGTAAAGAAAAAATACTAAATTAAATGAATTAACGATTAACGGTAGAAAGAATTTCGTTGCATAACGAAAATAGAGGCCAATGGTAATCTTGAGGAGAAAACCATAAATCCTACAAACTTTAACAATGATTTTCAAGATGGGCATATAATAAAAACAATGATTACAAATTCGTGCATAGAAATTTAGCGTGAAAATGGTGAGTGGTTTCAAGGTGAAAAGAATATCGCAGCGTTTACATCGTATGTCATCTTATTAATAAGTATATTTTAGTTCACATTACTGAACTCTGACATCACGACTACTCACTGTTAATTACTATATTACTTCTGTTTTGGATACTCTAACGATAGAATACGAGTAAACTGAATGAATTAATGGTTATGTGCATAGACATTCTTATATATTGGCCTCCTGTGTTGCTCACCAGCTGCATCTCGATAAAACAACGTTAACAATTTTCCGATGCTCTGATGATTGTGTAAAATAAAAACTTGGAAATAAACTGTTAATTCAGAAGTGAACTTGTTCGAGATGACTTTATTCGCTAGCAATTACCTTGATTTCTTTCGAATGATAATTAAGTAGTTGAAGGGCATTGAAAAGCGTGAAAATATCTGATATATAATTGTTGCTTTTTATTATTACGCTTTCGTGGTTACAACTGTAAGACAGTAACACCATACGATTTTGTAATCTACAAGTTAGTTCTGACGAAAAGAAAAGAATGCTGCGCGCCTGCGACTCGTATTCGTGGTTAATGGTTGCTGTTGCGCGCAACGCAAATGTAGAAAGCTCACGGTTGTTTGCGCTTGTTCGGTAGGACTAGGCTCTCGAATGATTCAGGCGAGTCTCCGTTTGTTCGTAATTTTTCCATCTTAAACGCGAAAACTCTTTGGACTTGGAAATTTTCCACTACGAAAAGGCAGTATTCGGCTCGGTATAAAAATTCGATTGCAGCAATGCTAGCTGTCGTCTAATATTTGGCCGGCGAAACGGGCGTTTTGCCGGGGTCGATCTAGTAAAAATAATCAGCGAGGTATATCTCACTTGCTTACCATCTACTCTGTAAAAATCGAATGACATTGTCCAGTCCATGCCTCGCGTAGTCAAATATATTGGAGGTGCGCGCTTGGCTCTGCATTTGCAGTTGATTTGATGCTGAGTTACGGCTAGATAGCGTTAGGTTTGAATAATGATCGAGGACGAGGGAAGGGGGGGGGGGGCGCTTGGGTGGCGAGCGGGCGTTCGCCGCTCGAAGCTCGAATCCGACGAGCCCGCGAGACGCTTAAGGCGATCGATTAAGTATACGTACATTGTCTACACGGTTTTGGCACTTGGAAAATACATTGCGCGAGTGTACATATGCATGAGAAAATTGCACTAGTGGTGTACGCTCGGAGACGTGGCCGAGCGCGCGCCGTCCATCTCCAGGCGCGAGCCCGACTGCAATCCGGACCGCCGAACAGTCGGCAAGCGGGAGAGCGTCACTCGCGTTCTACGGTAAGGCCACTGCGGGCGAGTGGGCGAGGCGGGCCCGGCGCTAGACGAGCCCGAAGTCGGTGTGGACGGTGAGGTCGCAGTTGTTGGGCTTGTCGGTGGCGGCGGCCATGTTCACCTCGACCAGCGTGTCGACGCTGTTGAGCGGGCAGCCCTTGAGGATCTTCTGAGCGGCCAGGCTGGTGAACTGCACCTGCATGTCGCTGAGACTAGGGTAGGAGTAGAGGCGCTCGGCGCCGCCGGCGCCCTTGTCGAGGCCGGACTCCGAGCCCGGGGCCGGCTGCTGCTGCTTGTCCAGGTTGTCGATGTAGACGCTGTTGAAGGAGCCGCCGAGGGCCTGAAGCGGCTTGGTGGGCGAGGGCGGGTGCGACTGGTTGTTCTTGCAGGCGGCCGGCGCCGGCTGGGCCTGCGCCTGGGCCGGCGGCTGGCGCAGCAGGTTGCGGTAGCTCAGCGCGTCCTTGGACAGCGACAGCGAGAGCTTGCGCGCGTTGTTCATGGCCGCGGGCTCGTGGCAAGCCGAGTCGAGCGGCAGCGGCTGCGCCTGGCCGTTGTTCAGCCGGTTGTTGGTGAGCTTGAGGCGGCCCGCGGCCAGCGGCGTCGTTTCCTGCGCCTCCGCCTGGTTCTCCTTGTCCGACTCGGACTTGGCGTAGAGCGAGGAGGGCCGCTCGGGCCGCTCGGGCCGCTCGGGCCGCTCGGGCCGCTCGGGCCGCTCGGACCGCTCGGACCGCTCGGACCGCTCGGGCCACTCGGACCGCCTGTTCGGCACCTCGCGCGCCTCCGCTTCGCCCTCCCGCTCGGCGACGAGCTCCTCCTTGGCCTTGGCCTTCGGCCGCTCTCTGTCCCTGTCCCTGTCGCGCTCGCGCTCCTTGGCCTGGCCGCTGTTCTCGAAGGTGATGACCGAGCGCATGGGCGAGTTATTCTGGTGGACGTAAATCTTGGTGCCGGGCGAGCCGGAGATGGTGGTGGTGCTGGAGGCGTTGGAGGCCAGGGTGACGCTGCTCTGCACGCTCTGCAGGCTGCTCGGGGCGCGCTGCTCCTGCGACGGGCTCAGGTTGGTCGACACCTGCAGCGTGATGGAGTTCTGCGCGGCCTCCTGCAGCGGCGCCATCTGCTGCTGGATCAGCTTCAGCGGCGACGAGGACGAGGAGCACGACGAGGAGGAGGACTTGTGCAGCAGCTGCAACGGCGGCAAGGGGGGAGCGGTCAGCGGTCGGGGCGGCCAGCGGGCGCTCGGCCGGCCTACCTTGTGTTGCGGCGACGAGCCGTTGCAGGACGCGTGCCGGGAGGAGTGCCGGGACGAGTGTAGCCTGCCCGGGCCGCCGGCGGCGGGCGAGGGCGCCCCCGTGGGCGGCGGCAGAGCGGCCGCGGCCGAAGCGGCCGCCGGGCGCACCGAGCCCGAGCTGCCGCCGCTGCGGCTGGGCGAGGAGTTGCTCGAGTTGGTCTTGGCGTTGGCGGCGCGCGAGGTGCAGCGGCTGCTGGAGCGTGGCAGCGTGGAGCAGGGCGAGCGGTGGCGGCGCGAGCTGCGCGGCGTCGAGTTGGCCAGCAGGCTGGTCGAGTCGACCGAGGGCTGGCGGCGGTGGTGGTGGTGGTGGTGGCGCCGCGGCAGCGTCGCCGAGCGCACCGAGCCCTCGCAGTCGTCCCACGCGCGGAAGCTGGCCTGCGAGCCGGCGCCGTCGCGCAGCGCCTCCTCCGCCGCCGTCTGCAACGAGGCCGCGGTGAGCGGAGCGCGCGGGGCGGCCGCCCGCGCGCGCCGATCGCGGGGCCTTACCGATGGGCTGGCCGCCCTGGTCTGCGTGGCCACGCTGTGCAGGTGCACCACCCGCGGGTTGAACCACTCCGTCGGCGGGTATTGCGCGCTGAAGGTGCCCACCAGCGGGCCCCCCGGCTTGCCGCCGCCGCCGCCGCTGCTGCTGCTGCTGGCGCGTCGCGAGCCGCGCCGGAAGAGCCGCGACAGCAGGCCCACTTTCTCTGCAAGCAAGCCGGTCAGAGCTTCGTTGGCGGTGAGCGTGCGAGTGGCGCGCGGCGCGGATGGCGAGGTCTGGGCCGACTCACTGGTGGGGCTGTGGGGCGCGCTGTCCGTGCTGGCGTACTCGGCGCTGGACGAGGTGTCGCTGCGCTCGGGCCGGCGCGGCAGCGAGCGCGAGCTGCCGCTGCGGCTGAGCCGGCGCGCCGAGGCCCAGAGCCGCAGCGAGTGGCGGCGCTCGAGGCGCGCCGGCACCGAGCGGCAGCGCGCGAACAGCACCTTGTCGTTCGGGTTGCCGCCGCAGATCACGTCGGCCAGGTTGGTCTGCACGGCCTGGTGCGTGACCGAGCCGTCGCGCACGGTCAGCATCTCGCCGTGCACCAGCGTGACGGCCTCGTCGCTGCTCATCAGCATGCCCGCCTGCGGCTGCTGGCGCGCGCGCCGCCCCGCCGCCGGCAGCAGCGTCGCGCCCGCGGCCGGGCAGGAGTCGTGGCGGCGCAGCCGCCGGGCCTCCGGGCTCACCACGAAGTAGCCCTGCGCCGTGTGGTAGATCTTGCGCTCCTGCATGAGCTTGGCCAGCGCGTCGTAGACCATGTCGCGCGAGGGCCGCTGCATCTGCGGGAAGCCCAGCCGCAGGGCCGAGCGCAGCGTGTCCAGGGTGGCCGCCTGGCGCTGCGAGGTCAACTCCAGGATCGCCCAGCACAGCGCCTCCGGCAGCGGGGTGAACTGGCCCTGGGCGACCGGCGCCACCAGGCAGTCCTCGATGTCACCTGCCGGCCGATCGCGCACCTGTACGGGCTGGCCCGCCGAGAGAACGGCGCCGAGCGAAAGCGGCGCGCCGCCGGCGGGCACCGATTACGCGCCGAGCGCGCGGCACGACGGCGCGTGACCGAGCGTTGCCCGGAGGCTGTGGCGCGCTGCCGCGCGGAACAGCTGTGCCGTGTGACTGGCGCCGCATCTGGGCTACGGGGCGCGTTTTTCATCTTTCGCCAGCGCGACGCTTGCGAGGACGCGGTGACGCGCCTGCTCCTTGGAAGCGGGCTGCAGCTCGAGTTACGACGGAGCGGCCCACGGGCTCGAGCGCCGCGCGGTGTGACAAAAGCGTCGATCCGGCGCGAACGGAAAGAAACGGCGATTGCAGCGCGCGCTGAGATAATCGCTCTTTCTTACATCGATTAGACGCAATGGCCGCGTGCGCGCGCGTAACAGTTTCTCTCTCTCCGCGCCGATAAACTTTCTAGACAGCGCGCGCGCGCGTCGAGCCGCAAATGGGTCGCGCCGCGGCAACGCGTCGCATAATTCGATTGTGAGTCGGACTGGTCGGTCGCAGGACGACGAAACAAGGCGGCGGGTTTATTGCGGGACGTTTTAACGAGCGTACGCGTTATAGGCGTGCGCGCGCGTTACTGTGATAATGAATCAAGCCGGTCGAGTGGGCTCGTGGAGACTCGTTGGCGCGCGCTGAATTACGCCGATCTCTGCGTGACCGAGAGAAAGTCAAGTCCGCGCGCAGCGCTCCGACCTAATGACAGGGGAGACGCGCGGCTGAGTATCGGCCGTTTGCTTTTAACGACGCCAGAGCAGCGCTCGACTATCGACGGTGATGGCGGCTCGGCGTTTCGCCTCGATTAACGCGATCGCGCCGCTTCTTCAAATAAGCGGGCTCGCGTGATCGAGGAGCGCGACAGGTAGCGCGAACAGAGAGGCGAGCTGAACACTCGCGGGGTCGGCAGGCGATTAGCGCGCCAGATGGAGCGGCAAGGTTGCAGGCGCTCCGACGGATCGCGGCGAGTCGACTCACCGAGCGACGTGATGAGGTGGTCGGCGGGTGGTCGCAGGACGTTGCGAGCCCAGGCGGCTCTCAAGACCTCGAGAGCGCAGGCTGGCCCGCCGACCATCAGCACGCCCGGGGCGCAGTGGCCTCTGTAGCGCAGCTGCCGCGTGGCCTCCACCAAGGCGGCGTTCCACCAGCACCGCGAGTTTGCTTCCAGAAAGGCCTGCAATCAGTCGAGCAAACGCCTCCGCTCAGTCCAGCGCCCAGCTCTCGACGCGACCGTCGAGAGCACCGCAGCGCCGGGGTCGGCGCCAGCCGCGGCGGAGACGCACTCGGACGCGCTAGGGCAGCTGCCCGCTCTCCCTCTCTCTCTCGCTCTCTCTCTCTCTCGAACGGCGCTCGCTCTCCGCCGTGGCCATAAACGACGCGGCGACCCCTCGACGCCGGCTCTCTTTCGCGGAGTCTCGCTCGCTGCCTGCCCTCGCCTCTCCGCCTCGGACTCTCCGCGCCACCGAGTCGGTTCAATTAGCGGCGCGCGCGCGCGTCGCGGAGCTCGCTCGATTAGCGCTCGGTGCTTTCTCTCGACGGCCGCGGCCGCGTTCGACGACACCGCCGAGCGCTGGTTTCTCCGTCAGCGATCGCGCAGCCTCGGATTACCGGAGGCGCGGGCCGGACGCGCAGGGGAATCGGTTTCAGCGGTGCGCGCACTCGAGTTTCGTCGAGAGAAAGGCGCGCGCGCGCGCGCGGCAATGAACTTGCCCGCGCGGCTGTCAAACCCGTCGGGCGCGCGGGAGCTTGCGTCGCGGCGCTCTCCGCCTGTCTCGGAGCGCGCGACGCGCCGTGCCCGCCAAGTATTGATCCGCAGTCATTCCTTAGCTCGTCGCGCGCGTTGCCAGCCGATTATTAGCAAGCGAGCGGCGAGTCCAGACGAGAGAGTCGGCGCGCTATTCGGGTTGAAGCGAGAGCAGCGCGCTTGGCATCGAGCTCGGCTTTGTTCGCTCGCCGGAGCGATTCAGCAGTTTGGAGGAGGCGCGAGGGCGAGGGCCCTCGGGGCGCTCCATTTCCCGCGCTAAGACCGGGTCGAGCCAAGAGACAAAGTCACCTGAAACAGGTTGTATCCCTTGTCGTACATCCACATCTCGTCGGCGGGGTGCTCGGCCGCGGCGAATTGGCACTCGTGGTCCCTGGTGGCGGACGGCGGCGGCGGCACACCCGAGCCGTGAATCTGCGGCGGCGGCCCGCGGCTCAGCTGAATCGCCAGGCTCTGCTGCAGCAGCAACAAGCACCTGGAGGACTGAGCGTGCTGCTGCTGCTGCTGCTGCTGCTGCTGCTGCTGTCGCGAGCTCGCCTCCTGCTCCTCCTCCATCGTCATCATCATTGCTGCCGCCGCTCTCCTCTGGAGCCCGCCTCGGCTCGGCGCATCATCTACCTGCAACAATCGGTCCTGGTTAGCAAGCCGCGTCAGCTCCGCCTCGCTGCCCGAGTACTTGTCCTGAGCAGGCTCGCTCGTCCTCGGTTGCAATGGGCAGAGGCGGACCTTGGGCCAGTTATAGCAGCCGAGCAGTCGTCGCTCGTCGGAAGCTGGACGGCTTCCCGTCGCGTGACTCATCGCCTTTTTCCCTCTCGCGCGCGGTTCGTTACTCTCTCGCTCTCTCGCTCAGCTGCGCCGCGCGACTCGTCCTTTTTCGTCCTCTCTTCCCGATTTGGCTACCGTCCCCCTCTCCGCTTCGGCGCTTGCCCAAAGTCGCATTCCTCGAAAAATTCTTGCTCCTCGCGAACGCAGCGCGGATATTCGCTGGCGAATCCCGCTGTCGCAGTCTCCCTACGTGCGGTCGAATAATAGCGCGTCGAGACGCGATTCGGCAGGGGAGAGCGGCGCGGGGGCCGCGGGCGAGCGCGACGAGTCGACCTAGAAAAGTTTACGGTCTGCAGGCCAGTTGCGCGCGAGGCGTTGCGTAACTGGCGATCGCGGCTTCGGGCAAAAAACCTGCTAGACGATTTTCCCGGAACGGCAGCGGCTCGCCGAGTATCGACTGCGACGCCGCGCCGCGTTAACGACTGCCGCCGCGCCGCGTTAACGACTGCCGCCGCGCGCGCCCGAGGATCGCCCGAGGATCGCCCGAGGATCGCCCGAGGATCGCCCGGGGATCGCCGGACGCGACCGGCAGCCGCGATAACAGTCGCGTCGCAGGCTGCTGTCGCAAGGCCAGCGCGCCTAAATAGCCGCTGACCGGCAGATTTCGCTTTCCGATCGAAGCTGCGGCCGCGCTCCGGTCGGCGGCGAACGCGCGGGCTGTCCTCGCCGGCGTCCGCGCACCGGATCCGCCTCGATCGCCGAGTGACCCAGCCCTGCCGCTGTCGTCGCCGAAGCCAATAATATTCGCACGCGCGACGCCGCCGCTGCTGCTGCGACTAGCGGCGCACGCGGAGCTCGACAAAGGACGCAATCGAGCAACGTCCGCCTCCGATTTCCACTTTTTCTGGGCGTTTTTATCTGCAGCTGGCCGCGCTGTCAATTAGTGGTGCACTTTCTTCGACTCGGCCGAACGCCAGAGAGGAAGAGAGAGAAGAATAAAAAAGCTGGATCGCTGGAAAACCGGAGGCGAAAGTTCAGGGCCGCACAGGACGCTGCTGTGGATTGTTGTCGCATTGTTCGCGACTTTCGCGAAGGCGGTACGCGAACGAAGGCAACAATGACGGACGCGCGATCGATTGTCTGCGAGCGATCGCATCCTCGATACACGCGCCACTAACTGACTTTCCCCCCTCCTCCCGGCGAATAATTAAGCAGCTCGCTCGAATGAACTTTCTCCGTTGTTTTCGTCGCCATCGTCGTCCTAGTCGCCGTCGTCGTCGTCGTCGTCGTCACCGTCGTCACCGTCGTTGCCGTCGCAAGGGTGCTCGCGAACGGCAGCAGCAGCAGCAGCAGCAGCACTTTCTCCGCAAAGAGCGGAAAATAGCGTGGGCGCGATGTCGGCGCGAGAGGAGAACAAGTGCAGCGTCGCGCGCAAGGGGGATCGCGGCGTTGAGAACCCTCGCGATTCAGGTTTTGGGCTAGGGTCCCTCGACAAGATTTCAGACCAGTTTCTACGCGAATATCGCCGCGTCTCCTCCGCTTGCTCCTTTTCGCGGCTTTGCCGGCGGCCGTGGCAGCGGCAACGGCGGGAGCAGCCCGACAGGTAGGCCGAGCGATCGTCACATCCTGCGCTGCGCGCGCCAAGCCAAGAGTCGTCCGACCGCGGGACAGGCGTTTACCGCTATGCAAACCGACGCGGCAACGGAGCAGGGCAGCCGAGGCGCGAGACGTCTCGGGCCGCCGGCGATCAGCCGAAGCCGCGGAGGCGAGTCGGCCCTCCAACGTTCGCGGTGCCGCGACGGCAGCCGAAAAATGCGGACGGGAGCTCGCGCCAGGCGCGCGATATACGCGTGGGAAAGCGCCACCCGAAGCGAGGCACCGTTAGTCGCGAGGCTCCTCTCGCTCTGCGCCTATGCACGCGGATCGCATAGGATATCCTGTGTCGTGCGTCCGCTCGGCTCGGCGGCGAGCACCTGCCCAATCCGCCGCCCGCGACGATAAGACGCGCCGACTTTCTCTCCCCGCGATTACGCGCGCGCACCGCCGCGGGTACCGTTCGACGGCAATTGGCGAATCGATCACTCCGGAGAGCTGCCTCCAGCCGCGCTCCCGTCCGCCGCCCGCGGCCGCGAGGCTCTCGGAGCGACGGGCCCGAGCCGAGGCCGCCGGGCACGAGGCTCCCGTGGAACGACACGCGAGAGCGCGTCGCGTCGGGAGCGCGTCGGACGTCGGCGCCGACCGGGGCACGGCGCGCACGTGCGGGCGGGCGAGCGCTCGGCGCGACGGGCGCAGGCGCAGACGATCGATGCGAGGGAGCGACGGCCCGGAGCGCGGACGCGGCTGCCGCGGCTGCCGCGACGCCGAGCTTGCGGACGGCCGGGCGGGATCGATCCGCCTGGGCGCTCGCGGTGACGCAACGGCCGACCGGCGGGCAAGGCCACCGCCGCCGCGGCCCGACCTTCGCCTCGGCTGCTGACCCGGCCGGCACCTACCTGCGCCGCCTCGTCGCCGGCGGGCTGTCCGGCGAGCTGTCCGACGTGCGTCGTCCGCGCTGGCCTCGCGCGGTGGCTCGGCACTGGCACTGCTCACATTGCGCGGCGCGCCGACCGAGCGGCTGCGGGGAGAACGACGAGCTCGGCGCGGAGGAAGGTCGGCTGCTAGCGCAGTCGGCGTCTCGGCTGCCGGTCGGCCCAGCTCGCACTGCCTCTCGAGCCGCGCGCCGAAGCCGAACCGAGTCGGCTGCGCGGCTGCGGCGGGGCGCCGACTACCTCGGGCGGCGCGGTGGTGGGGCGACGCAGCCGCCGTAATGCCGCAAAAGCGGCTGGCCGGAGAAAGAGCCGCAGTCGCCAGAAGGACGATTCTTGTTTTCGATCAACGCCGCGGCTCTTTCACTCGTCCCCCCGCGTCCCGTCGCCGTCCGTCCCTTTTTCGTCGTGCTCTTCCCCGTCTCGCCGGGATTTTCGACTTTGCGAGCGAGCCTCGCGCTCCCGCGCGGGAAAGCGCGCGAGCCGAGGGTGCGCTGCCCGATGCGTCACTCGGCCCGCGTCGATGGGGCTGCGGACGCTCGTGTCGATGGATTCGGGGGGCGCGGGACCCCGGCCGGCCTCCTCGCCCGCAGTCGGCGCGCGATCCCCGCTCGGCGCGGAGCATCGTCGCGGGCAGCCCGTGGGCAGCGGTTTTCCGAGGCGCCGCCGCTGCGCCTCGAACGAGTCGAGCCGCGCGCGATCGGCGCGCGGCGAATGCCCGTAGGCTCCGCTGCATAACTGGTTTGCGCGCGACTCTCGCCGGTCGCGGCGAAGCCCGAGCCGTGAAAATCGCCGGCCGCGCCGAGGCAGACTTTCGAGTGGCGCGAAAGATCGGCGGGAATAGGCGAGCGAACTGGCAATTTGTACGCGGCCGGATCCGACGCTGGTGCGGGCAGGCTCGGCGCGAGCGGCAATGTAGCGCGCGCGTAGCCGCGGGAAGGCAGCGCGGAGAGCCGCGAGCGCGGCCGAGTCAAGTGCACTTGGCGCGAGCGCTGCTTACGCGATCGACGCAATCGTTCGCCGCGGCGGCGCCCCGTTATTCGCGTCGGATCGCGCCTCGACGCGCGGGCTACCTCCGAGACCGACGCGGCGCTAATCAGCGCGAGGATGCGCGCAATAAAGCGCCGAAGGCAGCCCACTCGCGCGCTCGCGACCGGCAATGGTCGCGACCGTAAAAATTTTAGTTTACATTAGCCCGCGAGTGGCGGCCCCGTTTCCCGGGACCTCGCCGCTCGCGACCGTTACTTTAATGGCCGTCCGTCCGTTTTGCTGAAAAAGGTGGCGATATCCAGGCAAAGCTGAGCTCCGGTTGGCTTCGTCCGCTGGTTCGCGCGACTAATCGCGCGAGAGTGGCCTCCGCTCGCCGCTCGGCCAGTCATCGGCCCCCGGACACCAGCCGTCGCCGCTCGCGCGCAGACCCACCGATGCGCCTTCGAGGATGACTCGGAGCCCGCTCGCGAGGTACAGTTACCGCGCGGCCCGCTCTCGCCCTTTCGTCGGCGGTCGGCGCCGAGCCAGCGAAGCTGCCCGACGCGGCCCGTCGCGCGCGGTACCGGTCCACGTCGCATTGTCCGCGAAACGCTGCGGCGCGGCTTTCGCGTCGGCGGCGGCGGCGAGCAAACAATGACGCGCGCGCCAACCAGCCAGCCATGCAAACGAGGAAGGGAAAAGAGAGGAGAGGAGAAGCCGAGGCAGCCGCGGGAGTACGATGGCCTAGGAAGATAAGCTAAACGTCGAGAACCGAGTGCCGATACATATACGCGCACGCACTCTCTCGCTTCGCCTCGCCTCGCCTCGTCTCGCCTCGCCGGGAGAGCAGCAGCCTTTGTAGGCCGCCGAAAGAGAATCTTGCATCGCATGGGAAAGTCAACTCGACTATTATTTCCGCACGTCCGCGTGTATCGCGGGTACCGACCGATCGCAGAGCCATCACCGGTGACACTTGCGCCACGCGCGCAGACTGCCACGTCGATTCAGCCCTCGTTCCGCCTACTTGCTCGCGCCGTTCCCACTGCTCCTCTTGCCTTTCGGTCATTTTTTCGCGCCGGATGCTGCTCGATTCAGGCGAACGAAAAACCAGTCGATTCAACGTGCTCGTCCGGACGAGCGCGGAGTGAGCGGCAAATCGGCGAGTGATGTATTGCGGTGCTTATACGGACGCCGACGTGCAAGATCGTTACGTTTTAATGAGACCTAACGACTTCCAATAATTAGGCTATCCGGGACAACGTGCGGGCAATTGCAGGAGTTGGAAAATTCGCTCGCACGAGCGGAAAGCCGCCGGGCCGCGATTAACCTGGTCCCATTTCGGCATGTATAGGCGCGCAGTAGCGGCACGCCGAGTCCCCGTCTAGCTCGCGCGCGCAAACGCAGCGCGGTCGGTCGGCCGGGAAATCGCGTCCGTCGGGCCGACGAGCGATCGCGGGACCGGCGTCGCGCTTTCGGCGGAGCCGTCCGGCGCGCGCCCCCGGCTCGGCGCGCAAGGCCGGCGCGGCCGCTCGTCACGGCCGAACTGCGCCGGGAAAAGGCAGGCGAGCCGCTGACAAATCAGCGCGCCAGTCGAGTTTTACGGCCACCCAGCCCATGCTCTGTCGCAAGCGCGGCATTGAGGACCTCTTGCGGAAACCGCTTCTGGGAAGCTCTTTTCTCGGGAGAATTGCCCGGCTGCAATTAGCCGCGCAGCTAACGAGTTGTCGCACGGAGCTGACCTATAAACCAGCGCGCGTTCGTCCGCGAGGCGGATCGGTCCGCGCCGAGCGAAAGTGCCGGGTCGCGCCTCCGCGCTGGCGACCGACCTCGAGCTCTCGATCGTCCGGTCGGCCGAGGCGCGGGCGCGCACCCGGGTGATCGGCGCGCCTCGCACCGTTGCTGCACCAGGCCGCGCGAGAGCGCGGTTGCGTAACGCGCGACGGACAAATCGTTCGATCGCGCGGCTGCCGATAAGCGGCGTGCCCCGCCAACGCGCCGCCGCGCGAGCCGCAGCGGCCTCGATTCCCCGACGCGACAGCCAGTGCTCTCACGCGCTTCCAGATGAATCCGCGACTCTTCTCGACTCTCCTCTGCGTCGTGCTCGTGCTGGCCGCTTTCGGTAAGTCACCGTCTCTCTCGCAGACCCAGGGGCATCTCCGCCAGCTCGAGCGCAGCGGAGCCGACGTCTAACGTGTTTTTTTGGCGCAGACGCGGCAGCCTTCGCACCCTGCATGCCTGCCGACTGCGCCGACTGCCACGGGATCTGCGCGACCGTGGAGATAAGGGCAGCCAATGGTGGACAAGGCCATCCGGTGTGCCGATGCGAGCAGCCGAGAAAACGCTGATGCAAGCCTTCGGCGCGCCGTCTGTCGCAGTTGCGCAATTGTCCTGTAATCGCGGCTCCGAATGACGAATAAAGACCACTGAGCAAAGAACAATAATTAGCAGGCTGATCGAGCGACAACGGATCCCGACTGGGTGGGGACGAGCGGCCGTGTCCGCGAGTGGAGATAAGACGGGCAACGAGCGAGCGAGAGCTGCGCGAGTGACTTTTGACACAGATAAGCCGGCGAGCGTGAACGATGAAATTGCAAACCGCGCGAGCCTCGGCTGGTTTGCGTAACGGCGACCGGTACGAGTGCCAAGCCGAGCGCGCGTCAACTCGACTCCGCAAGTCCAGCCCGCGGAGCCGTTGTCAATAGCAGTGCTCCGAGAGTAGCGCGTCCGAGCCGTGTGAACGAGTGAAAGCGGCGCCGAGCAGATTCCACTTTCGCTCGGTCGGTCGCTCTCGCGGCGTCCACCCTCGCTCTCGATTCCGGCGAGCCGGCGACGACAATGGCCCGCGAGCGGCCCGCAGGCGGCCCGCAAGCGGCTGACGCCCGGCCTCCGATCGATCGGCCGCGAGGCTTTCGCGTGCACGCGTACGCGCGAGCCTCCTTTCTTCGTAGAAATCCACCTCGGGAACTGGCCGTCGCGCGAATCTCGACCCCCTCGAAACCTCTCCTCCTCGGCAGCTGCTGGCCGAGTCGGTCCGCGCCGGCGCTGCATTGTATGCGAGAGTCGGCGTGCCACGGCTAGTCCAGTCGGACTGATGCGTGAGTCAGAAGGATAAAATGCAGGTTTGGCGCGCTGAATAAGTTGGCCTTGGTGCGAGTGTCTTTGTCGTGGAATCGTCGAAAATAGAGTCAGAGTGGCGTACAAGAGAGCGGTAGAGAGAAAGAGAGAGAACGCGCGCGCGCGCCGCGAAAGGTAATGACAATTGGCAGCTCTCTGTTTCTCCCTCTCTGGAAGAGGCGTCGCGGCGACCTCGTGGCCGCGCGCGACGCGGCGCATCCCATGGGGGGAGGTCAAGGTCCCTGCGCGGATGGCTCGCGCACGTGTGATTGCGCCGATTGCACACGTGGAATCTACTGTATAAGCGGCCCCATTGTGCCTCGTAGGCTGCAAAGAGAAGACAAGAGTAAAAAATGCCAGTTGCAAGCCAAATAAAGCTCGGCGATTGTCTGCGGGCTTCTAAGAAAAGCAATGCTCTCTCTCTCTCTCCCTCTCTATCGCGGCTACGCGCCTATATCCGCGAGGGAAAACGTACACTCGGGTTTATTGAAATGAGTCGCTGCGTCGCGCGATTTCGCAAGCCAGAAAAGGACGAGCGTGCACATGTGTGTGGAAAGACGTGTGTTGCTCGCGGCCGCCGCTCGGCGCTGCGGGAAAACTGGTCGCGCGAGCGGAGCCGGCGAGGAGAAAAACAGCATGGAAGCCGAGAGCGAGCGAGAGAGAGAGTTGGGACGAGTCGGCAGCTCGGCGAGCTTTCGAGTCGACGCGAATGGGCTCTCGAGCAATTATGATGGAATATCGGTCAACTGCGATCGATTTCGCCGGCGACAGACCTTTTCTCGTCTCTCGCGCGATTCACCTACTTCGCCATTTGCAGCCGAGCCGCGCGCAGGATCCGCTCCCGCAGCCGGCTGTCTCCGCCGGTCTCGGGCGGTCGGCCGTGGCCGCGCCGCCGCTCGGAGAAACTGGCTCCGCGGCCGAAAATGGCGCTGACGCCCCGCGCGCCGCCGGAATCTTTCGCAAACCGCGAGCCGCGCGAACGTGACGGCAATGCGAACGAGAAGCCCCGGCGGGTTGCGTAAGCTCGCGCGTCCTCCGCAGGCGCGCGCGCGCCGCGAAAACGGAGTCGCAACCGGAGCCGCAAGCTCGAGTTACCGCAAGCTCGCCGCCGGCCGATCCCACGATTTCTCGCTGCGAGTGCGGCTTATCTGCGCGCCGATCTGCGATCGCTGCCGCGGCGCTTTTTCAGCCTGTCGGCAGGCGAGCCGGCGCGAGGAGAAAGCGCGGCCCGAGGCGCATTGGTCGGCTCGCGCGCAATAATCCGGCCGGTCGGCGCGCGATCGGCCGCTCGGGCGGCCGAGGCTCGGCCGCGAGGCCGCATTCCTCCGGGCCGAGACCCGGGGGCCGAGCCCGGCCCACGGCGCCGCGGCGGAGGGCGCCCGAGCGGCCGCCGCGGCGAGCGCCGGCCCGCGCGCATCTGCCGCCCGCGAGTCCGCCAAAGTGGGACGCGACACCATTCCCTCGCCCGCGCGTCGCGGCTCCGCTCGACGCTCCGTTTTCTAATTCGCGATCCCGCGGATGCTCGCCGAGATCGGCGCGCGTGCTCGCCCAAGGCTCGCTTTCTAGCCGCCGAGCTCGCGCCGAGCCGCGGACCCGCGGACCGGCGACGCGTATGGAAATCCAGCCGCGCGGACCCGCGGCGCAACCAGTCCCGCGTCCGCGGGCGGCAAGGTTTTTTGCGCGCCGACGTATTCCGATAATTTACGAGGCGAGATAAGCGCCCGAGCGCGCCGGGCTTTCTAGAGCGACGCGCGGGCCGCGGCCTGCAGACCGGGTGCAGCGAAGATGCAGCGAGCGCCGCGACTTGGCCGCGGCGCTCGGATCAGCGCGCGCGCGCGCGCGCGCGCCAGCCATTGCACTTGGAGCACTCGGAACGGCGCTCGCGCTCGCGGCCGCAGCCGACTATAAATTCAGGCGCGCGCCCACGCGGCTGCCCGCCGCTCCGATCTTATGTAAATAAATGACTGCGGGCTTCCGGCGAATTAATAATGGCCGGTGCACGGTCGGGCGTCGATAGATAGCGCCGAGTAACGGAGGCCGCAGGCGGCCGCCAGTCGCGAGCACATAAATTACCGCTGGCAGCCGAGTTTTCTATGAAAGCTGATTGGAAATGTGGGCCGCCTGGCGGCGTGCGACAAAAAAGCCCGGCTCGCTGAAAGTGTCAATGGGCTTTCGAGCGGCCGCGTGGGTCGCGCGAGCCCTGCTTCGCGGTGGCCGGACGCCTGGCGGATGCCGACAGGGGAGTGCAGACCGCGCGGCCAGCCAAAGGGAGGTGAGCGCGCCTGGTCCCCGCCTAATTAGCAAGCGCGTCCTCGTCCTCGCAAAGTGCAACGTGTACGCGCGTTGCTGCCCGACTCGTTGGCCGGCTATTTTTAGACTGTCCTCCGATCGCCGAGTCGCAGTCCTACTCGGCGCTGCGAGCACTGCGCCTCCTCTCTCGCTGCCGTCGACTCAAGTGACTTGTCGCCGCTGCTGCTGCCTCTGCTGCCGGGTTTTCGGGTTGTCAAAGTAAACCACTCGTCTATTCATAAAAGTCTCTTATATTTTGCCATTTCTCTTTGTCTCTCAAGTATATTCACAAAGGACAATTACATTGGACTCGCGCTTACGTTGGCTCTAATCCTTAATTCTTACATCGATAGCAATAGGTTCGCATTACTCTCATCCTCGCACGTACAAGCACTCTAACACATAAATATCTCTCTTTTTCAGTAATTGTTTTGGACATACTTTTTTCTTCCGACGTCCGCAACTACATGATGGCGTGCCTACTCGCAACGATAAAAACTGATTTATTTTTATGTTTATCTTAGTTGAGTCTTTCGACAGATTGCTTTTAATGTCTTTTCCTTCTCTCTCTATCTACCTGTCTCTCTCTCTCTCTCTCTCTCTCTCTCTCTCTCGCTCTCTCTCTCTCTCTCTCTCTCTCTCTCTCTCTCTCTTTATTTATACATTGTTTTTTTGTTCAAACGCAATAAACTCTATGGAGTATTGCCGAGTACCTAAATATGGCATCTATAGGTATTCAACTTTACGTTCTTCCAACACAAACCCAGAACGTAAACAACACAAAGAAGTTTTTGATTCGGTTGAAAATGATTTGATGCTACGTAAAAGAAATACGAAATATTCTCTTTGTGATTGTTATTATGTACAGACACGAGTGTGATTTTTATACAAGGTTATCTTTGCATCAGTCGTTTGAAAAAATCCATGAAATTTGGCCTTGTGCTCAAGGAAGGTTTAAAGTAATAGAATGAATTTAATAATGCGACATCATACTGTGATATAGTAGTATTGAATGCAACACTGTCATGGTATTAGTACGTGTTTTATTTAACTAGTTTACTCACGCTACAAACGTCTCTTTTCTTCTACTGTAGTATTTCTGTTTCGTTATAAGGCGGACAAGTTATTTCACGAGACATTTACATTGAATGTTCTTTATTCATAATACACTTACATACGTTCTCTACGCTACCAGTTAAATTTTCCTTTTTTTATGGCATTTTTCATCGACCTTTTTCGTACAAAACAAAATGGTATCTTTTTGGCATTGGAAGAAAAAATACATTTTCAACGTTGTTCTCTCTTTACTATTCATTCATATCGTCCTATTCGATCATAACTTTTAAGTCTCCTCACTTGTTCTTTTCTTTTAAATTTTCCATACATCTCGATATAATCATTTTCAATGTTTTCTCATCCTTTAAAGACTTTAGTTTCGATAAACTCGCTATAATTATTACAAGTATTCTTTCTATTTACTTTCTAAATATGAACTTTAACACTATTTTGGCATCATCGCATTTTTAATATCGTGTTTATTGTATTGTTCTTTTATTTTTGCGTCATTTCGAGCATATTCGCCATGAATAATCACGTATAAAAATTGGTAGAACAATATTTATTCACTTTGTCTTTTGGAATTATGGCAGTGTTTTCCACAATAGTTAACAACACTCCGAATGACTCAAAAAATAATCATTTCAGTTCGATATATAAATTATCCACAACAAAAACTATAATTCATCAATGCAATGTTATGATTAAACGAAAGTCACAATAGCATATAAAAGATTTATCACAAAATCATAAAAGTTATTCAAAACTATACATTTGAAATAAATCAAGTTTCTTTTTTTGTTAATGTTCTTGAGATATATTTGTACATTCCACATCGAGATAATAAAACAAAACTAAATAGAAATAATATCTCATCGCCTCGTTATTTGATTTTTTTCTCGCTTCATTCAAAATCTAAATGACGAATCGATGTATGGATTCACATCTTCACAAATGCGATTGATGGTCAAAGTTGTACTGTGGGTTGCTTTTCCTTAGTAAAAGATCTAATAGAAACACCATTACTTTGACAAAGAAGGAACACGGTTTTTGCAATTAAAAATTTCTACATCACTTTGACGTGAGTATAGTTTGAAGTGAATACTATTCACTGCGCAGCAATATTCTTATAAAGTTGATTGACGTTCATTGCATAAAAAGTCATATCACTCAGACTCGCGTGTATTAGTGATTCTATCAGACGTTCTTTTTCAGGAAAAAATATATACGTACGTACGTTTATATTCGAGTTTCTTTTTTAGTTTTTTTTCTTTTTTTTATATATAAATTTGTCATATCGTATAAATATTTATAAAAGGTTCATAGTATGATCTTTAAATGAGATAAAAGAAAATAAAACGAACAAAAGTAAAAAATGAGAAAAATTATTATTTTAATTTGAAATATTCGTTTGTTCTTACAATAGAGTGATGTTCAAAGAAGGAAGAACAACTGAAGGTGTGTGTGTGTGTGTGTGTGTGTGTGCGTGTGCGTGCGTGCGTGCGTGCGTGCGTGCGTGTGCGCGTGTTAGTGTGTGCGTGAGTGTATGCATGCACGTGTTGCAGTGAAACTTAGCTAACAAGAGAGAAATTCGGAATAGACTTTTAAGAATATTAAGAGAAGACGCCGTGGTGGCTTTTGCGGAATGAGCGCTAATTTCGCAACAACTTCCTTTGGGACGTCGCTTGTGACAGTCGTAGGTATTGGAAATGCCGGGCCGCAGCCCCAATTGGATTCAAGGCGACTGATTTACACAAGTGTCGCTTTTTATTACACATTATTGCGCCACTTGTACAACATTCTGCCGTGAATCGCCGCTTCAAACGTTACAATACTAGTACATAACACTCTTCCAAAACTTAATTTATAAATAATCAGTTAAAATAGATTATACTACTAATTATTGTATGCGATAATCATGAATAATATATTAATGATTCTTATAATACTCTGGCTCGGGCACGAGGCTGACCGCTCAATGATTATTCTTAATCGTGCCTCAACATCTTTAATTTACATGCAGTTTCTTCCAAAAGAAAATTAATAAGAAGTCTTCCTCGAACCCATGCGCCTTCAAACATACCAATATAAAAGTTTTCATACAACCGGTTGACGTCGTTATTCCTAATAATCATCAGTGTACCTAAATTGTAGATCGCTTATAGTTCACTAGAAGAAGGTATAGGGGCAACGGGATTGCGGGCAGTACGGGATAGGGGCAAGTTGTAATAAATAAATTATCGATAGACTTTGTCGCCGCATAACTATTCTTTGCCGAGAAAGCTCAGTGTCACAAAGTACGCGAGTATAAAAATAGATGAGTAAGGAAAAAGTGAGAATTGATTGGAAAGCAATGTCACCTAATATGTACAAATATTCAAATAATACAAATTAATTGGATAGACCGAGCTCGTCAAATTGATCGATGCGCAGGGCGTTCGCTCGTCACATTAAAAGACTACTAAGGAAAGTGTCTGGATCGCTCGCGTCAATAATCGTTGCGCTGGCTGGTCGCGCCAGGCGCGCCAGGCGCAGCATCGCCGAATCGAACAGACGAAAGAATCAAGATACCAGTAATGAAAGTCACGCAAATAAAATGGTATGGGTAGTACGGTGGAACCCAGGAACTATCAGTAGACAATAGGTCTAGAGCTAGGCTGATCGCTAGAAGGCACGCTCGCACGGCCGGACGGCCGAGGGCGTGCGCGCGCGTGCCCGTGTGCGGGGGCAGAGAGCAACAGCGAGAGCGAGAGAGAGAGAGAGAGAGAGAGAGAGAGAGAGAGAGAGAGGCAGAGAGAGAGAGAGAGGGGGGGGGGGTCGGGGACAAGTGTATGCATAGGTACGTATAAGTATAGACGTGTAATGGCTAGCCTCTGACGGGGCAGCTCCTCGTCGGGAGCACGCTAGGTACGTATAAAATCCAGGCGACGCCGGGCTACGGCTAGCCGGGCGAGGCGCCCTTGGCCTGCAGTCAGCCGATGGCCCCGCCCTCCTGATATGGACCGGTGATCATGCACGGGTGCATGGGGAAGAGCGTCGTCCAGGTCATGGTCGTGTAGGTGGGCGAGCGCATCATGAACTGGGAGCTCGGCACATTCGGCACGTGAGGAACTGGCAGCGGCGCCTCCTGCGGGCCCGCGCCGGCGGGGCTGGCTGCCGCGGGCGCGCCCGGGCCCCCGAGCGCGCCGCCCGCCGCGGCCGCGGGCGCGGCGCCGAGGCCCAGCTTGCGCAGCCGCATCTTCTCCTCCCACTCGTCCCAGCCGTGGCGCGGCCGGTTGAGGTTGCGGTGCTGGTAGAACACCAGGCTGATGCGCGTGGGGTTGAGCCGGTTGGGCCGCTTGAGCGCCGTCGTGGCGTGCATCTCCTGCTTGGCGCACTCGAAGAGCACGCTGCCGTGGCCCAGCGCGATGGCCACGCCGCCCATCTGCGCGTCCTTGAAGCACTCCTCGTTGTCGGTGTAGTCGGCGACCTCGCCGAGCGGCTCGGCCTTGGGCGGCGGCTCCGGCAGCACGGGGAAGTAGGGCGCCGCGCCGTACAGGTCCCAGCGCGGCCAGCCGGCGTTCAGGTGGGCCTGGTACGGCGCCGCCACGTTCTGGAACGGGTACTGCGCGCCGGGGAAACAGGCCTCGCGCTTCGGCTGCTGGTAGAACTGCGCCGCCGGGCCCGCGAACTCGGCGCCCACCGCCGGCGGGTGCGGCTGGCCGTACGCGGCGTTGTACCCGTAGCCGTCCCATGAGTTCGAGTAGGACTTGTCGAAGACCGCCGGGTAGGCCGGGTAGCCGTACTGCGGGAACGCCGGGTGCGCCAGGCCGCTCATCGCGTGCGTGTGCAGGTCCTGCACCTGCTTCATCTCGGCCTCGGCCCAGCTCAGGCTCGGGTTCTGGCTCGCGAGCTCCGCCCTCGCGGCCTCCTGGTAGAAACCTGCAACAGCGACGGTGCGCCTGATGCCCCGCTCGTCGTCCGGCGCGCCACCTCCACGCGCTCGCCTACCTTCCTTCCGCTGGTGGGTCTGGCCTATCTTCTGGCTCTGGTTCTCGGAGTACGAGCCGCCGCTCTTGTTGGGCTCGTGGGGCTTGAGGAACGGCTTCGGCACCGTGTTCTGGAAGTTGCTCGAGTCCGAGGATGGATTTTGATTCGGGGTGGTCCTCGAGGGCGGCCTTCCTTTAGGAACTCTGAAGGGCGAGGGCGGCTCGCTCGGCGAGTCCCACGACGATTTCGACGAGTCGGACTGCTGCGTTCTGTCGTCCCAGGGGGACTTGCCGTACTCCAATTTGGAGGATGGACTGTGGACGTTGTGCGACGGCAACTGCAGGGGCTTCTTCAGGTGGTCGCTGCCCCACGAGCTCAGCGAGCTCCAGTTCGACTGCTCGGTCGAAACGGCCGGGTTGTTGAACGAGTTGAAGCCCACCCTCGCCTTTTGGTCTATCGCGTTCGCCAGATGGTTGTCGACGCTCGGGTGCTCGTAAGCCGAGCCCAGGGGCGCGTAAGCCGTGCTCTGCGAGAAGTATCCGGGATTCGTCGGGGCGGCCGAGGCCGCGCTCCCTTGGATCGTCGGTGCTCCCGATGGCTGCTGCTGCTGCTGCATCGGCGGGCCGAACTTTGGATTTGGCGGCGCGGCGGCGGCGACCTCGGCCAGGAAGCCGCTCTCGGGCGCGCCGAAGCCCGGGCTTCGCAGCAGGTGTGCGCTCGGGGACTGGTTTCTACGGGCGGCCTCGGCGCCGACCGCCGCGAACATCTGCTGGCCACTCCTCGGCGGAGTCCTCTGGGGGCTCTCCAGACTGGCCGACGAATTCGAGTATCCGACGCGAGGGGACAGAGTGGACTGCCGGCTGTCGTGCGAGTGTTGGTAATTCCTCGGTGACGGCGTGGCCATGTTGAAGTCGCTCGGGACCGAGGAGTATCCGGAGCTGCGAGGCGATACGATTCTCGGGTCCTGAGGCGTGGCCGGGCCGGTTCTCGGCGGCGTCGAGTACGCGGACTCCGAGGGCGTGTTCGACAGCGTGCTCCTCGGTGAGACGGCGTGTCCCCGTGGCAGGTGCCCGTAGCCCGCCGCCCTGCTCACCAGCTCCTCGCCGGGATGTTGGCCGCCGTGCAGGCTCCTGGAGGACGGCCTGTACGCGTCCTGGGACAGCGTGGTGCTCTTGGGCCTCGAGTCGTCGAGGCTGGTGCTGTCCGGATCTACCTTGATCTCGCGATCCAGTCCGCCGAACGGGCTGTAGTCCGCCCATGGATTCATCCAGTTGCTCTTGCGCTGGTCGAGCCAGCCCGGCCGATTCCACTGCTGCTCGTTCTGGTAGTTCCAGCCCTGGTACATCGACACGGGGCTGTCGAGAACGGTCGACGACACCTGCGAGCTCTGCAGCTGGCTGTCCATGCCTTCGAGCATCGTGGCCATTTCGTGGGTCAACTGCGGCGTTGGCCTCGACGGATCTTGATACATCGCCGGTCTGCTCGCCTCGACCAGCTTCTCCGCTGGATTTTTCAGGTCTTTCTTGTTGCTGGCCGCGTCGGCCTCGTCCTCCTTTCTCTTCTTGCCGTGGCGTCTGCAGGGCTGCAACGGCACCGAGCGAACTCTCACCTCGCACGGATATCTGAGAACAGACGTTTGCATTGGAACAGGCGCCAGGCACCATTTCGCGGGTCTGCTGACAGTCGCTCACTTTTTCAGAACCTCGATCGCACCGGATTTCACTTTGTCCTCTTGTCCCTCCTTGGAGCCAAACTCGTCGGTGTCGTCCATGATGTACAGTGGTAGCACGTGCAGTTGTTCGTCGTCCGGTTTCGCGAGCGACCGATGTCTCGTCAAACTGACCACCTGTCGAGAAACGATGGGAGCGTGAGCCCTGTTCGTCCGTCAGGACCAGACGCTTACCAAGGCTAAGGATGCTTACCACCGTGCAGCCGTTATTCATATTGTGCAGGTCCCGGTGCGAGTGGGCGCAAAAGTCCAAGCAGGCTGTCACGCCGGAAAATGGTCTGCCCGGCTTGAATCCCAGCCGGCACTCGCTGGCCTCCCGTTCGAACTGCGTTTGATTGTTGAAAGCCTCGGGAGCGAGGCTCAAGTACAAGGGAGACAGCAGAGTCGCCAGAACGTGCATCCGCTCTTCGACCTCTTGTTCCTGCGAGGAAAGATCGAGCGATTTAGTTGGCAGAGCTCGGCAGTCGCGTCACCCGCACATCTGGCCCATACTCACTTCAGATCTCACGGATAATCGGAACTTCCTGACAGTCTTACTTCTCGCGTATTTACAACCGTTATAATACATCGACCAAGAGCATCCGAACGAGTAACTTGCTCCGCAGGAGTCAGGATCGAGGCCTTGGCAGGCGCACGTTCTGGGTTCGTTGGTACCGCACCTCCTCGTAGTTGGCAAGCCAAACCTGTTGAGCTTGTGGGTCAGCACCGAGTACAAACGGTCGGCTTCGTGACTAGGAACTCCTTCCCAAGCGACCATTGCCACGACTAACCACGCGGTGGAGCATTTGTGGCCCTGGCGGTGCTTCACCACTGCCAGAATCTTCTCCGCCAGACTAGAACGTCGGATTATCTGCGGAACAGGCAGACTGACAATGACGGCTTGCTTTCGCGGGCAAAAGCTGCGGAGGGAGGCTTGCTTACCCATTTGGCCATAGGACAACCCTGAGTAGTCTTGCCTTCTTTACCGGTATAGACGACCTTCTCCAATCTAATAGCAGTGCCTTTTAGACCAGTTCTCTTCTCGAGGTCGTTGCGCAGGTCGGCTAGACTTGGCGCGGCGCCGAGATGCGTGTAGTAGGAGCCAGGCTCCGGCGGACCTTTTGGTTTACGTTACGTTTTATACATTTATATCATGGACACGCACACATACATCTACGCGCACAAGAACGGACACGTTGGTTTTGAAAATGAGAGCTTTGGAGCGTTACATTGACAATTAGCGCCACTACAAATGTTTCTCTCGACGCGCGACATCTAGGCAAGCTGCGTACGTTCGGCATGGATTTATGCTTTTGTCGTCGCTCTACATACATATTTGCTTTGTTTGTTTGTTTGTTTGTTTGTTTGTTTGTTTATTTGCTTTTTTTTATTTGGAGTGTTATTACGACTTTGACATTCAGCATCTACGTTTGCATGATGGTTAGTGTGATTGCTCAATGGAGTTAGTGTGGCGAGGTACATACAACTGTGGGTGCAACTCACATTTGTCGGAGGTGAAGCAATCGCAGTCGGGCACTTCGGTCCTCACATTGTTCTTCAGCTTGTCCAAATGATCTTGAAGCTTGGCACCGCAGCCGGGCCGCGACTCGCCCTCGTTCTTCACCTCGGATTTTTGCGTGGAGTCCTCCGAGAACTCGTCGCGCGTCTGGAGGCCTTGGCAGCATCCGTCGCGCAGGTGTTCCGGAGTGGGCTGCTCGGTACCTCCTCGCCGACAACACCAGGAGCCGACTCCCGTGGCCAATTTCGCCGGGCCGCCGTCACCCCGGAACTTGTAGCTGGACTCTGCTGCTGTGTCGCGGTTGTCGGCCTCGAGCTTGATGGACGTCGGCTGCGTGGTCAGATCGTCGCTGCTGTTCGACACCGGGTATTCTTGCTTGATTTTTTGGTTCGAATCATATTGCACTTCCGCAAGAGTATGAAGCTTCGTCAACTTGGACTTGTGCTCCTTGGTGATGCTACCAGACGAATGGCTAAATTGATTATTATCCGCAGTCTTTTTGCTAAGCTCCGAGTCGATGCACAATCTCTGCTGAAAGTTTTTATTGTCGATATTCTGATTTCCCGGCTTGATGGCAGAGTTGAGATCCCATGGGCTCCTGTTATCTAAATTATTGCTTCGCGCGCCTAAAACTCTATCAGTCTCTTTTTTCTGTGATGTAAAATTTATCAGGTTGTCGATACTCGACATTTGGGCACTGTTGTTCATGCCAGCGTTTGATCCTCCATCCGATGACCATTCCCATAAGCCACCACCGTCGGGCAAATTATTGGCCCGAGGGTGGTGGCTATGCAATAAAAAATTACCGGTCATGGATTCGTTGCTCTGACTCATTGCCATCAACCCGCTCTGATTCACATACTGTTGTTGCTGCTGGTGCTGCTGCTGGTGCTGCTGCTGATGCTGCTGCTGATGCTGGTGGTGATGGTGGTGGTGGTGCTGTTGCTGTTGCTGCTGTTGCTGCTGCTGTTGTTGCTGCTGCTGCTGCTGCTGCTGCTGCTGCTGTTGTTGCTGCTGCTGCTGCTGATCACTTCTCTTGTTCTGATACTTGTCCGCGTTCTCGTGTGACTCTCTTAACCGATTGTCGGTTGACGCGTCGCTGTTCGAGCTGTCGCCGTTGCTCGTGTGCTGTGGAGGCATCTGATGATGAACCTGCTGATTCTGCTGGCTTATTTGATTCTGCATCTGTTGTTGTTGCTGCTGCTGCTGCTGCTGCTGCTGCTGCTTGTTCAGAATCATCGACTTCAAACGGCTGTTCAAATTCACACGATTATTTTGCGGGTACATGCTATCTTGAGATTCCTGAGTTTCTGGGTAACCGTTCTGTTTGTTAGGCTCCGAAGCCTGCTGATGCTGCTGCTGTGGCCACATAAGTCTCTCCCCTGAATTTTGTATGTCTTGCTTGGTATTTTGCTGGCCCCAGTTGACCTGATTCTCGGGCTTGGGCGACCAGCTCATCTGACTTTCAATCTTTTCTTGAGCACTTTGGCTTTGCCAGACGGCGGGCTGGTGACTCGGAGTCCGTCTAGGACTGGGCTGTGAGTCAGGCCACTGTTGCTGTTGTTGGCTGCCATCGCTCTTCATGCTGCTGGGCGACCAGTTGGGTTGACTAGTTGGCGTATCTGGCCAGGACATCTGATTCGAGGGCGTTAATCTGGGATTGGGCTCGAGTTTTGTTTGCTGCTGCTGCTGCTGGTGCTGCTGCTGTTGCCACTGTTGCTGCTGTTGTTGTTGCTGCTGCTGCTGCTGCTGCTGAGCCGAGGGCGTTAGTCGTGGGTTTTGTTGCTGAGCTGAGCTCTGCTGTTGCTGCATTTCCGGACTAGTTTGCGGCCAGTTGTGCTGCACGGGCGTCATGCGCGGATTTTTTTGGGGCGCGCTGTGATGGTCCGGCATCTTTGGAGAGTGCTGTGGCCAACCCTGCTGCTGTTGTTGCTGCTGCTGCTGCTGTTGCTGCTGCTGCTGCTGCTGCTGCTGCTGGGCGGAAGGCGTCAGTCTTGGATTCTGATTGTCTCGCATGCTAGGACTGTGACCTGGCCAGTTGGTCTGCGACTGCGAGGTCTGCTGTCCGTCCATATTCTCAGACCATGACTGTGGCGTGTGAGGTGTTTGATCTTTGACGCTGTTGCTGTCCCAGCTCATGTGGCTCGATGGCCTCGACATGTCCTGCTGTTGATTCTGCATCTGCATGTTCTGCTGTTGCTGCTCATTCGATTGCTTTACATTGAGCTGCTGTTGCTGCTGCTGCTGGGTATTCGAATCTGACCAAGAGATCACGTTATTTACAGACTGCATCTTAGCGATGCTGTTGGTCTCGGACCAGATGCTCTGTGGATTAGCACCGGAGACCTGTTGCCACTGACTATGCGATGGCGGTGGTGGTTGCTGCTGCTGTTGGCCCATCTCTACGTAGCCTGGGTATCCGTTAGAGCTGTGTAAACTCTGTGGGCCCGGTTGAAGTGGATACCCAGGCATCTCGTTTCCCGACACACTGTTTGCGGCAATTGTTGCGAAGCCCTTGACTTGCGTGTCGCCTGGCTGCGGCGCCGCCTGGTTCTGCGCTGACTGGGGTTGCTGGACCTCCATGTGCACCGAACTGCTTCGACTGTTGGGCGTCGTGGAGGCTGGCGGGGCCATTGTTATGTCCTGCAATCGCATCGGCAATCAGTCAATTAGCACCGAGCGACGGTCGGCTAACTTTTCTTCGCTTGCGGAAACTCTCATGCAGTCGTCTCTGCAAGCGTTTCTATTTTTTTCAAGAACCATCCAAAAACTGCACGCATCAGATATTACTTATGGAGGAAGTTTGAACTCGAGGCTTTAGCTGGCGTAACTTGACGCGGAAATAAGACATGGTTCATACCTCCTACGCAATTACTACGTGCATTACTTCAATCGATGTTCAACATTCGAATTTTATCGAGTAATCGTAATCTTGATCAAAGCAACGTCTTAACAATCGAATAAAACAACATGTACTTTACAGCGAGGTTAGGACTTAATTCGTTATCAACTAGATGACAACAAGTAGCGAGGTCTAGTACGTAATTGCAGAATGAAGAGAGATGGAAGAACAAAACGAAAGAGAGTAGTACTACACTGCAAGATTACAGATGACTAGGAGAGTAATGAATGCACCCGTTGAATCGGATCGAATGGAAAAGAAAAACAAAGAGAAAGAGTGGTGATGAACTTTGCAACACACATAATCAACTGTACTACGACAAAATACGAATGTATAATGGATATATCGTATTAACTTAGAAGTCAGAGAGATTGATTGTTCGGCAGCTAACCTGCTGCTGATAGCCATTCACATAGTCCTGCCTGTCGTACTGCGGCTGGCTGGGCTGGCCAGGCGGTTGCTGGACAGAATCGATGTACTGGCCGTTCAAGGGCCGCTGAGGCGCCGTCGTGGGCGCGCTCGGCGGCGCTTGCTGCTGCTGCTGCTGCTGGGCCTGTTGCTGCTGCTGCTGCGGCTGCTGCGCGGGCGACGGGGCCAGCGGCGAGGACTGGCCCGTGATCGCGTACTGCCCCGAGGCGCCGGCCGCCCGCTGGAAGGCCGACTGGTCGGCCGTTATGAAGGCCTGCTGCTGGTAGGCAACTGAAAGGCGGAACAGCGCGGTTGGCACGGTCTCCGGGGCACGTCGCTCGGGGACTCACCGGTCTGCGGGTGGTAGGGCGCGGCGGTGCTGTACTGCGGGTGGTACCTCAGCTCGTCGATCTGGTTCGGGGGCAGCTGCTGTATGAACTGCTGTGGCGGCCACGGGGCCGGCGCGGGCTCGACCGCGACCGCCCCCACGGCCGAGACGCCCTGGTGCCAGACGGCGTTGCCGAAGCCCGCGGTCGGCCGGAAGGCCGTGCCGCTGTCCCCGTAGAACGGCATCACTCCTGGCGACTGGAATTGGCGCAAGTGCCCCGAGAGCGTGAGTCTCGATCAACTCGATAACGGCGCCAGGACCGGTGTTCGGATCGGGGCGAGACGGGCCGGCCGAGGGCGGGGGGAAGAGGATCAGTGCGACCCTGAGCGGGATCGCGGTCAGTGGCATATCCGAGCAGCGGCTCGGCCGAGCTCCGGCCCGCGCCGGCCCCTCGAGCGCCGAGGCAGGCACTTGAGTGGAAATGGCCGCGAGCTATAGTCAAGCGGCTGCCGGCGGTGCAGAAAAGGAGGAAAGGGAAGGGGTAGACCGGCGGCAGACACGCGGGGGCGGTGACCGCCCTCGACGCGAATCAATACCCGCAGGAGGAACAGGAAGCGACGCGCGCCAGCCAGCGTCCCAAAGCCGCTGCTACTGCTGCTGCCGCTGCTCGCTTCCGCAGCTTTTTTTCGCGCGAAAGCGAAAGCTTCAAGTTCATCCCCCCTCCCGCCCCGAATGCCGACTCGATCTGGACCGTCTGTCGCCTCTCGTGCTCGTTGCTCGCGACCGCGGTGCACAGAAGAACGAGAGCTCACCATGGAGACGACCGGCGGAGCGGGATTGCCGTTCCGCAGCGGGCCAGTCTGTTGAGCCACCACCGAGTTGAGCGGGTCCTTGCTCTGCTGCATCGGGTCCAGGTTCTGCGGGGTCGCTTGCTGCTGCTGCGGCTGCGGCGCCTGTTGCTGGGCCGCCTGCTGCGGCTGCTGGGGAGGCGGCTGGGCCTGCGGCTGGGGCGTCTGCGGCGTGGCCGGCTGCTGCAGTCCCAAGGTCGGCTGCGGACTGCCCAGTCCCTGGGGCGCCGAGTCCGGGGTGCTCACTTGCCGGGCGATCTTGCGGTAGCTCTGCAACAGCGAGGGCAGGCCGCGTCGGGCCGGTCAGGCCGCGTCGCCGATGGGCCTTTGTTCGGCCGCGTGGCCGACTCGCGCGCGCCAGCCGCGCCGCTCGGGCGCGCGAGGTCGCGGCAGCGCGCGCCGTTATAAATAGTCGGCGCGTCTCCTCTCTCGCGGAGAGCGAAAGCGCCGAGGCTCGGCCGGCCGCGGCTGCGCCTATCGGCAGAAAAGATCGAGCCAAGCGTGAATGGCCAGGAGCGGAGGAAAAGCCGCCGGATCCCATTCTCGCGTCAATCATCGCTGGGAGCACGTGCGCGCACCGGTCGGCGCGAGCCCGAGGCGCCCGGCCGGGCCGTCGCTCGAGTGCGCCGCGCGGCCTCGCGGCGGTCATTTCACTCTCGCGCCCGCCGCCCCTCGCTGCACTCGCGCTCGCGCGCGACCTCCGCTCCGGATTTCGAACGCGCACACGCGCGCGGCCGAGCGAGCTCGGCGCCGCCGCTGCGCAGCGCCGCGTCGCATTGTCCGTTCCCGCGCCGACGTGGATCGTCGGCGGGCTGCACTGGCTCGAGGCGGATTCCGGTAGCACGTGTGCAGCCGCGGAAAATGGAGTCGACAGCGCTATTAATAGAGCGCTGCAGCAAGGGGTCGTCGCGTCGGCGTCGGCGAGCAGGCGAGCTTGCGCGCACGGCGAGAAACACGGGAACGGCGGCCGATAAGAGGCGGCCGCGCGTGACCCGAATCCCGCGGCGGTCCGGGCGAGGGATTGCGCAACGCCGCGACGGCGAGGCCGACGGCCAGCGAGAGTGAACGGAGCAGAACTCACGGTCGGCGGCGGCGGCGGCGGCGGCGGCGGCGGCGGCTCGCGGCAGTTGGGCGCCACACCCGTGCGTACACGACCAGGCAGGCCTCGGCCGGGCCGATATAGCTATAGCGTGCGTCCGCTTGCAGCCAGTGATCGCAGCTCGCGCTCGGCTGCAGCAGCCACACGTGCTCACCGTTTGCTGGCGCTTCTCGCGACTGAGAGCCGCGGCGCTTCTTCCGCTGGTCGTCTGGTGTCGGCGGCGGTACGCGCGCCTCGGCGCGCCTCGTGTCTTTCCGCGCGCGCTCGTCGCCTCCTCCTCCTCGCTTTTCCCTCCCGCGCGTCGGCCGATGCCCGCGCGCTTTCCTCGCCGCCCGCGGCCCCAGCCCTCGGCGCGCACCTTTCGATTTCGCGCGACCACTTACCGCTGCACTTTTCGTTTCGTCGGGCGCGAGGCGCTCGCGATTGTCACTGGCGTCGTCGCCGTCGGAGCATCGCTCTTCCCTCCAGGTCCTCTCCCTCGCCCGCCGCGTCCCCTCTACTCACTCCCTCGCTCGCGCGCGCTCTCTCTCTCTCTCTCTCTCTCTCTCTCTCTCTCTCTCTCTTCCTCGCTCGTTCCCCTCGCCGCACTCATAGCCATGGCGTAACCCAGCGCAGAGGTCGCCAGCGCCCGAACTCCTTTTGTCGCCAGCGCTTTCATGCACGCGACGGCGTTCGCTCGGTCACCGAGCCAGCGTCCGCGACGTCGAGCCGCGTGCGTGCGTGCGTGCGTGCGTGCGTGCACCGCCGCGGCCATCACGCGGCAACAAGTTGCCGGGGAGCTGGGGTCGTCGTCGCTGCGAGATCCCCTCGGGACTCGGCAGACACGACCACGTCGACACGTCAAGTGCAGCTCGTAAACACTTGGAGTCGCTCTCTCGGCGGCGATAACGCGCCACGGAAACGTCTCGAGAGCAGCGCCGCGCGCACCTTATCTTGCTCCTGACCAGCTACACGGCTATCTAAGTGGGTTATGATTAGATAGCTCTCGAGCCCAGCCGAAGCTCGCTCGCTCGCTCCTAGCAGCGTTCCGAATGAATCGTGCGCTCCGCGATTCCTCCCCCTCGATCGGATTGCGGAAATTCCCCTTCGAGACCGCTATCCGCGCGCGGCGGTTCTTTGGTCGGGCTGCCGAGGCGTGGATGCGCGCTCGCACGTCTAACGGTGTTCGGCAGTACGCGAGATGCGCACGAGCCGCTCGGCCGGGCTCCGATTGCCCAAGCACTCGGCGATATCGGCGAAAAGTGTGACGGCGAATGTCAAAGCGGCATATCACTTGGCGCGGCTGGCGGCGCGGAGCACGGCCCGCCCGTGTGGCTGCTCGCTCGCCCGGCCGATCAATAGCGCCCTGTTTAATATCAGTTCTCAAACTCGCTCGTCGATGCGAGGCGGCGCGGCCGAGTGCCAGATGCGAGTGGGCGCCTCGGCACCCCGGAGTGCCCCACGTGCTCTCATTTTCCAGTGGAACAATCGAGTTTGATCAGACTCGAGCTTGGCGCTCGTCCGGTCGAGCGCAACGTGGCCGGAAAATGCCAAGATATGGTAGCTGCGCTTACCCTGGTGGTGCCCTTTCCTCGGCCTCGGCCTCGCTCCCTGTAAGCTCCTTCGCCGGTCTGCAGGTGGTACAGATGCTGCAACAAGAAGCAAGCAATCGTTAGCTCGCGTTGGCGGTCCGAGCCGCGCTTATCGCGACGGGCCTCGCTGCTGTCGAATAACCATGGACAATCGGTCTCGTTAACGTTAATAGGAGCCCCAATAAAAACATAGCCATAGGCGACTTTTTTCCGCACCGCAATAACAGCCTTCGAAATGCCGTACGAGTGCTCGCGCACACGGCCGATGGCCTCGGCGCGCGGTTATCGTCGCGCGGCAAAAAAAATAGAAAACGCCGCGCGGCACGCGGAGGGCAAAGAGATATCGACGACAGGGAAGTACCGACGCACGCGACGTGCATACGAAAGCGCGGCACGGCGCGCTGCAGGGATCTGCGTGCTCGCGTCGGTGGCGGCGAAAGGTGGCGCTCTCTTTCGAAAAACTGCCCCGCCGTGGGAGGGAGAGAGAGAGAGAGAGAGAACGCGCGCGCACTACGGGAGTTACCTTACCGACCACGCGTGTCCCGACGCGATCGCTCTCGAGAGTCCCGAGGAAGGCGACAGCCGCGTTCGCGGCCCGGTGTCCACTCGCGCGACGCGGCACGAACGCCCGAGCGGAGTTATCGCCGCGCGAGCCAGCCGGCAGGTCCGTCGACGCAGAGATGGGAAAATTGCTCGGTTGATTGCGCAGCGCGAGAGCGTTCACGCGTAAACGCGCGCTTGCTCCACATTTTGAGGAGAGCGAGAGAGAGAGAGAGAGAGAGAGAGAGGAGCAGGCCGATGAGCAGCGTCAAAGAAGAAAATCGATAAAGTGCGTGCGAGCATTGGTTAATTGCGCGGGCGACGACGGGTTTGCACGACCTAGCTACCTACCAACCTACCTGCCCGCGATGAGTGCACGCTCGACAGGCAGGGGCTGTGGCGTCGCGCAGGAGAGTTTGCGCGAGCGCTTTGTTTTCGCGAGTCATTAACAGCCGCCGAGTGCGACGCCTCGGCGGGCAGCGCTGGCCAGAGTTCGGTCGCGAGCTCCATCGTCGTCCGTCGCGCCTCTGCGCAGTCGGCAGCGACAATTCAAACAAACAAGACGGCCGGGCGTGCGTTGTTTCCATTAACGCTGCGGCGGCTTATTATGTTAGTAGTCTGCTGGCGGCGCGCCGAGCGGAAAACCGATGCATCTGCCGCGGGACCGTCTCGCTTTTCCACGCAGCTGCGCTCGCGGCAACGATCGCTCGCGGCTGACGACTTTAATTTCGACAGAGCGATCGCTGCCTCGATGTAGATATATTATATACGCGCTCGGGCACACGACGACTCGTATATAGGTGCACGCGCCGTGCAACCAGCGACAGATGGTCGGCGGACGTAAAGAGCCGTTGCGATCCCATTAGAAAGTGGCAGCGAGAACGCCAGTTGCAACAACAGCAGAAACAGCGGCGGCCGCCGGCGCGCGGCTCCGGCTCTTCCCGGCTCCTCGCGTCGCGATCGCGGAGCCCGTCGGGAGCACGCCCGCACGTCGGCGCTCGCGAGCGAGGCTGGGTTCGCGCGGCGCCCGGGCCCGATCGATCGCGCGCGCGACGCCGCGCCGCGCCGAGGCGTATTTCGGCGAAAAAGTTAGTATTCGCCTCTGCGCGTCAGTGCCGCGGCAGGCTAACGGCTTCGATAATTATTTTTACAACGTTTCCGAGTACGTAGGTCGGCGGTCGCGCTTGGGCGCCTTGCAGCTGGCTCGGCTCGGCCCGTCGCTGCGGCAACCCCGTGCCGGCGCAAGGGCACGCGCGTGCTCCTGCTCTCTCTCTCTCTCTCTCTCTCTCTCTCTCGCTCCGCGTGCAGGCAACTCCCGGTCGGCCACGACGCACACGCCTCGCCGGCGGTAGCGTCGCGCATCCCGGCTATCCGCTCTCTCGAGCGCGCCTTCTCCCGTCGAATCGCGCGCGATCTCGCCGCTGGCTGATTAATCGATTCAGCCGGCTTTTCTCGTGCAGCCCCTCCCGCCGCCGCCGCCGCCGTCGCCGCTCGCCCATTCTTTTCGCTTCCGCGTCCATTCCCACGCCCTTGTCCCCCGTTCTCGTTAGCTTTCGACGCGAGCGGCGGCGTCGATTATTATTGCGACCAAATCCATCGGTCTTTTCTCGCCTGCGTCGTGTTTCCAGTCCGTTCGAGCCTCTCTCTATCTGATCGCGTGGTGCGTCGTTGCCGCGTTGCCGCGTTGCCTTCGTCGATAAAAAAGCCGCGCGGGCGTATATCTCGGCGCTGTTGGCCTATCAGTGGCTACGATAACCGAAGGAAAACGTTTCCATCGCTCGGCGAGTATCAACGGTCCGAGCAGCTGACGCTCACGGCAATCAAACGGAACGATCCCGAGGCACTTGATTCGCGGCCGCGCGCGGTATCTCAGCGGACTGGCCGGGCACGGTGCCGAAATTCGACAATTGGCCTGGCAAGTGGGACGCTGAACAGCGATGGGGCCAGCTCGTGGGTCGAGAGAGCGAGCGCGAGGGGAAACGCTCGGCGCAGGCGGCCTGGGCGGCAATTTCCTTGGCGGACAAGGGCTTCCGATCGGCGCGTATCGCGGAGCGCCTTATCGTCGCATCGAGAGGCCGCGGCGGAGGAGTACATAACGACAAAGCGGACGCGCGGGGCAGATGCGAGCCGAGTCACTGGCCAGGGCTCGATAGGCATCGGCAGCGAGACGCCGGGCATGTGCAGGCGCGCCGACAGGTGCCGAAGCCGCGGCGCAACGGCTTTCTCGCGCTCCGCGGCCGGCTCGCCACGGCCGGACGCGCACGTGCGAGGCCCGCCAGTCCACGTGGACTTGTTATTGTTTTGGCGGGGGTGCTGGCCTAACGACAGCCAGAGATTCGGATTCGGGAGGGTCAGGCGACGACCCTCGTGCTCGCGCGCACGGAGGGATCTCTCGCTCATTCATGCCCCACGGGCGGCTCACCCATCCCCCCGGTGGCCCGGCGGCGCTACGATCCCGTCGCCGCCGACGCCGCCGCCGACGCCGCCGCCGACGCCGCCGCCGCCGCCGCCGCCGCACGGTCTGCGCCGGCGAGAGCCGCGGAGCGAGCGAGCGAGCAAGAGAGAGAGTGAAAAGGGTCCGCGGAGAGCGAGCACGCGCCGCCTCGAGAGCGAGCAGCACGCTACGGGACGCGGAAGGCCATTTGATATCTTAATGCGATATTGGGGGAGTGCGCGGCGCGGGACGCCCCTCTGTTTTGGCGCGGCTCGGTCCCTCAGCGCCCACGCCGCCGGAGAAGGCTCCGGTGCAGCGCGACGCCCGGCGCTCGCTCCCTCTCGTTTGTAGGTCAGTCGCCCGCGCGCTCGCCCGGGTGTCAAGGTCGCCGCGCCTCGCTCGCGGCTGCCGATCGCTGCCCCGTCCTGGCTCGCGTTCCCACAGGATTTTTCTATCCGGCTAATCAATTGTCGTCTTGGCCGAAAGTGCAGTGCGTCGAGAGCGAGCGCTAGAGGAAGTGGAGCGAATGAGCCCGACAAATTGGCGCTTCCGTCCACCGTTGCAGGTTCATAAAACCTGTTAACCGCCGCTCTGATTATAAAAGCCGCTGAAGCGACGCAAGCGCGTTATCAGACATCAGGCTGGTTAAAAAAAATCAACGCTTGTACGCGCCAAGCAATTGCCGTCGCTTAAGGCCCCCATGCCGTGATGCCGTGCGCAGCGCGGAGCGCTTCACAATTTTTTTCAGCGCGGCCCGTCTCTCCCGTCGGCGATAATCGCCGGCTCGCTCACGTCACAGCCCGAAACTCCCGTCGCCGGCCTAATCCTTTGGCGAATGCCGGCGAATCTGTGTCTGTAGGTTAATGCAATCTGGCGCGGAGTCGTCGGATAACTGGCCGCCCGGCTAGAATTGTCCGCTCGCGCGGAATTGATTGATAGGAGCTCTTTTGTTTCAGAGCCGCAATCATCGAGTTACATCTTCTCGCGCGGTGCTCACGCGCGCGCTGCCTCCGCCGGCTCGCACCGCCGTTTTTTCCTCCGTTTCTTTTTTTTCCCCTTTTCTCTCGTTCTCTTTTTCTCGGCTCCCTTGCTCGCTCGCTCTCTCTCTCTCTCTCGCTCTCTCTCTCTCTCGGTTTTTTTCTCCCGCTAAAGGTCGTGTCACGGCCAGAGATCAGCTGGGATGATGAATTTGTGCCGCGCGCGGCAGATGCGCCGCGTGAAAAACCGGTCGTGTTGATGTAGCTGCGCGAATCGCTATAAAAATATCCGTCGGGGCCCATTGTGTCGTGCGAGGCTATATAACGGTCGAGAGCGCGCGCAGCGGCCCATTCACTGAATTACATTCTTCCCGATGTGGAATTGTTCGTGCTCGCGCTCGCTCCGGCAGTTCGGGCCTCTCGACTGGGCGCGAATTTTCGGCGAATCTCGAGCGAACCTCGGACGAACCTCGGGCGAATCTCGAGCGAGCGACGTGCGCTCCTGGCCCCGGACAATGGCCGAGCGCGATCGATTTCGGAAAACGAGCCCGCAGGTACGCGGCCGACCGGCGGAAAAGGCAGGACAATGCGCGAGCAGCTGCCCGCTGCGCGTGAAATGGACCGGTGCCGCCGAGCCGCGCCGAGCCGCGCCGAGCCGCGCCGAGTCAACCCCGATAATTAAATGCTCTCCTCGCTTTCCTTTGGCGCTCGCGCGCAGCGTTAATTGCCGACGGCAGAAACGCGCCACTTTAACGAGTCGGCGATCGGGCGCCGTTGTATAAATGCGCCTGCAGCTGGCGTCTTTCGGAGGCCCTGCCACGAGAGGCGACGCGCGACTCGCTGCCGGAGGAAGTAGATTTCCTCCACACGTGCTTCTCGTTTCGCTCCAGATTGTTTCCAAAAGTCCTGGAGGTCAGGCGCGCGCACGTGTCAACTCGGCTTTCCTTTAAATACCGAGAAGCTGCGCCGATCTGCAGCCGCTATATCTTTCAGTCCCCGGGGAGCGAAAATAAGAGCGAGAGAGAGAAGCGAAGAGGGCGCAGCGGAATCTCGGGGCGTGAAAGTCGCGCGCGCAAATCGTCCCTACACACAGGGGAGGCATCGGCTAATCCGATTAATCGAGACGTCGCGCTCCGCCAAGCTGCGCCGGGAGAGAAGGCGAGCGCGCCATCTGGCGCGGCAATCGTAAATTTCGAAAAAGCTAAAATCAAAAATTGAGTGGAGCTCGCTGGGGGTTGCTTCTGCTTGCACATGCAGCGCGCACCAATTGCTCCTTCTCTCTCGCGCTCTCTCGCGCTCTCTCTCTCTCGCTCCATGGTAACCATGGCAACTGTACAAACAAGATGGCCGCGGCAGCTTCCGGTCGCTCGCGGTGATCAATCTTTCTTCCTTACTTTCGCCTGTTTTTTCTTCCTCGCCGATGCAAATGCACCGTAATTAAGCATATCGATTTTCCCGGCAAGACGAATAAAACTAATGGTCACGCGTATAATTGGGATTAGCTGCAGAGAGCGAGCGAGCGAGCGAGAGAGAGAGAGAGAGAGAGAGAGCGAGCTGTCGAGGGGAGAGCGGAGCACATGTGCGACAGACACCGAGGCACGACTCCACGACTGCGACTTTTTACGATTTTCCGCGCTATGATTTAGCGCACGTCGGGGAGAAGGGTGGCGACCGAGTATTCTCCAGGCGGCTCTCGCGGGGAACGCTTCCGACTGGCCTCGGCGCCGAGCCGGTCGAGAGACGTTCACTGTTGGAGTCGACCTCGCGAAGACGGCCCGACGAGCTGTACTCCTCGCGGCCGCTCGTCGCCGCCGACGGCCGCGCCTCGTCGCCCGTGTGTATGGACAAGGGAGCAGCTGTCGGACAGCTGTGAGGGCTTTTTACCTGAGCTACTGCACATTTTTCGAGCGAAGAGAGAGAGAGAGAGAGAGAGAGAGAGAGAGCGAGCAAAGAAAAAGGCGGCAACGCGAGTGGCAACGGAAGGAACGGTTGGATTGGCAAGCGGCAGCAGCAGCAGCAGCAGCAGTAACGGCAAGTGCGTCAATTTCCGCTCGGCCTTGGCGAATTCCCGCGCGTAATTATTTGGTGCGCGCTCGAAAAACGAGGCGATAGGTGCGGGTACAGTCGCGGGCAAAACTGGAGCCCGAGCGAGAGGTCGCGCCGGCCGGCGGTGGTGCGCGGCCGCCGGTTGCACGTGCGAAAAGAGAGGGAGGCTGTGCGTGCCGCTGATGAGTCATCAGCCGCCACCGCACTCGCGCCGCTACACGCCGCGCACAGTCCTGCTTCCGCGCGCAGGAAGCGAAAGTGGGGGCGGCAAATCGATATATCGAGCGCGGCTGCAGCGCTTTCCTCCGCCAGCGCCAGCCACTGACTCCCAATTTCGCTTTCGTTATGGCGCAGACACGCGCCTCCGCTCGGCCGCTCTCGCCCCTGCCGCTTTTCCATTTTTTATCGCTGCTCGTGCTTTTCTCCTCCCGTTTCGCCGGCTCCTTCCCTCCCGGCAATTACTCGCGATCGGCAACAACTGCGGCCGTTCGTTCACCTGGCCCCGCGGCCTCCGCGCTCGCAGACGCGCCGGCCGTGTTTGCCTTTTTCTCGGCGCGCGTATGTTAATCGTCCATCTGTCCGAGCCGAGCGTTGCCTAGCGCGCGCGTCGCCGCGGCAAGTCCAAACAAGGGCCGCGCGCGGTAATCCGCAGCGGAGCGAGCTTTCGCGCGTATCAGTGGCCTCTCCGAGCGAGCGCGCTACCGTTTGCGCCGCTGGCGGGCAAGGGGCAAATCTCGGCTTGCCGACGTCGCGCCGGCTGCGCTTTCCGCGAGCGCGGCCCAAGAATAATTGCGTGTAAGCGAAGAAGACTACGGCTGCAGTTTCGAGGGCTGGGCTTCGGTTTGGGTTTCTCGATAAATCGAATTGAAAGCGAGAGCGCGCGGCCGAGCGGCCGAGCGGCCGAGCAGGCGAGAGCGCGCGGCCCGAGGAAGCCAATGAAAGTGGGATCCGAGAAAGAGGATCCGGAGTGTACGGTTACCGGGCTCCGCGCCGGAGCTGGCGCATCTGTATGTCGCGCGCGCGCGTATCGCGAAAGTTCATTAACAACGTGCACAACGCAGCCGACCGGACGATAACCGATATCGAAGCGCGACTCGGGAGGTTATCGCGGGTCGACGGCGCGGCGCTCATTGTTCGGTACTGGCAGGCGCACAATTGGGAGCGCGCCGATCGGCGGGGCAGCTGCCGCGGCCTCGCGAGAGCAACGACCCAGCGCACGAATATCGCGGGCCCCCCGGACCCCAGATAGACTCGCCTGGCTGCCCGGCCGCGCGCCCGGAGAGGCGGCAATTAAGGGCGCCTCGCCGCGCACAAAGCGCTCGCATAACAATGCCGGGCGAGGACGTGACGCGAGGATGCTGCCCGAGGATGACGCGGCGTGCCTGGAATCGAAAACGACTATTTTCGCGCGCGCGCGCCGCCGCCGCCGCCGCCGCCGCCGCCGCCGCAGCCGCCGCAGCCGCAGCCGAGCACGAAACGAGAGCGGCCGCGCGGCGTGAGTCATAGGTCGAATCGCGTCAGCGCCAGCGGCGAGCGCACAATTGATTTGTTTGTTCGCGAAAAATTGGGATGAGCGCGGCCCGCCGCTCCGCCAGCGCGCGCGCCTTGAACTTGCTGGCGCGCGCCGCGCCAAGGCGCTCTCTCGCGGTGCACGCTGCGTCTCTGCGCAGTGTCGGCCGCGGAGAGAGCGAGAGCACAGGTCTCGATCAATAATCGAGCCCTTCCAACTGCCCGCCGCGGCCGGCGGCGTGCGCGGTGCGTGCGCGGTGCGTGCGCCCTTCCCGCTCTCCTTCGCCGAGCCGTGCAAAGGCTTTCAACGACTCGGCCGCGAGGAGCGCCGGCCTCCCGCCGCCCCGCGGGCCCCTCGGATGGTCGCGCGCGCTCGAGTTTATTCGCCTTGGCCGGCGCGATGACTAATTGCCGCTGTATCTGTTGACTCGGCTTATTTCCATAGGCACGATTAATCTACGCGGCAGCGGCATTTCGCAAACAGCGCGCTATCGGGCGGCGTTATCTATCGGTGATTTATTGGCGACGAGAGAAGCGGCGGCCGCGGAGAGCAGTGACCCCAACCCGCGGCGTCGGTCTCGGCGCGGTATCGCGCGGCAGGCCGGTATCGGGGCCAAGTTCAGCCGGGCGCAGGGGCGAAAACGCCGCGCGGCACTGACCTTCTTCTCGGTGAGCTTCTCGCAGCGGCGCATCTTGCAGATCTGGTGGCTCTTGTCGTTGCGGCACGGCGCGCAGTCGCCGCAGTTGTCCTTGCGCTGGCAGCCGATGCACTCGCCGCAGCGCTTGCGCTTCTTCTTCGCGGGCTTGTCGCCGAGGCCCGAGCCGTCGTCGTTGAGGTCGCCGGCGCCCAGGTGGTGGCCGAGCGCGCGGCCGCCGCTCGAGGAGACCGCGGCCACCTGGCCGCTGCTCTCGGCCGCCGCCGCCTGCTGGCCCTGCGCCGCCTCCTCGGCGCCCGCCTCGTCCATCGAGCCGGCGCGCATTTTCCGGCGCTCCTTCTTGCGGCCGTCGACGCGCGAGCCCGGCGACGCCGAGGACGAGTCCAGCACCGTGGACATGGGGTTCTGGAAGTTGGCGTGGTGCAGCTGCGGGTACTCGGGCTTCATGGGCACGAGCATCTGGGCCGCGTGCTGCGCCGGCGCCGGCGGGCCCGCGTGCTGCGGCTGCTGGTGCGGCGCGCCCACGAAGGGCAGCGGGCTGCCGCCCAGCACGTGGATGGGCCGCTCGTCCACCAGCTGCTGCTGCAGCACCTCGCGCGCCGACACGGCCGCGGGCGCGGCCGAGACCAGGCCCGGGTAGGCGGGCGCGGCGCGCTGCGGCTGCGGCGCCGCGATGGCCACGGGGTTGCCCAGCGTGTGGAAGCTGGGCAGCGCGGCCACGGGCGGCGAGTGCGACATCGAGGCGGGCGACAGCGGCGTCAGCGTGGTCAGCTGCGGGTCCTGGCCCGAGTCCGGCCCCGGGCCCGGCCCGGCGAACTGCGAGGCGAACGACGGCAGCCCGTCCAGGTGGTGCTTGCCGCTGGTCTCCCAGGGCCGCGTGTACTGGTTCGAGAGCAGCTGCTCGTTGCGCGAGTCGAGCAGCCGGCCGCCCAGGCCCTCGTAGTAGGCGCCGTCCCAGCCGAGCAGCTCGCTCGACAGGCTGGTGAAGGGCCCGAGGCTCGAGGCGGAGCCCTCCATCTGGACGAGGGTGGCCACGTCGCCGACGGCGAAGCTGCTGAAGGGGGGCAGGTGCCGGGCGGCCACCTCGGCGGCGCTCAGGCCGCCGGCGGCGCCGTTCAGGCTCACGCTGATGCTGCCGGGCGCGCCGTTGGGCGCCGCGCCCGGGGTCGCGCTCGCGAGCGCCGCCGGAGAGTGGCTGGCCACCCTCTCCGCGGCGTCGGCCTCCTTCTCGCTGCTCATCTTCGGCGCCCCATCGCCGCGCCGGCCGCGCGCCCTGCGCTCGCCCGCGTCGCCTCGCTGGCCGTCGCTGCCCGCGGCCGCTGGCTGCCTCGCTGCTGCTGCTGCTGCCGCTGCTGCTGCTGCTGCTGCCGCTGCTGCCGCTGCTGCCGCTGCTGCTGCTGCTGCTGCGGCTGTGGCTGCGCTCGTCTACTCTTCCTTCCGCCGAATCGTCGACGCGCACTCGCGGATCCGCATGCTGCTGTCAGGGCAATCTTGCTTCCTCTCTCTTCCTCTCTCTTGCACTTTCTGCTGCACTTGTCCACTCTCGCGCGCGCTCTCTCTCTCTCTCTGTCTCTCTCTCTCTCTCTCTCTCTCTATCTCTATCTCTCTCTCTCTCTCGCTATCACTCTGTGCTTTTTGTACTCGACAGGTTTAGGCTACGAACGACTGCGATGGTCCCTTTCCGATCCATGCACTTTTCCTTGCTACAAATGGCTCGTTTCTTTGGTCTTCGGAGGAGGCTGTGTCGACTCTGTGCGCGTGGCTGTGTGAGTATTGGGTTGCGTGGGTTGAGGTGTATCGGGTGCGTAGCGCATTCAACAGTCAACGTGTAGAAAAAATTACGGTCACTTTTTGCTTTGCTTTGATTTGGCACTTCCCTTTTGTACACTCGCTCGCTGTAAGTTTCTTCTTCGTCCTCGTCTGTTTCTTCTTCTTCTTCTTCTTCTTCTTTTTCTTGTTCTTCTTCGTTTCTTGCCGAACGCTTTAAGCTCTGGTTAATTTCTCTCTCAAATATATAAACACACCGATTAATATATTCTCTCTCGCACGTTCTCTTCGTAAGAAAAATATAAATCACTTGAGGTTAACGTGGCTTGTTAGAAGGCGGTTGATTTGTACGATCTGAAACAGAAGAGATAAGAATCGCCGGTTAATGTCTCATTAGAGTAGCGATGTTTATGGGATGTACGTATATGTATATATTGGTGGGCACGTGTAAGCGAGTAGCAGGCAAGCAGTAGCAGGGAAAGTATAAACACGGCAAGCCAATCGCATCGCGGCACACATCTCTGCAGCTCTCGGCCTGTATACGTGTACGTGTATACAGGCCGTGCGGCTCTCGCTCTCTCCGTGGTCATAACATCGAGAGTCAAGGCTACTATTACGACCCTGCCGATTCCTACTCCCACGCTCTCGCGCCCAGAAAAAGTACAGGCGCGACTTCCGCGCGCGTCGCTCACTGCCATTGAGGCAATCGGCTCGAGGCGGCGTCGGCGATAGGCGAGATTGGCCGAAAATTGGCCGGAGCCGCGGCTGAAATTGAAAGTGTGCGCGCGCGAGCGGTGGCAGCGGCGACTGCTGCCAGCGGATCACCATAGGCAACGCATATCGATCGGCCGATGGCGCGTGCAAGCTCCCACGCCAGCGTCGCGTTGTGCGCCTTCGCCGGCGCAGCATCCGAGCCGTCGCCGGCCGCGGCGCGCCCGGCAGCTTTCGCTGTCGCCGCCGGCCGCTTGCACTTTCCGCCGGCGCGTGCCAAGGTCGCCGCGGCCGCCGGCGGACGCCGCCCGAGCCCGAGCCCTTTCTCTCCTCGAATCTGGTGCAGCGCGGACGGGAAAAAAGAAATCCAGGCAACGCGAGGGAAAAAAGCGAGAGCACGCGCGAGCCCGCAGTGAAAAGAGGAGGAGAGCGAGGCAACGGCAGCGGCAGCGGCAGCGGCGGCGGCGGCGGCGGCGGCATCAGCGTGGAGGAGCAAAAAAAAGCTTCGGGTACACTTTCGCCGGCCTCGTGTCGTAGTCCGCGACAAAGGCTGCCCGATTCAAGGTCCCACGCACTCGCGCATGCGCTCTCCGGCTCCCTTAATCTCGTCTCTCTCGCTCTCCCTCTCGCTCCTTCTCGCTGGCTCTCTCTCTCTCACTCTCTCTCTCTGCTCCGAACACGCTTGCTCGCCTTACTCTCGCGAGCCAGCGGCTATGTATATACGCTCGGTGCGTGTTTAGAAACACGTGCTGCTCCGAAAAATCTGCCAGCAATTTAAAGTCCGCACGGGTTTTCCCTGGTGCACGGGCCGCTGCCGCCGCCGCCGCAGTCGCCGCCGCCGCAGCCGCCGCCGCCGCCACCGTGGCCGAAAACAAAGGAGCAGAGCGAGGGAGAGAGAGAGCCAAAGAGAGCCAAAGAGAGCCAAAGAGAGCCAGAGAGCCAGAGAGAGCGAGAGAAAGAGCCCGAAGGGCTCGTAAATCTCGGCTCGGCAGGTTCTCGATCGAGCCCGAATCTCGAGGCGGCCGCGGTCCCTTGTGCGCGCGGCGCAGGAAAAAAAACGGCGACGACACACGCGGCCGGGAGAGAACAAGGCGAGCCGCGGCGGCGGCGGCGAATAATTCAAGGGCCGCGCACTCCGACAGCCGAGAGAGCGGCGACTCGGCGGCGCGGCCGGGCCGGCGGATCGGCGATTCGGTGCTCCGATAAACTGTCTCACGGCCGAGTGCTGGGGCCCCGACGGCGCGCAGCAGACGCACTTGTTCGCGCACAGACACACAGCACACGGAGGAGGGCCGCGGCACTGGGGCACTGCGGCCGGCCGCGGCCGCGGCTCGCGGTCCGCCGGGACGGACGCGGCGCCGGGACCTAGGTACCTTTGGTTGCGGGCTGCAGGCTGGCGTGCTCGCTGCGCGCGCGCTGACTGTGTGTACGCTCGCGGCGCGGCGCGTATATTCTTTGTCCGGTCCGCTGCTGCGCTGCCGCCGCTGCCAGTCGGCGGTGGCGCAGCTGCCCGCGTTTAGGCCCTCGTGCAAGCTCGGCTCCGCTCGGCGCGGCTCGGGTGTCATCCCGCATCGGCCATGGCGGGAAGCGAGCGCGCACAGGACGCGAGCCGCCGAGAGAAGGAGCGGCGAGCGCGGTGGAGGGGGGCGGCGGGCCGCGGCGCGCAGGCGCGCCGCCGCGAGAGACCGCCCCGCCTGGCGGCCGCGTGCAACCCCTCGCCGCGGCCGGCCGAGAGGGGGAGTCTGGGCCACGAGCTGCGCGCTTTTTCTCTTTCTCCATTTTTTCCTTTTTCTTTCCGTTTCTTTTTTTCTGCTTCTTCTGCCTTTTTTTACTTTACTTTCGGACCAGCAATTATTCGAGGTTGCGGCTACGCGCGTTTCTGCGCCGGAGTGCACCGGCGCTCGTTACTCGCCGGCCAAATTGGTGCTATTGGGAAAGCGCTCGAGAGCGGCGGGTGGCTCGCGGCCGAGCGACCGTAACGGTTCGCGCGTTTGTTGCATCGCCGCGAGCTCGTTGCGCGCCAATCAATCGCCAGCTATCGCCGCGATAATGCATAATGAGCTGTTTTTCTGGAGGTTCCTCGAGCTTTCTTAATATTTGCGTCGAGCCGCCTATCGATAGCGATAGGTGCTTATCAGAAAAGCGTCTCGGAGCCGTGCTCGCGGACGCCCCGAGCGAAGCTGCAGCGTCGACGCCGAACAGTCGACGATGCGTTTTCGAACGAAGAGGCCGAGTGCGCTGCCAAGCATGGCAGAGAAAAGTGCATATCACGCGCAGTGGTGGTAGCTGACTTTCGAGTCCCAAAGTGCCCCAGCACCCCCCCCCCCTCTCTCTCTCGCTCGCTCGCTTCTTTCCTTCTCTAGTTTCAACTCGAGCAAGCGTACGCATACGTGCAGCTCCGCTTCTCTGTAAACGCGTAGGTATATATGTATGTGCGCGCACGCACCCCGACTCCAACGCGAGCTGCGCGCTACGCATACACGTATACGCACGCACAAGGGATGCTGCACGCGCGCAAACCTGCTCTCCTTCTTTTGCCTTTCTGATGCCGTCATCGATCCAAATGCTGCCGCCGCGTTGCCGCACTGCCGCTCGCTCTCCGCACATTTTTCCGCCGCAGATTAAAATCTTACGTTTGAAATACGCATCGCTCGAGTGCCACCAGGTGCTTGGATTTTCCCATGGCAGCTAAAAAAATTAAGAAAAATAGAGCGAGAGAGAGAGAGAGCGAGAGAGAGAGAACGAGCGAGCAACGCGTTTTTCGTTCCGAGCGTTTTTCCGCTATGAGAAGTGGAGGCAAGAGGCGACGTCGAGAGAACTGAGATAATACTTTTCGTTAGGCTTTATGCGTGCGAGACGCGAAGGCTCGCAGGGAACCCGATTGGGCTTGGCTCCAGATCGTTAGAACGGGAGCAAGGCGCGCGCGACAAGCTATCGCTAGAAAAAACGAGCCGAGGTATGTTAATTTGCAAATAGATTTGGATGGTCTGCGGCGAGAGATTCCTTCCGCCATGGGCATTGTCTGGCTGTATGTACATTCTCGCGTAGAGCGGGCAGCTGAGCGTGTGCGTGTGCGTGCGCGCGCGCGCGCGCGAGGTACTTAGCGTAAGGCAGGGAGCGACCGGCGGAGCTCGGCCAGTGTGCGTGCGTCGGGGCCCGTGATTATCATGACAATGGGGCGCGCATGCAGATACATATATAAATTAATGCGCGCTCTCTCTCTCTCTCTCTCTGTCGCTGCGACACGGCGGCCGGCTAGGCGGATAGCGCGAGCAGCGCGCGGGGAGGCTCGACCGCGTATAATGCGCATAAAGGGCGCCCGGTGCCGCGGCGATTTTCGCCCCGGCCGGAGACGCGACCGAGCGCGCCGCGGATAAATAACGCGGCCGCGAGCGAGCGCGACGACGCGATCTACGCCGGCACTCGGCGGTCTATTTCGAGCGCACGTGCGCGCCGACGCCGTCGCCGCCACCGTCGCCTCCGAGACCTCTTTATCTCCGGCTCTCTTAATTTCGAGCCGCGCAGCTCGCTGGCGCTCCACTCGGTCGATCGCCGTGGCCGACGTCGGTGCAGCTCCGATGTCCTTCCGCGCCGCCAGATCGACAGGGAGAGAGCGCCGATTATGCGATCCTCGGTCGCGCGCGCAGTCGGCCGAGACGCATTAATATGCATAAATACATACGAATAGCCCGCGACGCGCTCGTACCACTTAGCTCGTACGCCCGAGATGCGAGCCCGTGCCTGCGGGCCATCCCGCGCGCCTCTTCTCGGCCGCGCTTTCCTGTGCCCGAAATTCCTGGCGCGACGCGTCGTTGCTGCGCCTCCTAGCCGAGGCGCGGTCAGCTGCGACTCGGATGGCGCCGCCGCGATAATGCAACTTCGTGCGAGCTTTCATCCGGATACGCTTTCGGCGACGTCCCGTGCTGGACTATCGCGGCGAACGATCGAACGATCCTTATCGGAGTCCGAGTTGAAAACGAGTCGCTGCTATCCGCGTGAACGAGCGAGGGACCGGGACGCGAGTACGTCTGCGATGCCAGCAAACGACGGGACCCGACGCGAGGTTATCAGCGGAACACGGCCTTCTCCCACGAGAGCTTATCGCTGGCCTTTCTTTCATTCTCTTCGTCCGCGACCTTCGCAGGGCAAATTTAAAGGTATCGAGCGGACCGACGTGGTTCCGACGGAGCGCTGCTTCGGCCAGTGCGCCGCGAGCGTTGCGTCACGAGCGTTCGGGCAGATGCGACGGCTACAATGACGCCGAAATAAATCAGTTTATCGAGCGAGCGAGCGAGCGAGCTAGCGAGCGAGAGAGCGAGAGAGAGAGAGAGCGCAGGTATAAGCCTGGATGCGGCTATTGTATGCGCGCGCGTTGCCTCGCTCGCAGCGGTTCTCAGTTACCGAAAAAGCCCCCGAGCTGTCGAAATCAAACGAGAAAATGACGCCAGCTATTCGCCGTCGTCCGTTGGCGTGCGGCATTGTGAAAATAGTGATACGGGGCGAATTAAAAGTGTAGCACGCGCAAAGCGATGATAGCCATCGCCACAGGAGACAATGCACCCCGCTCTCTCTCACCTAACAACTCATGTATATTTATGCCCACAACTTTTACGACTTTCCGTTAACATGTAAAATCAAGTCATTAATTCCTGACTTTTCCCGTGGGGCTGCGTCCGTTTGATTTATATCGAGCGCTCGCGGTACGAAAAAATCGGCACTGCCCACTTTCCACGATTGCGAAATTGAAAGGCAGCATGAGAAACCCTGCCGGCTCGTACCTGACGAGAGCGAGAGAGAGAACGATGCTATCTGTGTCCTGCGGATCCTTTCGACGACGGCTCGTATATACACGAGTATCGATCTTTCTCTCGCTCGCTCGCTCGCAGGCTGCGGCACGAGAGGCGGTCCACGTGGTTGCAGCTGCTCCTGTTTCATGAAAAAATAGCGTTTAATTTTCTTAACGACTTTTCGAATTGATTGATGCGGATAGCATTGGGAATAGATGCTGTACTCTCCGTCTTTATTGTAGCACGCTGGCGATCGTCTCTCCCGTTCGGCCGCATGCGTGCACCGTCGCGCTCGGCCAATTTTAGTCGTCGTTCTCGTCGCTTGTCGCTTCTTCTTTCCGCGCGCCAGAGCCACAGGTCGAAAGCTCCGGCGAAGTACAACGAAACGGAAAAAAAACAGCGAGATCAGCTGGCCGGCGAAGCAAGAGGCGCCGGCTCAGCGCTTCCTTTCTCCGTCGCCGCCTAATCGCGAAAATTGAGAAAGCCGTAAAACGCGCCTGGGAGAGGGAGCTTCGCGCTAGACGCACGTGCGAATGCAATAACCGGCGTCGCTGTCCTAAACGACCGATTGGAGCTTTGATCTCGCGCTAGAATCTCCGTGTCGCTCGCTCGCTCTCTCTTTCTCTCTCTCTCTCTCTCTCTCTCCGCGCCATGTGTGCGCGACAAACAGTAGTGGCAGCTGCAGCTGCAGCAGCAGCTCGTGACACGCGTCCATTGTCGGGGGTCTCGTGGCATCGAGAAATGAAAAATCGTCGCGCCAGTCGTTAAGGCCGTTCACCTGGACTTCTCGCGCTCCCTCCCGTCATCGCGCGTCTCTCAGGAGCGACGAGAAGCCAAGTCGGCCGCGGACGGCAATGCGCCTGTTAATTGCGTTGCCTTGCGGGCTGCGAGAGAGCAGTGGCAGCCCTTTGGGGCCGGATCGACGCATTGAAGAGGCCACGCGACCCCAAGTCGAGTCCCCAAAAGGGCCCGCACCCTCGCACCCACTATACAGGCGGCGCGCCGGGGAACGGCGAACCCTCTCGCGCCGGTGCACTCGACGCGCCCGTCAAAGCCGTAAGGTGCACCGCGAACGGCCACTTTGTCGCCCGGCCGATCGCGACCGATCGCGCCGCGGACGGCAGCGAGCAGCACCGTCGAGCCGCCGACGGTCGAGAGTGATCGCTCGTTACGAACATCTGCCCCGCGCCTCGCCGCAGGGTAGTCGCGGCATCGTGCTGCCGCCGCCGCCGCCGCCGACCGACGCCATTGCCGAGCCGAGCGCCGTGGACAGCTCGCCTCGCTACGGCCGCGCCGATTCCGCGGTCTCGCGACCTCGCGACTCGGTCGGCCGCAGCGCCAGTCCCGGGCAGCTTTCCCCTCGAACCTCGGCTCTCGCGCTCGCTCCCGTCGACGACGACCGGGCCGCCGCTGCCACTTGGCCTTCCGACCGATTGCGTTCCGAAGCTGCGCCACTCGAGCGGAGAGTGCGCCCGTATCCCCCGTGTGCAGCCGCAGCGGGCAAGTTCAACGCCCGGATCGGACGAAAAACAGCCAAGGAAAAGGTCTTTCACGGGCGCGCGCAGCGCCGAGATTCGTCAGGGGAAAAAAGCGTAGTATGCATAATGCACGGAGAGACGCGATTCATCTGCCTCGGTCCGATGAATGCGAGCGAGCGTTTCCTATAGGCAGGAAAAGCCTCGAGTCATTTGACACTCGAGGATGTTACCGCTTGACTTATGTGCTTTACTTTTTTCTTTCCGCTGGCTCGTCCGTTCCCATACGAAGAGCGACGCAGCGCCAGGTAGTCTCTCTGGTCAAACAACATTAGCGCGCGCGTTCGCGCGTTCGAGGAAAGCGCGCTTTGTGACGTCCCTCGCTGCGGCATTGTGGCGAATCGGAGACGCGATTTACGACTATGACGCTTCTTTCGATTTGGTAAACACGCGCGCGCATCCGGCCCGAGGCGTGCCTGGCGAGTTCGTCACGATTAGCCCGAGCTACAGCTGCGGCGCTCGAAATTCGACGTGCACGCGCGATCGATAAGCGGACTCGGTTGCGCTCCACTTGGACGATTCGAACGTTTGATCGCACGCGCGCGCGGAGTAGACCAGGGTTATCCCAGGTGATTTATCGAAAGCTCGACCGAGCGAAATATTCATGCGCGCAGAACCAGCGGAAGGAGAACAGAGATCTGAGAGGAGAGCTCGGAATCCCTTGGCCGCCCCTGAAAAAGTCCTGAAATTTAAAGAATCCTCATAAGGCGCAGATCCTGGGAGACAGATAAAGGGCGAAAAAAACAAACAGAGCGAGCGACGCTGAGAGAGAGAAGGAGAGCGGTGGTGGTAGTGATGTCGTAAAAATCGCAGGCTTGCAAAGGAGACGCGTGCGTGCAGCAGTGGCAGCTTCGTCTACGCACCAAAGAGAGAGAGACAGAGTCTGCGATCGATGCGCGAGCTCTCTCTCTCTCTCTCTCTCTCTCTCTCTCTCTCGGTCTTTGGTCGCTATGGCAACACACCGCACGCACTGCGTACGATCCGCCTTGATAATCGTCGTCGTTCTCTCCCCATGCCCCTCCCCATCCCTGCCCCCCCCCCCACACAGCAGCGTACGCAGTCTATCTCTATTTTCTCGCACGCATAATTTTATTTCATCCGCGCTCTACCACGCGACTTATTCTTCCATCTCGCCTTCCTTCTCTCGCTGATCATGCTAATGTCGCCCTGCTTCAAAGCTGCTGCCTTTCTTTGCTCCTCTTCTTCGCGCACGGCGATGCAGCTGCGTTGACGCGCGCGTGTACGTCTTGCTAGGAAAACGAACGAAACCGAAAGAGAGCGAGAAAGAGAGAGAGAGAGAGAAAGCCAACAAGCAACTCGGCACCATCGATCGATGCCAGCAGCAAAAGTTACACACCCACCGTCGGCCTTCCCCCTTCTCCCCCTTCTCTCCCCCGCCCTGGTACACAACTACCTCCAAAGCATGAACCACATCGCAGACTGTGAAGTATTTGGTTCTGCGATGCTAGACCAATTTCAGCTTCGGAAACGCGGGTCGACGATGACTCGTTTTCTCGTAATGTTCGCGAAGGCGGATGGGCGCGAAGCAACGATCGCGAGAGCGATAGCGGCGAAACGCTGGCGTTACAGGTGCGGAGGCAGGGACAGCGAGAGGAGGGGCAGCAGGGAATCGAGGGAAGAAAAAAATCAAAACAGAGGCTCGCCCGGCGTTTGGGTATTTGGGTTAAAGGAGGAAGCCGAGCCGAGGGGGAGCGTCGGTCGCGAGTCATACACGCAAAACACGTGGCTGCAGCGCGGATGAACGTATATAGCGGCCAGCTCCCTCAGCTGGCTGGCGCGTGGCAGCGCTCGGGCGGCTGCACGTAGGGCAGGGAGTGAAAACTGCCGGGAAAGTGCGGAGGGTCGCAGCTGCGCGTGGAAATCGCGCCCCTCCGCCGCTGCCAGCGCCGCTCAGTTAGCGGGTCAACAGGTTGACGAGAGGGCTTCCCTCTCTTCCCTCGAGCTCTTCAAACGATCGTTTTCACAAGCGACTGATTTTCATTTACGTGTGCCTGCCTGCCTCGCAGCGCCTGCCTGCTCACTGAACAATCTTGCTCGAGAGCGCTCTTTTTCTCTTTTCCTTTCCGTCATTAGCAAATGAATCAGAGTTAACTCGGCCCAATTACCCTCGAGAGCTCTAATCAGTGCTCTGGCAGCAGCGGCAGTGGCAGCAGCGGCGGCAGCAGTGGCGGCAGCAGCAGCAGCAGCAGCACGACAAGAAAAAAAGTCATCGGCCTCTGCGACAATTGCGAATTATGAAAGCCAATTGGTTAGAGAGCCAAAGAGAGAGAGAGAGAGAGAGAGAGAGAGAGAGAGAGAGAGAGAGAGAGAGAGAGAGAGAGAGAGGTCAGTGTCTCTCGGCGTCGCCGTAATGGTCGTGGTCGGCACGCAGAGCGCAGCGGGAGGCCGGTCGTTGGCTCCGCGTACTCCGGGGAAAGCCCGAAAATCCGCGGCTAAGCCCGGAGGCTTCCGTCTCGCGGAAAGCCGGACGAATTGTCGAGCGCCGGGCAGGCGGCACGAGCCGTTTGCCGGCTCGCGGCAACGGCGCGCGATCGGAGGGTCGCGTCCGCGAGCTGCTCGGAACTATCGACGACCGGCGAGATGGCGGAGAGCGAAAGGAAGTGGCGTCGCGTCCGTGGCCTGTGCGTCTGCCCATCAATCACAATTACACGCTCTCCCCCCAGCGCAGTTGATAATTACGGTGGAAGACTGCGCTCCGCTCGGCCCGCCAAAGCTCTAGAATCCTCGGACTTGTTTGCTGCCGGCTCCGGCTGCTTTTCACAAGATTAGACGAGCGGAGGAGAGCTCGGTCGAGTAGGCGCTGCCATCAGGATATAATTGCCAGCAGGTACTCGCGCTCCGGCTGGGCCTATTAGCGCGCAGCTCGGAGAGGGAAAGGCTGGCGCGTGTGTGTAAAAAGGAGTAAGAGAGCGGAGTCTTTGTCCGCGCGGAGCTTGCTCTATCTCGGTGCGTGCGCGCGTATAATGGAAACCCTTCAAGTAGCTGCCCCGCTCTCGCGCACCTACTCTTGGATTACGCACGAGGCGGAATACAAGTGCTCTCTCTCTCTCTCTCTCTCTCTCTCTCCCTCTTTTTCTCTCTCGCCTTTTCAATTTCCAAGTCCTGCGCTCTCCCTCCCTCCCTCGCTCCCTCTCTCTCGCTCTCTCTCTCTCTCGCCTTCGCACTCGCACTCGAGCGCTCGCCTCCTTTCAGCCTGCGCGCTGCTTGATGAAGACAGCATAGCTGATGCGCGTACGTGCCTAGAGCCAACCAACCCCTCGACGACTCTGCCGGCTCCGGCTCTGCCTCGAGCTCAGGTAGGGGGAAAAGTGCGCGCACACGCCGCGCCTACGACACGTATACCTCGCAGCCCAAGTGCATCTCCAGAAAGCCGTGGCCTGCGCTTCTTCTGGCTGCTACGCCGATCCCGCGAGCGCCGAGCTTCCGCAAGCTCCTCCGCTTCCCCGGCGATCGGCGGGCGCCTGCCTCCGACATCTGCGGATACGGCCGACTCCGCACTCGCTATCCACTACTGACATCTGTCGATGTGACACCGAGTCGTTGGCTTCGCGGCATGGTAAAGCGATCCGGAGCGCGCACGGAAGGTAGTCATCGGCTTGTTTTACGATTTATTGAAAACAACAGAATAGGGGCAGCCAATATGAAATAAATTACAGCGGTCGGTACACAAACACCTCGTTGCAATGCTTAGCTACTAGAGTCGATAAGTGAGCTGCAAGTGACACGCGGCCTCGTCAGTACTCCAGCGAGACCTGGCACATGCAGCCGTGCGGGAACCAGAAGACGTCGGTGTAGAGGCGGTCGCCGCCGCCGCCCAGGGCCACCAACCGCTTCTGCACGTACTGCTGCTGACATCTGCTCGTGTAGCCCAGCGGCAGCGAGCACAGGCCGTCGCACGTGTCGCTCCTGCGCGCAAACGGACATCGGCCGTACGTTAGTGGCGGCGCGTACCCGCGCGGGCCGCGAGCCTCGCACTTACACGCAGAGCTCGCTCTTGACCAGCTGCGAGTGGTGCTGCGAGTGGTGCTGCGACTGCTCCTCGAGGTTCACCACGTACATCCAGTTGCCCTGGTTGTTGAGCGCGGCCCTCGGCGAGACGAACTGCGAGCGCGTCGGGCAGATCGACACGGCGTTCGCCTCCGACTGGCGCTTCGACCGAGCGCGCGGCTGTCGCGCCGCGAACTCCAGCAGCGGGTTCCGGTACCGCGTGTAGCCGGCCGCGGCGCCCCGGGAGCCCCGGCTGAAACAGTTGCCAGTCGGCGACAGTTGGCAGCGCTGCGGCTGGGAGGCTCGCTCGCCCCGTTACCTGGCCCAGGGCGCTAGCCTCTCGAACGGCTCGGGGCTCCGATGGTGGTGGTGGTGGCCGTGGCTCTGCCGGCCGCTCGCCGAGCGGCTCTGCGCCAGCAGAGGGCGGCCCGGGTGCGCCGGCACCGGCAGGTACCTGCAAGCAGTCGCGGCCGTCGATGCGTGCACGCTCGCCGCGGCGAGGTCTCACCTGTTGTTGGTGGCGTTCGGCGGCACGCCGAGGTGCAGAGCCGGCGACGACTGCGGGTACAGCTCCGCCGGCGGCACCTCCGGCCTGGGGTAGTCGTAGCCCGCCTCGTACGCCTCGCCCGCCTGCTCCTCGGCGCCCTCGTAGCTCGGCACGCGTCTGCAACAGCGGCAGTGTTAGTCGGGAGCGCGCGATGCATCCTCGGCGGCCGAGCTCGATACCTGAATGCGTCGAAATTCTCGCTGGATTCGTCTCGGAGAAAGTTTTCCAAATCCACGGACTGCTTCTCGATCAGGTACTGGATAAGTTGCCTAGAAGCAGTTGTTTTGATAAACGAGTTCTCGTTTTGCCGGATCTGCGAGGCCCGTGAAAAAGAAAACTCAAGTTTCACGGTATAAATTTGGGCTGATATTAATTGGCGGCCAGCTCTGTTTGTTCGACGCTAATTTGATTTGCTAATGTGGAATTAGTGAGAGCCAATGACCCGCTTACGAGCAACATTAATCATCCGCAGCCCTTTCTAAAAGTCCAATTCCTGCGTCCAAGTGGCACACGTCGCGGACAATACGCGCGGACAATAGCACTCGGCCGCGACTTTTAGAGGCTGACGTGGTTGGCGTGCGAATGACGAGCGCTCTCGCTCGTTCGCCGATCCGTGTCCAACTGTCCGGGATCAACAAACAGAGTGCCGCCAAAAGGCTACTGAATTTTTCCGAGACGCCTTGCGTAAGCAGCAACTCTAACGCCGATCGGACCCACGGACAACTTTATGTCATTTACGCAATTTTATAGATATTGTCGCGCGTTATTGTAATAACGGTGATATGTTATTTACGACCTGATTATCAACTTGCGTGAATTTGAAATGGCCGGCCAACTACTTTCTCTTTGACTGGGACGCATAAGGCGGTTTTCAGCTGCAAATCCTTGGAAAAAACGGCCATTCGTGGTGAAACATTTTTAATGATAGTTTTCGCACCACCTTACTAATGACTTTTTAGCACGAGCCGTGGAATTTCAGCTCTTTTTCTTCCAGCAGATCTCCGACGTTCCGGCGTTCCGTCGCTCGGGCAAAGTAGAAATCACTCTGCCGCCCATTACAAAAGCGTTTGAACGCCCGAGCTCGAAAATTAGAAACCGAACGCGCGGCCGAACGCAGTTCGAGAATTCGTGCAGTCTTACGTAGCCACTGTAGAAATCATAGCGCGTCGAGTAACGGACGAATCATCGCTGTACGAGATGTCGGTGCTATAAAATTAAGAGATAGCAGCATTACCGCGAGTCCCGAAATCATCGACTAAGACTTTCACCGTGGCCAGAGACGACGAGCAGCAGAGCTGTTTGATGTTTAATTCAATAGTCAACGACGCCTCGGGACTTATTTTTCTTTCTCTTACGTGAAGTAGAAGCGCCGATTCTTCTTCAACCGACCACTCCAGTGATTGATCGTGCTTTTTTATTCTCTCGCATAATCAACATTGAGATTGCGATTCAAAATAATACCTAATAGTTTATTGTTGTAGTGCCTTCGACTTCATTGTCCAGCTCACCACTGATAAACGCACAGCTAAAAGTAAATATAGTTTGAGCTTTGCTGCACTTGAAGCCGCGTAACAAGATTATTTCCTCTTTTTACCGTACTATACTGCGCATTGATTACCATGGATTTTTTACCCTTCGTTCGTGTAAATCTTGATAAAATTTATCTATAGAACTAACGCTGCACTTGACTTGAAATATCTCACTGCAATTAAATTTCATACGTTGTGTTACATTCTCAATTGTCAATGTCCTCAATTTGCAAAATAAACAAGCAAAAATTAATAATTTTAAAGAATAATTTTTGTTTAATCGAATATTAGAATTTAAGAATCTTCAGTTCATGCTGGAATTTGAGAAATTTTAAATTGAGAAAGGCATTTACTAGAAAAACCATTAATATACATTCGTTAGTTTTTCTTGACAAGAAAAATACATGTCTCGTATTCAAAGATTTTTTTCGACTTAGACATTTCAGAAATGTACGTGTGCGATGCATCCTCAATCCTTCTTAATCAAAGCATTTTTTTGGCAGTACACTGTTCGAATGACGTATTTTAGAAAACTAGAAACGTATTATTCATCACGGGTGCGTTTATCGAATGGCGTGAAAAATTAATTATTTAATATGCGAATATAAAATATTCCGAGGATTATCGACGGAAAGCCTGATGAATATCTTCAAAGTAGATAAAACATAACTGTGGCAAGGCCATGGTCACGGAATAGTAATCACCGAATGTGTCTCGCTCCTATTTATATAATCGCCTTTTTTTCCGTCAAATTAACACTTTTCACACCCGAGGAATGTGCATCCGTAATGTGACATCAGCGGTTATCCAATAGAAGATGAATATTTTAGAGACAACCGACTTGATATTGCAGTTACGCGCGGCTACATTTTGGCACACAAGCAATAGTTGTACATTGACAGTGATGCAGCGCTGGAATAAAATATAGGCTTGTATGCAATTTGTTATCATTGTATTTCCAAGCGTACGCTAAGCCCGTGTAGAGGTCTCAAAATGATGTTCATGTACGAAAGAGATCTCTATTCAATAATAAGTAAATGACACGTAACCAGTTTGAATGGAAACGACGCATTCTCTAAGCGAGCTCTGTATTATTTGAACAAAATTATTGGCACGTGTCAAATTCAAAGTAGCTATCCTTATATTGTTTCCTATAGTGATATTTTGATAAGATTTATGTTAATGCAAAGAAAATAAGATTTAACCAGCCGGAATACGTTTCGTTTACGTATGCTCATTCGAAACCTTTCAGATGCAATGTTGGCGTTATTCTACCTAGCGTGTAAGTGAGCTTTTTCGTTGTTCTGGAAAACGCTGTGGCCTTTGACTGACGACAAAAATATACTACTGTATGCAGATTATCATATATATATAGATTATAAATAATTAATTTCTTACTCGAACTCGATAACAATCGACCATTCCACGACTGTTTCCAATTGCCGTACGAACATCACAGCAGGAAATATGATAGGAAACTTTGGTCGGCGGATATTCAATTGGTTGATTGGCCAAATGATATACAGTGAAATATTGAATAATAAATAGGCATCTTACTGCGGATATCGATCCAAGGATTCGCAAAAGGTCAGTCCAGGTTTGGCACATTTTGGAGTGTAACCAGGTGGTGCTGGCACAAACTGCTCGTGAATGGGCGCTGCGAGCGGACAACCATACTTCGGGCAAGGCTTATGATTCACGTATCCGCTGGCCGATGACTACAGAAATAAGATCTGGCATTAATGATATTAATGATGGAACGAGCCAAAGTCAAAAGTTGTAGGCGCGAGTAGGACGTCGATTAGACAAGAGTTACATCGAAAGAGAAATCTCGGGCTGACTGGCTCGGAGGCGCGCAGCCGGCGAGGGCACGCGCGAGCCGTCGTCGCACGCGGACTCGTCGCCGAGGACGGAAGAGCAAAAAGAGAGAGTGGACGGAGCGAGCCGATCATAAGCTTGCTGCTGTGCTTTTGTAAGCCGACCGCGGCCCGACTAGACGAGCCTAATTTATGGGCGGCGAGCTCTTTCACTCCGGCGCCGCGTTCCTCGTCTTCTTTCTTTCCGTGCGGCGCGTTCCACGTGGGCTTGTCCGCTGCCGCGTCGGCCACTTTCACGCGCGTGCGCCGATTCCAAATTCGAGCAGCGCCCGGCGCACCAGCCAGCGCAGCGGTGCGCGAGGAGCCGGACTGACCCGGATTCGCGCGAGCAGCGAGAATCGGCGGCGAGGTTACTCACCAGCAGCGCCAGCAGCAGACAGGCCGAGGCGAGCGCGAGCCGCGTCGGGGGCCGCATCGTCGAGGGATTGCCGCAACCGAGCGGCCGAGTGCGCAGCTTGTCGTGGACGAGGCGTGAAGTTTGGCTTTTCGAAAGACGATTGCATTAGCGAGTTTCACCTGGCGGCACTCGCGGGCGAAACGACCTCATGGCGCTGGCTGCGGCGCGCGGATCACTCAAGCTGTCGTCGCCGCTGTGCGCGGCGCGATCATCGCGGCTGACCGGCGGACGCACTCGAGGCGGCTGCAAGCACTACTGGCCAGCTCGTCGTCGCGATCGGCAGGCCGTGCGCACATGACCGCGGCTCCGCAGCGGCGCGCTCGCAACCACTGTCTGGCGAGCTGCTGCCGCCGCCGCCGCCGCCGCCGCCGCCGCCGCCGAGGTGGGGTCCACCCGTGCTCGTCCACGCGGCCCCGCGCGCACTTTCACTGCGCGCACGCACTCGGAATTCGAGCGCGCCGATCGGCACCGCCGCTGTCGCCGCCGCCACTCGACCTGCAGTTTTGCAAGCTTCGCTTCCCCTCGGTCGCCGCGAACGCTGAGGTGGTGCAGCGCTGCGTCCGCGAGACACCTGCTAGCCACGCGGACGGCCACGGCTCCCGACGTGTCCTTTTGTCGTCGCGCCTCGCTCGCGCGTCCTGCCCCGCCACGGCTCTAGACGTGGTTGCCGCTGGACCATCAAGGATCCGCCGAGCGACGTTTCTACGTCTCGGCGAGCTGTCACGTACGATAACCGTCGCTAGCCCACAGCGGTGCACATGTCAGCATACGTGGGCGAGAAACCAGCGCATTTCTGCTTTGGCATAGACGCGCCGTTGAATATGTATTCTTTAGGCTTGCAGCTAGAAACTCGGTTATGATGGCTGGGGCAAGAAGATGAAGACGAAGATAATGGAATGCGACTTGAATGGAATCGAGCTCATGAATTTCATTGCAGTCGCTCCTCTTCGATTATATATTGCGTTACGTAAAACGGAAACGCTCAATGCTGCTTCTCAAACGAAAGCAATTGAACACCGTGATCCACTAGACTTCAAATAGAGAGAGAGAGAGAGAGAGAGAGAGAGAGAGAGAGAGAGAGAGAGAGAGAAACCGTGTTACTTGTTTTTGCACAACGCGCACCTCTACTATTCACGTTGACTTATAAGCAAGAGTTTCTCAGTGAAGCTTGCTTCACAGCAAAATGAACTTAATCTAACTCTCTCACCTTTGGTAGTATTCATATTTATTAAGAAAATGGAATGATAGTCGGAAATCCAAATTATTAGTATAAGCACCGATTGACTTTTCCAAAAGAAACCTTTAATTAATGCGGTATTTCAGTTACATATTTGACGATAAGCATACCATCAACTTACAGTATAAACATGACGATTATTTATTAGTTCATTTCATTTTTGCTAAAATAGTTGTCAATTATTTACTTTTTCGAACTATTACTCGGTCGACTGAAAATAATATTTTTGTCGGTATCGGACTGAAGATTCGACGAATTATATTTTTTTTTTCGCTTTTATCGAGATTCGGAGTTTCGAAATTCGGCAGACATTTGTTGAGCGTCAAAACAACAGATATCTATCATGACCGACATGGCGTACGATACAGCTGTACCATTCGCAGATGTCGCCAGGCGCCGCTGTTTACAAAGCTTTGATGCACACTCGAGCATGGAGTCTTGTTCACAGTTCACTGTGACGAAGAATGCAGACGAAAGCAGCCGCGGCTAACTGACACGAAGTGCTGGCACCAAGAAAAACAATCATTTTGGGAGCAGATCTGGCTACCGAGCAAAAGTACCAGAATAGAAACATAAATTCGCGCGGACGGTAAAGGGCCGTAAGCGCGCAGACACAAGTGTCAAGTAAATTTCCCGGCGAGCAACGATATTTTCTGCCACAAAGTACAGTGGCAAAGTAAAGTACACCAGTACAGAATTTTAGTGATTAAATCGTAGGTGACAGTACCGTGGAGGCAAAGTCTGCTGCGATCGCCCATCGCAAGTACAGCTGCATCCGGATCGATCCGGACTGTTGCTGCCGCTGCTGTTGCTATCGACACTGCCATAACCATGTCGGTCGTATTGTCACGAGCCGACGAACTGGTGCAGAGCGTCAGCTTGCATAATCCTCGAAAAATGCTGTTCAATGGCTACGTGCTACCATTCGTTCTCACGGAAGTGCTATGGATCTATTGTTGGATTTTCGTGTACGGCCTGGCAGACTACTACGAACCCGGCTTGGTTGGCATCGCCGTCATCGCTGTGTTGCAGATCTTTGTCTGCTTGTGCTGTCAATGGTCGGTGCACGTGCACACCTTTCTCAATTGCAGCTCGGTGAGTTACACGGTCTCTTTAATTGCTGTACCTGACTTATATTAATAATCAACTAACGCCTTCAATATGCTCCGATTCTCACGGTAACCGTGTCGTGCGTGGCGATTCGGGTCACGTGGGATACTTTTAGAAGGGACCTCTAAATGCACTTGTCTTAAATATTATCTCAGCATTTAATGATCGATCTCATTTCTTTTAGAGTAATGATCCGTATAGAGCAAATATTGCTAAAGTTGTGCCTACACCAAATAATGGCAGTACAGAGCTCGTCAAACTGCACAAGTCCAAGTCCCAGGAGCCATGGTTTATATTTCAAAAGACCAAGTATATCTGGAATCCTGACAAGAAAGAATTCAGAGGCCTTGCATTCCCTATCAATCATTCGGTGAAACATTATATGAATTGGAAAGGCTATGCCGATGAGAAAGAAGTCCAAGAAGCCGAAGAGACTTATGGTGGTAACAAGTAAGTTTCAATTTATTTTTATGTTCAGCATGTTATGTCTATTATTATGATAATAAATATATCATTGCAGCCTCGATATGGTTGTGCCAGAATTTTGGGAACTTTTTAAAGAAAGGGCAATTGCACCTTTCTTTGTTTTCCAAGTATTTTGTATGGCTTTATGGTGCTTTGATAAGTACTGGTACTACAGTCTTTTTACACTTTTCATGCTTGTCATGTTTGAGTGTACATTAGTGCAGCAGCAGCTAAGGAACATGGCTGAGATTAGAAAAATGGGCAACAAACCTTACATGATAATGGTCAGTAAATTAAATCCAATAAATTATTTTTCTTTATGACAATAATCCATTTCAAGTTATTATTTTTTTTTTCACCATCTTTATTTACAATCTGTCTACAAAAACGCCAATAAGTAAATTTTATAATATACATTAGGGATAATGTATATTAAATTAAATTAGGGATAATATATATTAAATTAAATTAGGGAAAATCATACACGCAGGTACTTTTTCAGTGATCCATACCATTATAGTTACATATTTACATTATGTTTACATGTAAAAAAATAACAATACAAGTATTAGGTTTGTATAAATGGTGTTCTTTATTTTTTGAATCATGAACAGCTACGTGTTGCATGGAGCAAAATTTTCGCCAAATAATTTATATGTTTAGATGTTCTGTTTGTGTTCTTTCTGCATATCTGTTTGATTTTGTTGCAATTTCTATTTTTTCTTTTACTGCTGTCATCTTGATGTCTTTTCTAATTACTTCATTCATAATGAACCATGGCGCATTCACGATAGGTCATAGGGCTTTTTTTTGGAATTTTTCAACAATATCTGTTTGATTTTGTTGCCATGCGTCACAATTAGATTTCATAAGTCCATATCGGTTTAATTATGCATTTGTATATTAATAATTTATTATTAATTGAAGGTTTTGATTTTTTGTCTAACTACCAGTACCATTTTCGTAACTGTAGGTTGAGTTGTTTTCGCTTGGTCCAAATATGGTCTCACCACGTCAACCTGCGATCTAAGTACATCCCTAGATATTTGACTTTATCTCCTTGCGGTATTGGTTGATTGTTTATGTGAACTGGCGGGCAATTTCCTTTCTTTAAGGTATAAGTTACCTGTGTTGATTTTACTTTGTTACTCGTTTTCCTCCATTTTTCGAACCAAAAGTGGGCCATTTTCAGATACTTCTGCATATTTATAGAAGCTTGTGTTGCATTAGTATGTGAAATTAATATTGCTATATTGTCTGCATAAGTGGCGATATTTATATTTTCCATGATTGGGAGATCACAGATGTAAATTAAATATAATAAAGGACCGAGAGCATTGACTTGAGGAATATCGGTTTATATTGGATATAATTTAGTGACTTATTATTAATGAATTAATATTATAAACAGGTTTATAGAAGTAGGAGGTGGAGATTGCTGTTTACTGATCAACTAATTCCTGGTGATATTGTTTCGATAACAAGATCTCAAAATGACAATCTTGTACCTTGTGATATGCTTTTACTTCGAGGACCATGTATAGTGGATGAAAGCATGTTGACTGGTAAGTAGCAGTTAACCAATGAAGTACACTGAGTTCTGCTGCTTTCATTATTAATTAAACTTGATTTATTACAGGTGAATCTGTACCTCAAATGAAGGAACCTATTGAAGATATCGATGAAAACACAATTGTAGATATTGAAGGTGACAACAAACTACATGTTTTATATGGGGGCACAAAAGTAGTTCAGCATTCGCCTCCAATAAAAAATTCGTATGGATTAAGAGGTTTGTATAGGTGTGTATTTACATGAACATTATTTTTAAATCAATAATTTAATGTTTTAGCAACAGACAATGGTTGTGTTGCTTATGTATTACGAACTGGGTTTTCCACTTGTCAAGGAAAACTTTTAAGGACAATCCTCTTTGGTGTTAAAAGAGTCACTGCAAATAATTTGGAAACTTTTGGTTTCATTCTCTTTTTGCTGATCTTTGCAATTGCGGCTGCAGCATATGTTTGGGTTAAAGGTTAATTTTTAATAGAGTATCTCTGTACACAAAGTTTATTCTTTACTAGTGGTAAAATTAATTTTTTATAGGAAGCGAGGATGCGACAAGGAACAAATATAAGTTATTCCTTGAGTGTACACTAATTTTGACATCTGTTGTCCCACCAGAGCTACCAATTGAATTATCGTTAGCAGTGAATACTTCACTTTTAGCATTATCTAAATTAGGTAACTGACTGCAATAGTATCATTGCGTGCTTTATAAAATTTTCAGTTGTAGCAACAAATATTATTGTTTTAGGTGTTTTTTGCACAGAGCCATTTAGAATTCCTTTTGCAGGAAAGATTGAAATTTGTTGCTTTGATAAGACTGGCACTCTAACTAGTGATAACTTAGTGGTTGAGGGTGTAGCCGGTATCGAGTAAGTATATTTAAGATTTTCTTATTCAAAAAACTTTATATTTCAAGATACTAGTATTTAAATAATTTTTAGTGGCAATCCAGAAGTTATTCAGTTACCTGAAGCACCATTGGAAAGTGTTCAAGTATTGGCAACTTGTCACTCTTTAGTTCAATTAGATAATACCATTGTTGGAGATCCATTGGAGAAAGCTACATTAAAGGCCATCAGTTGGAATCTGACGAAAGGTAATTAAATATTTTCGACTTTGACAATATCATAGTTTCTATGTCGTAACATTATGCTTCGTTCGCATAAAGGAGAAGCAGTTATTCCGGTGAAAGGAAAGTCGCCCGGGCTAAAAATTATCCAAAGACATCACTTCTCGTCAGCACTGAAGAGAATGTGCGTCGTTGCTGGATATGCAACCAGCGGATCAGTAGATATCACATACATTGTCACTGTAAAAGGTGCTCCGGAAACGTTAAAAAGCATGGTAAAGTTGATATATTTAAAAAGTACACACTGCGATAGAGTTATCGTTTAATTATTTTTAAACGATCATTTGTTTTATTTTTGCAGTTCTCTTCGGTACCAAATACTTATGAGGAAATTTATTTGGCGCTATCTCGTCGAGGAGCAAGAGTTCTTGCGTTGGGCTACCGCAAACTGCCAAGCTCGACTACGCTTCAAGATTTACGAAATTATACTCGGGACGAATTAGAGAGTGAGTTGACTTTTGTCGGCTTCGTAATTATCAGCTGTCCACTCAAATCCGATTCAAAGAGCGTAATAAAAGAAATAATCAATGCATCTCATTCGGTAACTAATTTTTCATTTGTTTGTAGAATCGACCCACCTTGCATACAGTGTCAGTAGTATTATACTAATATTTTCAGGTCGTGATGATTACTGGCGACAATCCATTGACTGCGTGCCATGTTGCACGTGAATTACACTTTACAAAAAAACCAGTAACGTTGATATTAATAAATGTCAAAGACTCTTGGCACTGGGCGAGTATAGATGGGATAATGCGTTTCGACATCGATAAGGATACGAAGAGAAACCAAATATGGGAACAGTATGCCTTATGTATCACCGGAGAGGTGATAACCGTTGCGATTGATTATAACTTTTCATTATTCAATTGGTTGACTATGAATGTTGATTTCAGGGCCTTAGTTATTTAAAAGATTACGAAAGAGATTATTTGTACAAAATACTTCCACACGTAGGCGTGTTTGCACGGTGTGCGCCAAAACAAAAAGAGTACATTATTACCACTTTGCAAGAAATTGGATATGTGACATTGATGTGTGGCGACGGAACGAACGACGTGGGAGCACTGAAACATGCTTCCGTTGGCGTTGCCATACTGTCGAGCCCACCAAAGCGCAACGGAACCAAATCTAACACCACCACACCAGTGACCCCAAAGTCAAGTCCGACCGAATCAATGCCACCAACTGTTAATGGACCGCGAGTAAATTCACGGCAACAGCAAATGAATAGTGCCAAGAGTAAAATCGAGAAGCTTATGAAAGATTTGGAAGAACAAGAGCGATCCGTCGTTGTGAAGCTTGGAGACGCCTCCATTGCTGCACCTTTCACAAGCAAGTTCTCATCGATTCAGTGCAGTAAGTAGATATTTCTTGTGAATGAGTCGAATAATCGGATAATGTAATGAGTGATAACATTAATTGTCGTTCTTTTTGCAGTTTGTCATGTTATCAAGCAAGGTCGTTGTACTCTGGTCACCACTCTACAGATGTTCAAAATTTTGGCACTAAATGCACTGATTTTGGCATACAGTCAGTCAGTTCTCTATCTAGATGGAATAAAGTTTAGTGATGCGCAGGCAACGCTCCAAGGCATTTTGCTTGCAATTTGCTTCTTATTTATTTCGCGCTCAAAGCCACTAAAAACACTATCAAAACAGCGACCACTGCCCAATATATTTAACGTGTATACAGTGCTCACAGTTTTACTGCAATTTGCTATTCATTTCTGTTGTCTCATTTACATCGTTAGAGAAGCAGTTATTCGATCACCAAAGTAATCACACTTGTGTACCAAAGTTAATTAATTTGCAACAAGCCGATTAGTTATTTTTTTTAATAATCAATTCGTTTTTTTTCTAGAGACGAGAGGCTATCTGCAATTTTGGCGCCAAAAGTTAATACTACGAATGTTCCGAGTGACTCCGACAAAGAAGAAGAAAATTTTCAAATGAATTTGATCAACAGCACAGTGTACATAATGTCTATGGCACTGCAAGTATCAACGTTTGCAGTAAACTACAGGGTTAGTGTGCAAAGTATTTGTTTTAAAATGTTTAATTCAGGAAGTACAAATAAAAATAATCGGTCTACAGGGCCAACCATTTATGGAAAGTCTGTGGGAGAACAAACTGCTACTATACAGTCTGGCAAGTAGTACCGCGGCTATCTTTGCCTTAGCTCTTGGAATCGTACCCGATATTGCTCAACAATTTGAGATTGTAGATTTCCCTAGTGACGTAAGTAACTCCGTAATTAAGCCTGTAATTAAGCCCATATAGCGTCAATGCGTAGAGTATTCATTGAATTTGACATGTTGCAGTTTCGAAGAATTCTAGTCCAAGTGCTCGTAGCCAACTTTGTTCTCACATTCCTAGTGGACAGGGCGTGTCGATGGTTGTTCGGCGAGGGAAAATATCGAAAGCTGTGATCACCTTATCGCATTTAATATGAAATTTTTGTATGATAATCCTGTGTAAATGCAGATACGTTTATTAATCGTTATCTTGTATAGGTAATTACTGAATGGTGTTGCAACACCGGTACGATTAGTGATCAAATGTGCCGAAATATTTGTTCAAAAATGGAAAAATGCCGAGCGTTTGAACTTGATATGAGAAGAAATGTATGTCTGATACACTTGTACAAATAATGCGTCGGTTTTAATTCGAAATCTCACATTCCACGTTTCATTCAATCAATTGAAATATTCATTTTTCGAACTAAACAGTGACTTAATCCCATTTTACGATTTGATATTTCAAGCTAGACCAAGTTTTTCTACATAGATGCGATCAGAAAAATCATTTCACAATAAAATTTTAATTTTATCAGACAATAATACTACGAATCGCGCTATGTTATGCGCGTGTCGAGTAGAAAAATTTGATCACACGACTGAGTTATTAGCGTTAATCGATTATTCGTAGTTATTGTTAGTTTATTATAAAGTAAGTTGATGTAATGTTCTGCGAGTTGCCCCGATGTATCGAGCAATATCTTACACAAAAGTCTTTTTTTTCATTCGATAAGCAACTGCGCGACAGGCATGCAATATTTCTCCAGTAAATATCCATAAAAAAAATCACAAATTAAAAGTGTATGTGTCAATCGATTGTATTTTGATAGACTACAATCACCGTAAATGAATCTAGTTTGTTTGAGAAGCTTTTTGTATTTATATTGCAATTTATTTATAGCCAACACATGTATGATAATGAAGTAATTCACTCGTCGCGGAAGATGTGTTGAAGCTCCGACGTACGGCATTGTATGCGATATACGTCGTGAGTAACGCCTCGTAGAGGCATGTATAGGCCATCTTCATCTGTATGTGTACATAAAAACGATGGTAATTATACGACGGAGCTTTGAGAATTGGTGAATTACTCGTTGGTCACTGTAATTGGAAAATAGCCACAAGGGTGAAATGAAAAATAAAGATTTGGAAAAGTAAGAAAAAGAAAAAGATGTAGATAAAGAAAGAGATTATGCAGTTATTACATGCGGCGCTGTTCCTCATCCGAAATGAAGAAAGAACGTAATTTGGGCAGAAGGAAAACGGACGACTTTATCGGAGTGCTGGAGCGCGGCGTGAGGCTGGTAAACAGTTTTATCGTCTACATTAGCGGGCTTAGCGTTTTACGTAAAACATCGTAAAGTCGAGTCAATTGGCTTTATCGTGGCAGTTCGCGTCTGAGCGAGCGCAATGGCGAACGCTGCCCGCGAAAAAGCACAAACAACGTGCGGTCAAAGCGAAAGAAGTAAGAGAAGCGCTTAGTCACGCCGAAAGACAGTCGGAGCGGCGTTCGATTATCATAGAAAATCGCTAGAACGTCAGTGCCAGCCGAGACAGCGTGAATTCGAAAAAGGCTCGGCGGCCGAGCGCCCCACCACCGCCCGGCGACGGTCGATCGCAGTACGTTCGCGTCCGCGTTCGGCGTTCTCCCGCCTTGAGAGAATTATAAGCGACTACAGGCGAGCGGAGCAGTCGTCTCTCGCCTCGAGAGCCCAAGCAATACCCATTACATATCGTATCGCAGTTCACTGATTAGCAGCCGGCAGCCAGCCAGTCCGCCGCGATTTGTCGAGCGCTGAGCACGCACCGCCGTCGCCGTCAAGGCGAACATGCACAAGTGAGTGTCGAACGCGGCATAGCATATACGTCGGCAGCCACGTGCCAAGCCAGCCGCCGAGTGAATGCGGTCGAGAGACAGCGCTGCGTTGACTGCTGCGCGCATCGCTCGACGACTCGACTGGCCCGCTCCTATAAACTCCGGAGAGTTTTATTCTGTCCTTGCTCCTTGCTTTTCCCTCGGCTGCTTTCACTGCCGACCTCTATCCGTTTGCTCGTCATTCCGATCCGATTCGCCGTTTCCATTGGTGCGGGACTGTCGGCTCGCTGGGCGCTTGTTGCGAGCGTGCCGATCGTTGCTGAACGTGCTCGTCGACAGTTGTGAGTATACGCCGATACTGATTCGGCTGCCTGAAAAAAAAAAATGCCAAACGATTGTTCGTTTGATCGAGTCTCGAGCGACGATGACAAAGCGAAAGCTTCGCCGCGCTCGAACGCTCGTTGGTCGTGGAGCGACGCGACGCGCGAGAAGAGCGAAAGACCTGCGAGCTCGGGTGTTTGTTTAGCGCGGCGGGGCCGGGGAGCCGAAGATGGAGACGTATTTCCACTGGGCGGACTGGACGGTGTTCGTGCTGATGCTGACGATCTCGGCGGGCGCCGGACTCTGGCACTACCGCAAGGCGCGCAATGCAAACATGGAAGAGTATTTGCTGGGCGGCAAGAACCTCAAGCTCTGGCCGGTCGCCGCCTCTCTGGTCGCCAGGTGAATATAGCGCGCGCGCGAGCTCGCCCCCGCGACCCTCGTTGAAAACGGCCAACGTGTTGCAGCTTCATATCGGGTGTGACGATCCTCGGAACGCCCTCGGAGATATACAACTTCGGCACTCAGTACTGGATTACCGTGATTTCCATCATGTTCTCCGGCATTGTGGTGGCCAATGTTTACCTGCCCGTCTTTACCACGCTCAAGCTTAATTCCGCCTACGAGGTAGGTGCATGGCTTTCGCCTTTGCCTACGCGCTGACACCCACGAGTCACGAGTCACGCGCGTTCTTTTCTGCCCGCAGTATCTCGAGATGCGATTCAACCGGGGTGTGAGGATCTTGATATCCCTGATCTTCGTGGTCGACGTGGTAATATGCACAATACACGCGTTATGTTATGCTCTGGCTTCGCTTGGCGCCTCGCGCCGAATCGACGCAGCTGCTTTGCATAGACTCTTAGCATAGCGAGTGAACGCATTGGAGATTCGCTTGGCGACAAAGCGAACGCCGAGGCGGCGCGAGGCGCGCGCACGAGGTTTAACGCAAGCTGACGCGAGGCTTTCAGGTGATGTACCAGTCCATCGTGGTGTACGTGCCGGCCTTAGCGCTGAGCCAAGGTGAATAAAAATCCGGCACCAGCTGGGCGCCAGTTGCCTAAACGAACGGCCTGCGCGATGTTTCAGTGAGCGGCATCAGCATCCACGCGATCGGCTGCGTGGTGTGCCTGACCTGCGTGTTCTACACGGTACTGGTGAGTATTCGGGCGCGAGCAAGGCGCGAGCGGGGCGCGGGTGCTGAGCGAGCGATGCCTGGTTCACCAGGGTGGCCTGCGCGCGGTCGTGTGGACGGACGCGCTGCAGGTGGGCGTGATGGTGGGCGCCATGCTGACGGTCACGGGCCTGGGCACCTACCACGCGGGCGGCCCTTCGGCCATCTGGGAGAAGGCCCGCGAGCTCCAGCGCATCCAGTTCCTCAAGTAAGCGGCCGCCAGGCTAGTCGGTCGCGCGCGCGCGCGCGCCGCGCTCCTTCTTAACGCGCCTCTGTGCCATCAGCTTCGACGCCTCGCCCTACACGCGCCACACGGTGTGGACGGTGCTGATCGGCTCCTGGCTCTACTGCACCGCCTACATCGCCGTGAACCAGACCATGGTCCAGCGCTACCAGTCGTTGTCCAGCATGCGCGCCTGCAAAACGTGGGTCCATCGTCCCGGCCGGCCACGGTGAGTGCGGCCAAGCCCGCGGCCGGCCACTAACCGTCGCGCCTGTGCTCGCTTGCAGGGCGGTGGGCCTCTTCACCGTCGGCACCATCCTCTTCATCTCGCTGTGCTGCTGGTGCGGCCTGGTGCTGCTGGCCTGGTGGGCGCCGCCCAGCTGCGACCCCAGGGCCAGCGGCCGCATCCAGGCCGACGACCAGATGCTGCCCGCCTTCGTCATGGAGATAGCCGGCCATTTGCACGGCGTGCCGGGTCTGTTCATCTCGGGCATCTTCGGCGCGGCGCTCAGGTACGCCACCGCGTGCTTCCCCCGCGCTCGCTAATCGCCCCCGTCGGCGCGCAGCTCGCTGTCCGTCGGCCTCAACTCGACCTCGGTGGTGCTGCTCGAGGACTTCGTCAAGGGCTGCTTCAAGCTCAAGCCCAACGAGAAGTGGGCGAGCATCTTCGTGAAGAGCGTGGTCGTCGTGCTGGGTCTGGTCGCCCTCGGCCTGGTCTTCGTCGTCGAAAAGCTGGGAGGCGTCCTGTCGGTAAGTCGCGAGCGTGCGCGCGCCCGCTGACCGACGTTCATCCCGATGACTTTGCTCCAGGTGACCAACAGCCTCGCAGCCATTGCCGCCGGGGTCTCCTTCGGGGTGTTCACGCTGGGGATGTTGTTCCCTTGGGCCAACTCGAAGGTGAATCGCCGTGGCAGGCTTGATTCGGACGGTGGCCGACCGAAGCACACTGAAGCACGCGCCTTTTGTCTGTTGCCGGTGCGAGCAGGGCGCCTTCGTGGGCGCCGTCATGGGCTTCGTCGTGGCCGGCTGGGCCTGCTTCGGAGCCAACGCTGCCATCGGCGCCGGCCTCATCGTGCCGAAGAAGCTGCCCGTGCCTCTCGACCACTGCCCCGCTAACATCTCCGAGAGCTTTCTCAAGCAGTTTCAGCATCCCGAGTGAGTACTTGCCGTGCCTCCCCCTCCCCTTCTGCCAACGACAACGAGCACTGACCCGAGCACTTTGACGCGCCCAGCGAGGAGGACGTCTTTCCGCTCTACCGCCTCTCGTATCACTGGTTCACCGGCCTCGGCAGCATCGTCGTCGTCGTTGTCGGCGGCGCCGTCACCTGGATCACCGGCCCAACCAATCCCGCGACGATCAACAAGGATCTGCTCTCGCCCGTGATTCACAGGTAAAGCTCTGCCAAAATGCCGTCGGAGGGACGTTGCACTGATTCCATCGAATGACCTCGAAAGGTGGCTTCCGGAGCCGACCATCTACAGCGAAGTGTGCATGTGGCGTCGCGACGTCTCGTCCGAGCTGCCGAGTAGCAGCATGGCGCTGAGCAATCGCAGACCGTCGAAAAACAGTATTCAGCATTCGAGCGTGAGTTTGCATTTGGCTCGACGATGCCGCGCCGACGCTCGCGCGCTAATCATTGTCGTTGGGATTCGCAGGTAACACAGGAGCTATCGACCGAGCGCACTAGGTACTGAGAGTCGACGAGGGGGCCAGTTTCCGTAGAGGCGCTTGAGCTTGTACTTAAGCTAGATGTAACCGTTCGTAACTGTACGCCGGAGGATCAGTGGGTCCGATCCGTAGAGCTGGTTACTGCGCGGGCTCTGTCGAGGCTGAGAGCCACTGGAGCCACCGAATCGGCAGACTAATCCTTCGTAGCGAGATTTTGTATTTTATCCGCGAGAGATCTTTATACGTAACTGTTGTCACTATTTTATTTACACAATGCAAGGCATGTTTTATAAAGCTTCGAGATGCAATACACCGACTTGGCCTTATCACGCCCGTGTCTGCTCCACTCGGGTCTTTTTCCATTTTTAATCGATCAATCAGCCGAATGAACGCCGCGACCGGCAAACAATGGTCCGCGCGCAAGCCTTACGTAAGCGCCCGCCCGTTCGGCTGTATTCGTAAGCAAACATCCGCGGCTCGGCTTAATCAGTTTTAATTCGATTGTCGTGAGAGTAATTCGCGACGATCCTACACAAGCGAGGACGCACGCGATATCTTTTATTTGCATCTCCGTAATCAGCCAATTAGCCTGCGACTACGTTGCACAATAGTCGGCCGGCTTGTCTCGCCCCAGAGTCACCCAGGCAACTTGAATAGAGCAATTATTGACCATTCAGTCTCGGCGCGGTCGAGTGGCGAGGTTCGCGACAAGGCCAACGGCTGCGGCCGACGATTAGTCGCGACATTAAAAGCCGACGGCACAGCGACGAGTAATTGCCGTTGGGCAGCGCAGGACCGATCCGAAAGACAGGACGAGCGGAGATGCGCCAAGTCGAGCGCGAGGACGCGACTCCAAGTCGATTCGACTCGACGCGGCTCCGTCCAATCCGTCCGGGCATCGGCGCTGCGGCCGGCGCCGAAAGGGCATAGGATATTGGAGCTGTGCGAGCCGCGCCGGAGACCCGAGACCGCAGATCAAACGGCGCGGATCCAGTCGGACTGACGGAATAACAAATTTATCAATTCTTCGCTCGGCTTCACCGGTCGCCGATGCCACTGTTTGCTCCGGCCAAACATCGACGACTGGCTCTCTGCCGATGAGCCCGAACCCCTCGGCTCCGAGCTGCGCCGCCTTGCCCGCAACGCGCACGAACGCTCTTCCTTTGCCGACGAGCGCTTCCGCGTTTTTCCGATACGCTCGGCGGCGACCGTCTCGAGCTCGGCGACGCGGACCGAGCAGCCGCGCTCTTTCCGCGCTGACCGCCAGATGTCGGCAGGTGCCGACCTGGCGCTGCTTTCGATCGACCGCGTGCCGCGCGAACGCTTCGCAATCCCAGTCGCCGAGGCGCGCTGTGCGATGTCGAGAGCCGATCGGCTCTCGACATCAGCTCTCGAAGCGCCCCGGGCGTTCGCCAGCTGGCTGTCGCCGCGTCGGCTCGTCGAAGATGCTATCGAGGCTGGTGCTGCCTATCGCGCTCGCATCTTCGCCGGCGGCCGCGGCGAAACGAGTGGGCGGAGCGCTCGACTCGACGGCGCATTTTTCGCGTCTTTCGCCCCGCGCGGCCGCCTGTCCTTCGGCCGTTCTGCAGTCATTATGCAAATCGCGCGCTCGCAACTGGGAACGGACGGCGTCCAGGCATCCGAGCCGAGCGGAAGCGTCAATTGCTGGACTGGAAATCAGTAGAAGCCGCGGAAAGGGGGAAAAGTGCGGCGTGCAGGAGGGCGGAGTGCTGCTAATTGCTAAAAAGGCGAATGTCCGGGCAGCGCTCGAAATGATTTGACGCGCGGCCCGGGGAGCCAGAAGCGCGGCGACTGGGTGTCGGCCGGTCCAATTAGCGCAAAACCGAATAATCAATGTAACTGGTCGTTGCGGGACTTGGGGCTTTCGCTCCGAATCTGAAAGATCGGCTGACTGACAGGTCCCCGCGCGCGCGATCACGAAACGCTACTAGACAGTCGCAATTAACGATAACGGTTCCCCGCGGACGCGCCCGGCAGGGGCGCTAATTAATATGGGCTCGAAATAAACGCCCGATTACGCGCAGCAAACAGCGCTCGCGCGCACAATGCCAAACGGTAGCGGAACGAGAGAGCGAGAGCGAGAGCGAGCGGCCAGCCCCGGCCTGATTGATTGCAGCTAATTGCAACGCACACAGCCGCCGCGGCTCCGTCATATTTTCCCGTCCATTAGCCGCGCATCACTCGCGCTCGCGCCGCCCTCGCGCTCCCGCGCTCTTTCCTCCAGCCGTCGTTCGGCGCTCGCGGGCCGCGCGCCCTGCCGTCTCCGCGGACCTATCGATCCGAGGATCGGCCGGCTGCATCGACGCTTCCTCGCCAATTAAGCCGAGCGCCGCTACGGGCGCTCGCTCGACGATTTTTGCGCCGCCGACGAGCGCCCGGCCGCGCCACAGAGGGATGGATGGCGCGGCGTCGCATGCAAATTCGTTTTATTGCCGAGGGTCCGAGGGCTGCGCCAGCCGGGAAAGAAAGGGAAAGCGTAACGCGCGATCCGCGCACCGGGGACGTCCGCTCGGCTACCTTACCGCGCGCGCGCGCGCGCGCGCGCCTGTAAACGCCCCAACTCGCCGGCGACTTCATTTCGTCCCGTGGCCCTCGCTTCAATTAATTACTGCCAATTGTCCGGCGCCGCACGCATGCCAATTATCTCATTTCGTTGTAGCGCCCAATTTGCAGCTCATCCGACATGCAGATCCGCCAGATCTACGGCTTCTTACCTCGGCGCTCGCGCTCGCGTGCATTTTTTTTCCCTTACCTCCCGTCCGACGCCACGGCCGCAGCGGCTCGTGTTTCGCCGTCGTCTCCCCCGAGGAAAGACTGCGCGGCGGCTGGAAAATGCGATAAACCAATTCGATTAGACCTCTGCAACGCGAGGCGCACCTTACGCACGACATCTGTGCACTCGAACGATTCCCTCGGTAATGGTGTCGTCTCGACTATGAAACTTGACGTTTTCCGTCAAGGATGTTCGGACGGCTTTGCGAGCCTCGTTACGTGCTTTTCCGGACTCTCGTGCACTCGGCACTGCGCACCGAACGTTCCAACGCTGACGATCCGTGATACGTTTATGCAGCACTTGGCGCTAATAGCCAGGATTTTTCCGCGGTGGATTCTGCTTTTTCATTGTGGATCGTTGGAAGGGAGAAAACCAGCCGAAGCCAGGAAGAAAATATTTTGTCCAGGTACGTGGGTTCCAAAACTGCGCGTTAAGCTCTTGGAAAACGCAGACGTATAGGCCAGAGGAGCGGAAGAGCGTGCTTTTTACGATCGACGGACAAAAGTCATCGATAAGATGGACTGACTCGAATGGAAGATATTTTCGAGTGCGAAGCAAGTTGCCAGAGCAGGTGGTAGGATTCGGCGAGCATTAATCAGAGGTGTCGGCCCGTCCGGAAAGCCAAAGGTAGCGCGCGACGAATGTCTCGGGCGGGCATCAGTCTGGCGGACAATCGCATTAGGTTTTTGAAAGCCGGCGCGGGAGCGCGCGAAGCGGATGAAAAATCCGTCGCCGCTGGGCTTACTTACTTATGTTCTTACTCCACTTAGTTTAATCGAGGACCGCTCTTGCCTTAGATCCACTTGTTTTTCCGGCTTATCCGCTCGCCACCTCCCAGCTGTCGTTGGCTCGCGCAGCTAATTCATTACTTAATTCCGTTAGTTCCGCGCTAGTCGTTCGTCTGCAGCCTAACAGCCGGCGAGGGGCAAGCTCATTAAGGCCCTCGGCTCGTTACTCCTTTGCTAATTAAAGCAATTGCTAAATAAAATGCAATCGCGCTAATGGGCCGCGTCGTCGATTCTCGCGCGCTCGCTAATTGATTTCTCCGGGCGATTTATCCTCCGGATCGACGCGGCCCTCCGGGAGGGGGCCCGGAAAATAAAGCGGACGGAAAAAAAAAATAAAGCAAGAGACACGCATAAATCTGTTTGCGGAGGCAGAGCGCGAGAGCGACAACATAAAGCTCTCGCTACGGCTCATATCGCTTTATTGACTGTAAGTTTTTTCGGGCGGGCACAAATCGAGTTAGGCACTTTTCTTTTTTTTCCTCTTTTTTTTAGCGCTCCAGTGTTGTTTTTCAGTCGTCAGGCCGGAAAGCCAACTAGTCGGATGCAGCTGGTCAAACAGGCGGACTTTGTGAAATCGAACATCCCGATATTTTCGCCGGCATTCGGAATATTTGCGAAATCGAACGGCCGGCAGCAGTTTTACGCTCGGCCGCGGCCGTCGAGCGTAATGGCTCGGACTCTCGCCCCGGCCTTTTAATTATTGCGCGAGCGCGCGGCCGGCAACGAAAAAATTTTCGTTTTCCCCCGCAAGCCTCGGGACTTTGTCTTTGATGCCGACTGCTCGCCCGTGCATTCTGGGCTTCATTTGACGCCGCTCGCGTTTTTTCGTCGCCGGGGCCAATAACTCCTGCATTAAACAATTTTAATCCGGTTTATTGACTCGCGTTCGCGCCGCCCGCCCGCTCCTTTATTTTATTTTTATTTTTTTTACTTTTTTATCGTTATTATCATCATTATTATTATTATTACGCTCGTCCGCGGTCGAAAGTGGGCGCGAGCAACAAAAATTGATTGTGCGTACAGCTGCTGGACGATAGGCGCGCGGCGAAGAATTTAATTTGAAATTTCATAATTTTCATATATTGCTTTTGCAGATGCAGCGCTCGCGCCGCCTCGGCAGAGGCTATTTTAATTATTCCCAGCGAATCCAAAAGCAATATGAACTCGCTACATTTATTTAATATCAAAATATTGTGCCTGCTGCAATGAAATTTATTTTGCGGCTAATAATGCGGCCGCCCAGCGATGTCCGGGCGGCAGGGCCGGCGCACGATTAATCGCGACGCGCGCGCGCTCTCGTTCGCGATTAGCCGCGCCCGCGCGAGAACCGACCCGTCGATCGGCTCGCGCCAATCGCGGACGAGCGGGCGGACGCGCGGCGCCTTCCCTCGGTCCTCCGCGCCAAGTATTAACTGGCCCGGCCGCAATCGAGCCTGCAAATCAACAGGCCGCTTGATAATCAAATTGGACCGAGAGCGCAGCCAGCGGCCCGAGAGCACGGACGCCGGGATTTTCCGCGAAATTGGCGGGCGATTACTCGCGTCGAGACATAACAGTTTCCGACTGCGAAATAATCCGCGCGAGCGCGCCAGGCAGCAGTTGCGGCCTCGCGGCAGCCCCCGCCGCGCCGCTTTCAACAAATTCCGCTTGCGGAGCTACGATGACTGTTTATTTTTGAGCGCCAAACGAGCGCGTAAAGTACAATAAAGCCGCTCTGAATACCGGCGTCTGGCG